GGCCACTTCTAATGTTATTATTGTTACTAGATTTTCAAGGTGACGGTTGTGAAGCGAAATCCCTGAATCCGTGGGTAGCTATAGTAGGCGAAGTTCATTCAGCGTGCGACTATTCTAAAACTGAACCTCTATTCATGTGATCATTACGTAGTACCGCTATTTTAAAGCCACGGATCGTTTAGGATTCCGACCTTCGTCCACATAAGCGTGCAAATTCAATAATAATAATTTTACATTAAATATTAGCTGTAGAAATTAATTCGGTGCCTTTCTAAGGTAAACATACCATTTATTTATAAAGAAAAACCATGCAACTTTTAATATTCCCTCCCTCCCTGCTAGTAAAATATGAAATAAATATTTCCACTTAGAGTTACACTTAGTTATAAACGATTGAACGCGAAAACCCAGAGTTAATTTCTATCCCTACTAATACAAACTTTATTTCTATTTCTTAACCGACTTCGAAAAGGAGGAGGTTACTCGATTCGACATGTATATATATATAAATAATATGACGAAAAACAGAATATTTGGAACCTTCTGTTTTTCGTCATATTATTTGCCATCTATGATGCATAAGATATCACATGTTTATCATGTGAAAATTTAATTTGATTAAAGTAAACAATTTAATCGATCCAAATAGAACAAAACTCGATTTGTAACTACCACGAAACGTGAAAATTTTCCTGTGAATAAATTTTTCTTTAATTGGGAGGCCTGTTTGAAAAACTTCAGTAATCATATGTAGCTTGAACGCGGCCCAGCTCGGCGCCAGGCTCGAGTCTGGACGCGCACCCTTCTTTGGCTCTAAAAACGGTCTGTTCATAAAAACATCTGTCGCTGAGAACAGGAAACATCGGTTCTTTCTCCTTCATTTTATCTTCTTCAAAGAAAAGTATAAAACATTTCCAATGAAAGGACTTTCGTTTGATTATTCTCGAAATGTCGAATAATTTTTCTGAGTATATAATTTAAGCTTCGTCAGAAAACATTATCCTATACCCTTGTTTATCATTTCAAATTACGTCGTATACGTATATCTGATTTAATAAGTAAATCCCATTCCGATATTGATATTACTTCCTAAGCATATATGTATAATTATCAGACTGAAAACATTTAAGTAAATTCATATTTGCACATTACTCGAATGGATACAAATACATAAAATTAATGTATGTTACCTCTTCTATGCAAGGCGTGCATTTTATTTAAAATGTAAACGTCCTCGTACATTTACATTCGTCATAAATACATAAATATCCGCAGTCTGGTAATTATATTTGAGAAAGCTACAAGTGTAAATAATTCGTATGCTGCCAGGTCACCGGGATCGATATTATAACAGACAATGTTGCAGCCGTACGGGACGTAAACACAAAAGGCCATAATGCATAGAGGAAACAGTCAACCCAGTCACGCACGACTGCGAGGAAGCAGCCCGTGGTGATCAACGCAACTGTGCGCATGCGTTCGGGACAATTAAAGAATACAACAGTGTTTCTCAAACCTCTTCTTTCCACGAACTACTGTAGTTCAACTACAAGAGAATTCTTCTCTCTACAAGAGAGAAAATTGGTTCGGTGGTCACTGAACGTTGTATATACAGGGTGTCCTAAAAATGTTGTAACACCTTGAAATGGATGGTTCGGAAGGTGATTTGAAACAACTTTTTCCTTAGCGAAAATGTTGTGCGAGGCTTCGTTATGGAGATATTAACGGAAAACGTCGACCAATCAGAGCGCGAGTATGCCGATGGAGCGCTCGCGGTAGCATATGAGCGCGGCCACCTAGCGCGTAGCCTACGCTCAACCGGCATACTCGCCCTCTGATTGGTCGGGGTTTTCGTTTAATATCTCCTTAACGATGTCTCGGACAACATTTTCGCTAAGGAAAAAGTTATTTGAAATCACCTCCTGAACCATCCCTTTCAAGCTGTTACAACATTTTTGGGACACCCTGTATAGACAAAATTGAAATGTCCATCAAGTTGAGACTTGCACTAAAACGGTGAGTAAGTACTTTTCAATTATCAAATAAAAAGATGATGATAGGAAAAAAAATGTAATATTAGGATGAATTCTACTCAGTTGACAGAATGTCAACTAAAAATATTTTTTTTTTGTTAAGTGTTCATTGGAAAGTAAAATTTCGTAAACACTGTTCCGGATAATAGAAGGATGATATTAAACAGAATACAGAATGCCGTGAAGCCGATCCCTGTTGCTTCCCACGACTTTAATATGCAGACGAGGCAGTTTCGAGTGCGTCGAGCCAACATTTCAAACGGAAGACGTGCAAGCACCTCATTTGTCCCTATCAAGTGGCATAGGTGCGACATGATTGCACATACGTCGATCAAGAAAAACGAAATTCACCTCTCTGCCCTTTATTTTCTTTTTACTAGCATCTAGCAATTGTACAATCTCTCCAATGCGTTATTAATACATATTTACTGGTATAGTATAGAAACCGCGGGCCACAGCTAATGGAAATATCGATCGAAACATCCGAGTTACGGAAAACAAAAGATAATCACCTACTGATTCACGAAGGAGAACACGCGGTCGAATGCGAACGACATAAAATAAATAGTATTCCACGCGGGATGTAGCTATTTAGTTCTTTGATATTTTTTAAAAAAATCTTCAAAATAAACACCAAGAATTACAACAGATTTGAATTCTACTAAAATCATTGTCAATATTATGTATTATATCAATCATTCGAGGTGAAACAAATTTGATCGCTATAGAAACTGAAATTTATGCATTAATTGACAATAAATATTACTTTAATATAAATATATTAAAGTAGGAAATTAACATAAATATATTCTGACAAAAAAAGAGGCTTGAAACAGTTTTCTAAAATATGCTTCATTTAAAAAACTCTAATGTTGTATGAAAAAATATTATATGAACATATTGAATTATATTTAACACACATGTATACATATAATATTAAAAAGAATTCATTATACAAAATTTCTATAAAGTACAACATTCTAATATATGTTAAGATATAAAAAAAACTGTTAGTTCCACCAGAATTCGCACTAATTTCAGTAACTTCTACCTCCATAGTACAAATGTAAGATCTACGTATAGTGTAAATAACACACTCCTCTATACACAACCTGACACTCATTCTCCACAGCATCGAGCAAGTTAAACAAGACTTTCTAACATCCCTCAATCATACAGTTGTTACATTCATCCCATGTTTCAAGGATCCAAACACATTACACGTTCAAAAATATGTGTAATGCATCATCAATTCCTGGAAACTAACCATTTTAGGTGACTTCAGTTGTCAGTTGTCTAAACAACCAAATTGCTCCTATTTGTTCTACCAAATCCACACAAATGAATGAATTTCTATCATCTTGATAGAAATTGTACTGCATTTCAAGGAAAGAAAATTTCTTCGTATAGACAAACTTATGTAAAGCAGTTGAAAACTGAGTACAACTTGTATAAAATTTTATATATACAACTTTTAAATGTATTACATAAATATACATATATTCAGAAGCAATATTTATATATCATTCAGATACGAAATTATTATAAATATCAGGTAATCAAATTTTCCTAACAAACTGTTTGTATACTATATTTATAGTCTTATTATTTAACTCTCATTTGAATTTCAACGAATTTTTTCAAACGTTCGTTGGAGCGAAGACCGCGAGCTAGTTGAAAATAAACCCAAGGGAAAACTTGTTTACGCCTCGAAGAATTATGTTATTATATTTCCGACGGAATCGCGCTCAAAATATAAATCGCACCGAGGATAATCTTCAAATTCTGTGCTTAGTGGGAAGGAAAGAAGTTGGAACCGCGATCGTACCACCGATCGTTACAGAAAAAGTTGACTTTCTCTTGGCGATAAAGATAGAAGGAAAACAAGAGACAGAGAGTAAGAGAGAGACGGAGCGAAAGGGACGCACAAGTGCGTGGGCTGTAACTTACTGTTGAAGACGAGCAGCTTCCGCGTGGAGCCAAGCCTCTTGATGGGAGACTTTACGCCGTCGATTTCCTCCTCGTCCATCGTGGCTCGAACGATCCCTGAATTCACCTCGGATCCCCTTCGGGGATGATGTTCGTACGCGCACCGACGATTTCTCTGAACGCAACGCCAAAGAGTACTTGTCACAGTTTACAGCATTCTCGTGCACGAGGAGGAGGTCACCACGTCGTTGGCGACGAAACCGGTTTTATCGAGGCAGAGTTAATATTTCTCTATGACCCGCACTAGACGCGGTATCAACGTGCACATTTGCTAGCCGTGCATTCGTCCGGCCTATCCGCAGGGGGGAGGGGAAGAATAAAGGAAGGCGAGAAGAAATGCCAATGAGCGAGTGGTTCGGGCCGAACAAGTGAACGGTTTACGCATCGATGGAACGAATCACGACGCGAGGAGCGAGCTGGTCGCGACGCGGGTCACTCCGGTAATGCTGATTGGTTTCTGGCTATCCCGATTCCCGAGGCACTGCGAGGATATTCTTGGCCTCCGGTATATTAATTCAAGTTCGGGGGGACCGGCGTCGCTACCGCCGTCGCCGTCTCCGTCGCCGTCGCCGTCGTGCATCGTCACTTAACCGCCACGCCGCGTCCACTTCTGCCCGTTGCCTAGCAACTGCCACTGACAAGGTTACGGGTTACGGGACCTTGCTGCCATCTATGGGTCCCTTCGACAATTCAGGAATTTTCAATTATCGTTCAAACGACGCAGGTTGAATTTATGCAAACGATGATATACATGTCCCAAGAATGTTGTAACACCTTGAAAAAGGTGGTTCGGGAGGTGATTTGAAACAACTTTTTCCTTAGCGAAAATATTGTCCGAGGCTTCGTTGAGGAGATATTAACAAAAAACCTCGACCAATCAGAGCGCGCATATCGCGGTGTAGCGCTAGGCGGTCGACCATTATCGATACTGCTAAAGTAGTGTATCTGGTGTATCATGCAGCCATTATCGATACTGCTAAAGTAGTGTATCTGGTGTATCTATGTAGCTACGTTCACGATGTATGTGCCGAATGAGACTGATGAGAACCTTAAAAACACCAGAGTTTCGTCTCTGTGAACCTGCACTGTGATCTCGTTTTGTTCCGCATTTGTTTTCAGGGTAAATTCTTACTGGGAAACTTGAATAAAGCAAAATAAAGTGAAACAAGCGAAGTCTGATTTAACACGACCTACCTAAATGACTATGTTCGGTCGTGTGTTTATATCAAATTTTCGCAATATATCGGTAGGTACAAAACAAGTTTCCAGGAAAATTTATATATAATTTTCCCTGTTAATATGTTCGAATCGATTCGTTGATCATTCATTCCCTAAATTCAATGAAATTCCTAACATTTGTCCATTTAAAAGAAATAAATGAATGAAACTAATCAAGAATGCGAAAGATGAATAAAATGAAAGTTTTACAGCTTCTATCGAGAGTATGGAATGGTCCTAATGGAGCATTGGCTGGTAAACAAGCTGAACAAAAAATGATAGCAATTTTGAGGAATACGTTTCCTAAAGCCAAGCTTATCGAAGTAAATGATGTATCAGGTAAAGTGATAATAATCCTTATGTTAGAAAAGATGGTATGATTGAATTAATTAAAATGATGATATGATGATTGATTAAAAGTATTCTAGTATTCTAATACCATAGTAGTATCACTGAATACTTGAATAGTTATTATATTAGTTTAATTGAAAAATTGTTTTAAGATGCTGAAACATCCAAAATCCAAGTGCTTGTATACTTTTGATTCGCAGTATATAATAGAAGTATATTGTTATCAACAGGAATAATATTTTGTGCATATTTAACCATCTAAATAATAGATAATTCTCCCTTTTTTAATATAATAGCAATGTTACATAAGAGAAATTGAGAACTACCAGCATTATTTATAATTTATTTTTGTAGGAGGATGTGGTGCAATGTTTGAAATAAATGTGATCGCTCCTGAATTCAAGGGATTGAATACTATCAAACAACATCGGATGATCAATGAAGTAAGAAAAATTAACTTTAAAAGACTGTAATTCTGTTAATGTAGTACAATTATATTTTTCTAGGCACTCAAGCAAGAAATCAAAGATATGCACGGATTACGGATATACACGAGTGTTCCTGAGTCCTAGACAATTTTTAATTCTTTAGAGAAAACTGTTCCTTACATGCTCGGTTGTACGTCGAAGCTGTACAAACTTTTGTAAATTTCCCATATATACATAATTTAAAGACTTGTACAATTATGTAATTTAATATTTTAATGACATATCTAGATAATGCAAATACAATATACATGTACATGCATGTACACTGCTGCTCAAAAGTATGCGGACATTTGTCACTTTTAACAAATCTGTAGTACACAAAGTTACTATCGTATAATTTTAATTGCAAAATACTGTAACAAGTACACATTTAATATACGATAGCAGTATTTTAAATGATTTAATTATTTGAATTTGTTAAATAACGAAAAATGTATGCAACGTGTTTATACTGAATTATATCCTGCTGCCAATGGATGGTTTCTAAAACAATTATAGGAATTACTACAAACGAAGTAGAAAGAAAGAAAGAAACAGTTCGAAGACAGAGTACACATATTCTACTTGTTGATTTGTACACTAATAATTGATTGATATTAAGTTTTTTAAATAAATAAAAATACCGGGAAATGTGGCGCCATCTACCGGTGCGAAGTGGAAACTATTTCACGAGAACTTAGACGGTACTTTTATTTATTTAAATAACTTAATATCAGTCAATTATTGGTGTACAAATCAACAATTAGAAGTTGATTTATGATAATTACGATTTAAAATTATATGGATATACAGAAAAAGTAATTTTCTAAAAGTAGTTTTCTAAAAGTTAATCAGCTGATATATCAGTCGATGCATGTGTCATTCGAGAAGTGATAAAATAGTTATCGCATTCCTCGCGCATGCTTGCTTGCCAACAATAAAATATTTTTGACAGTTGCCACATCGATCGAACACCGCAATTGTATTCCTAACTTCATTTCAAATTTGATTAACGCTACATGTTAAATTGCTTCATGCACGATCCTCTGTTTTCTTGTCCTGAATAAAATGGGTCTAGTTTTTATTGATATTTAAGCAACTGAACAGAAAAATAGTACAATGCTGATCGTTATATCTTGTGTGTCACAATATTGGCTACCTGTTCGTTCTTTATGAACAAATTGTCCTGCACAATTGAATTTTCTAAATTCTGAAATTTTTTTACCGTTTAAATGTTTTCAATGACAGCGATAGATGAAAACTTTCAGACATGGAGGTTGACGAAATTATCAAAGACATTTTCGGTTTGAATGTGTATTTAGGGCTTATAGATGCAAACTCAACTGAAGAAAGTTCAAAGGGTTCTAGGTATCTTGATCTACTTGCATCTTTTTTTTCTTCATTATTGTTTAGGTGTAATGCATCTCTGTGCATGCATATTGAGATTACATTTACGTTTCAGAGTACCACATGGATTCACCTTGGTAAATAACTATATCGAAACTACCTTATCAAAGAATGCACTGACACAGAATGTTGAGGATATCAGAGTTGGTCGAATCGGCCCGAGCACTGTCAAATTTGACAAGTCTACATACCAAGGACCCTGCCTCATTTCTCCAGATAGACTTGGTATTCACTCTTTAAGCAACTTCAGTACGATAAGAGCGAATACTGCTGTATACAAAGGAAAATGGATGTATGAACTGGAACTTGGCTCAAATGGTGTTATGCAAGTTGGCTGGAGCACTATTAAGTGCGAATTTAATCAGAAATGTGGAGTTGGTATGCAAGCTTTTCTACTATTGTAATGATAGAATATGAATTTATTTTGTTCTAAGCCATGACGAAACAGAACTGAGAAGTCTATACTCCCTTTTGTTACAACATGACTTTGTTTAGGCTCAATTTTAAATAAGTACAAATTTTATTGAAAGACATATTGTTTTTTCTTTTTAAATGTTTTCAGCTACAGCAAGGGCACTTTTCAAAAATAATTTTAACGTTTAAAATTAGAATAATTTATACGCATGCGTTCATTTTAATAGATAATATTTAATATCTTCCTTTTAGGGGATACTATCAACTCATATGCTTACGATGGAAATCGTATTAGAAAGTGGAATGTAACTATTCACAAATATGGAGAAGCGTGGTTGACGGGTGATATTATTGGATGCGCGATAGACATGGATAATGGAACTATTGATTTCTATAGAAATGGCAGACATTTAGGAAGAGCCTTTGAAAACATATCAATGGGTCCTGGTTTTGCCTACTTTCCTACAGTCAGCCTTGTGTTATCAGAAAAGTTAACAGCAAATTTTGGTTCTATGCCAATGCGCTATCCTATAGAAGGATACGAGCCCCTGCAAGCAGCGCCCGAAAAAGAAATAATTCAAGCTACGCAGCTATTTAAATGGCTCTCGAGAATAGTGGAATTAATAAATGCACAGCAGAACATGGACGAACAGAAGATGTTACATAATGAAAATATAAGTCTCGAAGTTTTTTTAATGTGTCTTTCGAGATCTGTTTTGAAGCATTTAGGATCTCTAATTACCTTACCGTATATTACGGCACATATTTCAGTCCCATTTTTACAACGACTATCCGAATTGAAAACAGATTCATCAAAAGAATCTATGTATTCTTGTATGTTGTTCACTTGCTTAGATTTATTGTGGACATTTCTCGAAGACCATGAAATGAAGGCGTTCTTAGAGAGTACACTACTTTGTTTATTATCTGCATTCAGACATGTTACTTCCTTATTGGAGTATCTCGATCATTGTAAAAGTTTACTTCTGTTGACGAAAATCTGCAAACATACGACGACTCGTCAGTATTTACTGCAATATTTACTTTTCGATCGAGTAAGATTCGTAGATTTCATGCATGTTAAACCGATGGATGAGGGAGGTTTGGCTGACGTTGTCAGTAAAGTGTGGTGGGAAATGAATTCTGTGGATTCAACGATCGAAGCGAACAAAGCAAGTTACCTGGATACGTGCGAGAAAATTAGAGCTGCCGTATCTGGTATGATATTTTTCGATATACATATTTCTAAGGTTTATTTCTGTATGTCCTTATCTCTGTTTAAAACGTTTTTTAGAAGTAGAAGAAGTGCAAGTGGAATTACTGCTGACGCTTCTCGATAATTCTGATGGGAACGATAAGAGGCCAACCTCGAGGACTATATTTTTACGAAGATTCAAACGTTTTGTACAGGATAATCTTGAATTGAGTCGTGTGAGTACCTACTATATTACCTACCATGATACTTTCGAACAATATTTCTACAGAGAGTAACGAATATTTCAGACTCCCCTACCAATCACGTTATGTTGTTTCCACCGACTCCTGGTTGCATTCAGAATTTTGTGGAATATCGAAGTAGGAACATCTCCTGTTTACATGCCTTGCAGGTAAAAACAAACATAAGATTCTATTTGACATATTGAATCGTTCAAGACGGAAGAGAGCTTTAAAAATTGCGAAAAGTGATACAATGATTATAATTGCTTTCTCTATCTTCGTAAGCATTGTTAGATCTCATTTAATTTACGTAATAGCATTTCCTTATAAATTGGAATGGGCAGGGCATTCTACGACGCATCGATCGATTACTCTAGAACTGAGAGATTGGGAGGAGTTTTGTCTCACTTGAGTAAAACGTTCAGAAGCGATTTGCTAGAACAGTTAGGACCCGATCATGAAGTGATAACTGCGCTGGAACAATCTTCGTCGGATTCGTCGAATGCGCATAACAGAACAACCAGAGTAGTGGATTTACGTGCACTTTCGCCAGGGCTTGTTCGAGCAATCCATGTCAGCTCATCGATACAAGCGAATTCGGTGATTTATGAAAGACTTGGATATTTAAGGGAAGATAGAAGTTCCATGCCCTTAGGCCTTGTAGATGCAACCGTATCTTTGCTCAGAATGCTCGATACCATTATTTTATTCTATCACATAGTAGCGAAGAAGCAGTTAGCGAGCGTTGCAAACTTTAGAAACAGAATGTCAGAATTTATCACCGCTATGCAAGAGACGAAAGGACGACTAGAGCAAATAAAGAAGAAGAAGGACTTCGAGTCCCAATCTATTCAACAAGAACTGTCGAGAACGCTCAACGTCTTCAATACTAAATTAATCGAACAAGCAAGGTACATGGCATGGGTACGCGCTGTTGTTTACTCTGAACAGAAGCAATCGCAACTAGCCTGGCTTCTAGGAGTAGTCACGTTCACTTTAAAAAACTCTAGCAAAGAAGGAAACTTGTTTAGTTTCGTGCCAGATTTTTTTTTGGAAGCGCTGGCCGACTTGTTCGTTAGTTTACGGAATCACATGCACCCAACGGTGCGTATCGAGAACATCCCAGATTATCGAGAAATGCTATCAGACATAGCTGAGTTTCTCTGCGAGCATTTCATGGATCCTCGTATAGTAAATGCGAATTCGAAAAGTACGTTACTTTTAACACTGGCTGGGTTTGTGTGCAATTCCCTTACCTTGGAAATATTGGAAAACGTGCCAGAAGAAAGTCGAATAAAAGTTGTTATAAATCTGTTAAATTCGTATGAGAATAGAGCATGGGCAGAGTCAAATTGGATTCTAGTTAGATTTTGGCAAGGCAACGGCTTCGCCTTTCGACATAAGGAAAGTATACATCTCTCGAAGAGAGTTGGACCAAGATTGCTTCAGCACGAATCGATTTCTCAGCCTATAAGTACGTAAACTTTACTCTTTCAAAACGATACGTTTTCGATAGAGTTACTGATCCTTCGTATTTGTTCCTGGTTCCTCAGGACCATGTCCATCGACTGTATATCAAGATCACATAAAAGATATATTACTAAGAAATCCACAAATATCCACCAAGTTTTTAAATTCCTTACTGAATCAGTTGAACTGGGCTCTCTCTGAGTTTATCGGGATGATACAAGAGATTCATAATGTTTCCTCGCGACCCGAAAGAGTCTTCATCGATTCCAGGCAGTTGAAAATTTGTGCTACGTGCTTCGATTTAACAATTTCCCTGTTGAGAGTTTTAGAGATGATCACTACAGTGGTTCCGAGCATCTTTATCGATTCAACGCAGTCTTCCAGTGAGAATTTGCTGTCCAGACTATGCCAAGTATGTATCTTTATACAATACTGTTTTTGAGTTATTATGGTGTACAAATTAAAATGGGTCACCCTGTACATTTTTCTTAAATTGTAATCATGGTAACATTATTTTTACAGTTACTCTGCCAAGTATTGAACAGAATAAGTTTACCAACCAGTTGCTTCCAACACGTTGTATTATTAGAAATACCTAATTTGGAATCTGTGGATCATTTTCCAATATTGGCAGCAGTCACTGGTATCCTGTTGGCTTTGCTTAAAGAAGATATGACCGATTATAAACGTAAGTATTCTGTCTAATTGCTAAATAAATTAGAAATACAAAACAATCATAACTTAAGAAAAATGTAAACTTTAGCAGTGAAAAAGTTAACGGAAGTACCAAAGGTCACGCAAACCTTGCTGATGGAACCCAGTTTCCAAATAAGTTCTCTCCACTTTTTGTTGGGTGATACAATGCCTAAAAGTAAAACGGAACAAAATGCAAAGACATTTTCGTTTGCAAACTGTAAGTTTCAAGTTTTCTTGGAACTTCGAATGTTCGATAGCTATTAAATTATTATTTATCGTAGATCCAGATTGTGTAACGAAGGAAGAATTGAAAAAAGTTAAAGATATGATTGAATATTTGGACGAGTGTCGTGCCATCTTACCAGAATTGAAAATATTAAGCGATGATGATGATACTTGCACGATTTGTTATGCGTACCCTGTAGCGGTGACGTTCAAACCCTGTGGTCATCAAACATGTCGCAATTGCATCGAGAGACACCTTCTGAACACCAGAGAGTGCTTTTTTTGCAAGGTGACTATTGATCAAGTCGTGGATCTTTCTGGCAACACACTATACAATTTTATCGATGAAAATCTAAATTCGTCAGAATTATCTTAACGTATCAACAAATACTTTTGAAGTATGTGTGGATACTACGAACAAATTATGAGACATATTTTGCTGTAAAATTAATTATGATAGTAAATTTGTTGTAAAAACTACAAAAGAGTTTGGAGAGGATTTTATTTATTTAACATCACTCGCTGTTTCAAGATATAAAAGTGTAATACAAAAATAAACGATCGCATCTCGGTTTGTAAAAATTTTTAGCAATAACAGATATAATAATAAATGTTATGTACATCAGTCTTCTGATTTTCTTTATGCTAACATTACAATTATTGAGCAAATTACAGAGCACGTGTTTATTATATGATTAAAAATTAATCTCGAATTCTTTTTCGATAATTAAATCAAGCTAAATTCGCTAAGTACATAAACTTTGCCTTAGTTGTCTAAAACCAGTTATAAGTGGCAGTTGCGATGCCTTATTAAAATCTCTTATAGCTTGGACAAAAATTATGCCAGAAACAAACGCGCCAAGCGCGGTGATAAAAATTGCGAATACCATTTGAAGCCTATCTTTGTTTAGATACAGTTCTGAATCTTTTCGAAGAATATTTTGAAATAGGCAAATACCTGGGATGATAAAAATGAAAGCTGCAGATAGTACTCCTAATAAATTAATAACTGGTGAAATATCTGGTACTAATATCGCAATCGTCAAAGACAATATGTACCAAATCAATGTAATAAAAACTCTAAATCTACCATTTACGTTAACATCCATTCCAAGAAAGCTCAAAAGAGCATCACGACCGCAGTATAAAACAATTGGATACGTAGTAAAATTCTTAATAGCTACGAACACTATTGCTAAAGTAAGAATCACACTTTTCTCTGTATATCCTTGAAGAATGTCGCTGGGCACTTTTCCAGCACCGAACGTTGCATATCCACAGATACCTACTACTGTGTATACAGCGAAGCAAACAATCATGCTTACTACAGCACACACCGTAAACTTGCCAAGGCTTCGGTCTTTCATGCAAGCATACATTGGTATTGCTGTCATGTGACTCTATGGATGAAATTTAAAAGGATTGTAATCTTTGGGTTTAAAATATCAACAAATGTTATAGCACATGCAATTAGTGTAAAATATACACTTATTCTTTTTAAAATGCTAACATATCAAAAATACAGTACCTGGTATGCGAAACATATTATTGGAATTATTTGGAGTGCTTCATAGTCATTATCAGGCCATATTTTCATAGGATCAATAAGAGATTCGTTTTTTGTAAAATTTTTGTATACAATCAACCATGCTACGTACAAAACAGTTATACAGCCAAGGGAACTAGCATAACTTAAAACATCCAGTTTCTTAAAGAAACATAAGGGTAATATGAATACACTACAACTCACAGCTGTGACAAATGGTCTTGATAAATACCTGAAATATTCAATTTGCAAATGAGAAAATATACCAAGATTAAGCATTTTCTGAAACATAATGAAATATTACCATGTGTGACAGTAATCGAATCCATAATATGTTACAAAAACTCTGTCAAATTGATCGCCAATGATAATAATAAATGTCAAGCAGCATCCAAAACTATATATTATGATGCACAAAGCGCATAAGAAAAGCGACTTATGCCCACAGAAATCTGCAAACATGTCTTGCATAGTAGAAGTATTTGTAATATCGCTACAGTTTGCTAGGATTACAAGCGCAGCTGTAATAAAGACAAGCAACAGGAGTTGTACGATAATGGACGTGCCTATTCCTCCAGCTCTGTCGAATGCTTGCGGAAAATTTAAAAGACCAGCTCCTAAGGTAGCATTGATGATCAAAAAAATTGTACTTAATACGCTGGTGCCTGTAAATATAGTTCATTAATTAATTATGAGAGATTATTTAAGAAAATGAATGATCAATGTATTCTGTTCGTTCGTAAATCATAACTGTAAATTGAAGTAAAATGTTAGAAGCAATTGGCAAATGGTAAACACAATATACCTGATCGCACACATTGGTGCTCGCGACTAGAAGGATTTGGAGCAGTACATAATAACATATCATTTTGGATAAGTCTATCTGTTTCTCCAGTTAAATAATTCATGTTGAACAAGATTATATATCAACTAGTTATGTCAAACCAATATTTCGCCTCGCTTTTATTTCCAATTATGCTTTTCTTCCAATAGGAGGCACTTATCGATAATTTATCTAAGATTTTACAGTTGTGCTAAAGGTCAATGTAGGAAGAAAACATGCTTTGTTTGTGTTTTCACAGCTGCTCACAGCATTACGGCGATGCCAGACATACAGGGTATCCCAAAAATGTTGGATGTCCATGAAGGGGGTGGTTCAGGGGGTGATTTGAAACAACATTTTCCTTAGCGAAAATGTTGTTCGAGGCTTCGTTGAGGAGATATTAACGGAAAACCCCGACCAATCAGAGCGCGAGTATGCCCGTGGTAGCGAAGGCTACGCGCTCTGATTGGTCGTGGTTTTTTATTAATATCTGCTTAACGAAACCTCAGAAAACATTTTCGCTAAGGAAAAAGTTGTTTCAAATCACCTCCCGAAACAACCCTTTCAAGGTGTTACAACATTTTTGGGACACCCTATATAGTCGAAGACTGCACCTATTGGTTGATGATTGGTCGTTACTAGGAAACGACCGCCATGTTTGGTAGTGACAAATTTTTAAGCTCACCCCCACCGCTTACCGAGCGGCTCAGAGAGCGGTGGCGTGGAAAAACACCGAAGTTTCGCCTCTGTAGAAGTAATCTATGGCAAAAACAATTTCCAATAAAAATAGTTCCTGATAGTTCCCAACAGAAAATTGCTCATTATTCCATTCATATTGTTCCTTATTTATACATTCATTCAAATGTTAACAGCAAATTGTCCTTCTTGAATGTTGTCACAATGTGGTTCCGTGGTATTTCCAATGCTCACAATTTTTTTGGCATTGTGAATGTTAAAGTACGTTTACACTGTAGGAAAAATATCACATTGTGTCAATCGATCCGACATCAAAGCACGGTAGGTAGACAGTGCCCTACCATCGGTGAAATTATCGAGCAATGGAGCAATCGATTTAAAAATGAAGGTATTTCAGAACCTGTAGAATCTATCGAGCACATCGTTGCCCACGTGATAAACACTAGAAAGGTATGACAGTCGGTAAATAGTAGATTTACGAATTTCATTCAAACAATCTATGGACAAGTTTCTGTTTTAGTTTTACGTTTTGAATTGGTTTTGAATCTATCTTTATTTGTAGCGAAAAATAAATATGGAATTGTTAATAATAATAAATTTTGAAAAAGATGAAAAATGAGTTTTCTATTGAAACCGTCGGAGCACTACAATTAAATTTTTATTACTTCTTGGCTGTTAGAACAACTTATAAGCATTTCTTCTAATCTTTAAAAGCAGTCTGCTGATAAATTGTATCAATTAAAAACACTGTAAAATCATGGTGCCACAGAAATTGTAATCATGCATACTTATCCATTATCTCTGTTATTTTAACAAACAAATACTGCAATTTTAAATTCTATCAATATCAATATATAATTATGGAAGAGTTTGCAAATTTCCTAACAATAAGTATAACATTAGTTTTGTTTCATATTTTAGTCCACGATTTTTGTTTACATTATATCTGTTAAAACAATCTTAACATTGATATTTGGATTTAAAAAAAAAACTATTGTTTTCAGATATTAGATCTTGTAAATGCTCAAAATAATCAGCTCACATTAGATCAATATCATAAGTTGGAATCATTATGCGAATGCCGGTTGTCTAGGTACAAATATTCACAAATATCAAATTAGCTCTTTGGGCTAAACAAGCACAAAGGGTTAAAAATATTCAGTTTTGTATCTATTTTATGACCATAAAGAATAGATTTTTACAGGATGCCAGTACAGTACATAATAGGAGAATGGGACTTTCGAGACATTACTTTAAAATTAGTTCCACCTGTTTTCATTCCGCGACCAGAAACTGAAATACTAGTTGATTTTGTATTAAAAAGACTAAGTTCCTTACAGAAGGAAAAGCATGAGATTTTAGAACTTGGATGCGGTTCTGGAGCAATATCTCTTGCGATAGCTCATAGTAACAAAACTGTGATTATTGTTCAAGCTTTATTAATTTTTCATACACATATCTGCATATTCTGCTGTTTATAGCAAAATTGGTGTTCATAAATAGTAATCATGGATTTATGTGCATTGTAATGATAATTCTTTCTAGGTAAATTGCATAGCAATCGATGCAAACTTGCAGGCATGCGAATTAACTAAAGACAATCGAGATCGATTAGGTTTAGAACATCAAGTCACAGTTATACATGCAACTCTTAAAGATAATGGAGAAATCGAAGTTCCAAATGTATCAAATGGACATGGAAGTCTTGATTTAAATTCGAAAACTTTTGATTGCATAGTTAGCAATCCTCCATATGTACCTACTAAACAGATACTTACATTAGCTCCTGAAATTAAAATGTAATTCAATTATCTTCTTCTATATATTTACATGTAATTATTTGCAGGAAAAATATCTAAATACTTTGCTGGTACAATAAGCTTATTTTATGTTGTGAATTGTATGCTTACATCTTTCTAGTTACGAAGACTTAAGAGCCCTTGATGGAGGAGATGATGGCTTAAAAGTCATTAAACCTTTATTAAAATATGCTTCTACAGTCTTAAAACCTGGTGGACGTTTACTTTTAGAGGTTGATTCGACTCATCCTGAATACATACAATTCTTTACCAAAAAATATTGTACCCTGAAACTCCAGTATGAACATACCTACAAAGATTTTTGTAATAACGATAGATTTGTTGAGATATTAAAAGTGTCATAAATCTGTTTCGCCGTTAAATAATAGGATATTAAAGCAATAAACGGAATATTTATATATGAACACCCGTGTATAGCTTTATAATTAATATTTAAGTATTCCGTACAAGACGCATGCGCAGTGCGCATTCAGAATCGGTATCAAAAAAACGCTAGGGTTAGATCTACAGACATATGATATGTCTATGGTTGATCAAGCTAGACTTGATACAACTTGATTAGACCAATGGAATTCGTATGATTCAGATCATATGACTGCACATAACCATTCGGTATAAAGTGGTATAAACATCATTTTGCTAATAGTACGGTACTTATTGCATAGATACATGTGGATACATGTAGTGAGTTGTTAATTTCAAATGCACGTGAAATTTGCTGAGTTAATGTTCTAACAAATTGTAAATAAAGATAATATTAATAATTCAAACATGAGTACTACAGTAAAAAGCCAGGTAAAAATGATTTATTTATATAGAAAGTTAATGATTAATTTGTGAAACTAATTGTTGTAAAAGGATATAAGTTTCTGTTAAAAAATTATTCATAATAATTTCATTAATTAAATTATTTAAATCTTAAATTATGTATGATTTAGAAAAATGGGACATGTAAGACGGTATTTAAGATATTAAAAAAGCTTATAAAGGAATTTTTAATATGGCTAATAATCCAATTGCACATGATATTTGACTGGCTGGTGGATTTACTTTTCGGTTTCTACTATGATCATAGTGCAAAGAAAGTTCCACCGATAAAAAATGATTTACTGCTGATGAGTGCATCAGAATTAGCTAATCAAATCAGGTATTTGTAAAACTGACATACTTAATCCTTAATATATTACATATTTTAATTAGTGAATTTATCAAAGGCTGTGCTGGACTTCTTATCACAAGTGTTTTACCTTATATAATAACATTGTATGGGCAATGTTATGTTTCTCAGGATTGAGATAAATATCAGTAAAATCATTGAATGACAACTAGAGATACCCCTACATCTTGCATATAATATATAAATTATTCTATTTTCTTTATTGTACATAGTCATGCTGACTTATATCTGAACTTCGATTGGAAAGGGTTAAAATGTAGTCTCCATATATAATGTAATCAAAGATACAATTAATTGAAATATGAAATATTATAGAACAAAGAAAGTGTCATCTTTGGAGGTCGTCACAGCATTTATAGAGAGAGCAAAAGAAGTAAATGAAATAATAAATGCTGTCGTGGAAGATAGATACTCTAATGCCTTGGAAGAAGCTAAAGAAGTAGACAAACTTCTGCAGAAATCCCAAGACATTGATGTAATAAAGAAGAAAAAACCTTTCCTAGGTGTTCCTTTTACAACAAAAGAAAGTATTGAAGCAAAAGGTAACGTTATTATACAAGATAAACCAATAAGAGTTAGTACTTTTATTATTTAATTATTTAATATAATTATAAGATGTATTTTTAGTTATGGCATATATTGATTAAATATTTTTAATTATATAGTTTTTTTTACAAAACGATTTGTTTTCTAGAATTACATAAAACACATACAATAATTGAAGTTACTTAATTATGATAATTCTATAGGTATGCTTCATACAATGGGTTTAACAAGCAGGCGTGATTATCGCTCTGAAACTGATGCAACTGTAGTGGAGTTTGCAAAAAATGCTGGTGGAATTTTGATAGCAAAAACAAATATTCCTGAGCTAAATTTATGGACAGAGTCAAGAAACAATTTATATGGACAAACTTGTAATCCGTACAATACTACTCGAAATGTTGGTGGTAGCAGTGGTGGAGAAGGTGCTATTATTGCTGCTTGTGGTGCTGCAATTTCTATTGGCAGTGATATTGGTGGTTCTACTAGGATGCCTGCATTTTTTAATGGAGTCTTTGGATTAAAACCAACTGAAGGTTTATAAATTCTTATAATATAAATTATATTCAAATTATAATGATCAACATTAAATTGAATAGGCACGCACTATAAAAATAATTGAATGTCTGTTACATAAATAATATATTTTTATTTTTTGTTACTTCCATATTTCCATTGAATTACTATGCTGAAAGTGTTTAATCTATTATTACTATATTCTAATACCAGGTATTGATTATTTTTAGGTTTAACACCATTAAAAGGCGTTGGTCTTCGAAAAAAGGATTACCTTAATTCAATGGCAGAATCAGGACCAATTTGTAAAAAGGCAGAGGATATAGCGCCCTTTTTGAAAGTATTAATTGGGGAAAAAGTTTCTCGTTTGCAGCTTGATACAGTAGTAGACTTGAAAAAACTTAATATTTTTTATCAAGAAAGTTCAGGTGATCTGAGAGCAAGTAAAGTAAATTCTGAGATGAAAAATGCTCTTTTAAAATGTGTATATCATTTTAAGGAAATTACTGGATCCGCAACAAAAGTAATTTTTTTTTTTTTTATATAAAAATAACAATTTATTAAATTTTTAAAATACCCCTAGGGAATACGGTGACCTCCGAAACGAGACCATATTCGAACGTAAAAATTATTGTTTCTCTGCACCAAGTGATCTAAGTTGAAAATGATTTGAATTAGTGATCAAGTTCCCTCTCACACAAAAATTCTGAAATTTTGTTAATTCCTTATTATTAAGATTTTTATATTATTCTTAGCATTTTTATTTTTATTTTTATTGTTTTTTTTTTATAGGTAAAAATACCTGGTTCTGAATATAGCTATCGATTGTGGAGGTATTGGATGGGTCAAGAGAATTTTGACTTTAAAATGCATATTACAAATGGAAAGGTATATTACTAGAATTTTTATATATATCTGTTTTTAAGCGAGTTAAGCTTCTGGTATTCATGTTATTAGAAATTAACTTTGTTTATACATTTCTATGTATCTTTTTCAAGCTTTGAAATTATAACGTACTTATAATAACTAAATACATACTTAGCTACAGTTAATTCAATGTAATCATACATACATAATACATATGTATATGTTTCTATAATAATTTTTTTTGTTATTAATAATTTGTTCATTTTAACTTTATACATTATTATATATATATTATATAAGTTAATTATAACTATTTACATTCAAACAAACCATTTAAGTGTATATGTACATGTAATCAATTCCTTTTTTAGTATCGTGCAAGCGCAGTGACAGAAGCTCCCAGGTTTCTAACAGGAAAGTCTGAAATAACACTAGCTGCACTTTTAAAATTAATCGATGAAGATATACTACCTAAAGATAGTAATGAATGGGGAATGAATACAACTAAGAATATGAAAAAGTATTTATTGGTGAGTGTGTATCAATTTGTACGTGATTTTGACTGATTATGATGTACAGTATATTGTGGATGCCACCAAGATGTTGGAAGTTGAAACACTAATTCTTTATTTTAGATATAAGCAATTGAAATGTTTAACTTTGGTTTGGTTTTCAGGACAAACTGGGAAATGATGGAGTATTATTTTATCCATCGTCACCTTTTCCAGCTGGCTACCATTACTCAGCTTATTTGAGACCTTTTAATTTTGGTTATTGGTGTCTTTTCAATGTTCTGAGATTTCCAGTCTGTCAAGTACCTCTTGGTTTAGATAAGAATGGATTGCCTGTTGGAGTTCAAGTAAGAAATTTGTTCACTAAATAGTAAAATACTATCTTATTTGGAAAATTATTGTTTAAATATTTTTCATTACGTTAGTCATTTAGTACTTTACTTCAGATGTATAAATTTTATTTCATTGGTTGCATTATTGTAGATTTAAATATTATCTAAATGAAGATATTCCATTATTTCTGGCACATACATTAAATTTAATTTACGAAGTATTTACACACTTTTACTGATTAATCGTGAATTTTTTTCTTTAAGGTTGTTGCAGCTCCATATAATGATCACCTATGTATAGCTGTAGCACAAGAATTAGAAAGAGCCTTTGGTGGTTGGGTTCCACCATCTTAATTGGGAAAGTTGATAAATTGTACAAATTTGTCGCCCATGCTAAACTGTTTTAATGGGAATTTATGGTATTAGGTATTATTAACAACATAATGGTAATATGAAAATTGTTATTTCATTATAGTATAAGGCATTAGGCGTGCGATGATCATTTTCAATTTTCTAGTCCAATCACTTTTTATTGTTTTTGTCATGTTTAACTATTTGAAACAGAATAAATGTTACTATCAAATAAGGATAAAGTATTAGGTATAGAAATTAATTCTGTGACTTTATATTCAATCATTTATTACTTTAGTTTAAGTAGAAATATTTAATCGCCATTTTGTTATTATATATTAAATTACAAATCTTCTAGGTTCTCGACCTGATTTCTATTATAATCAATTTATACATATACTGTATATCATAAGTTTTAATTTGATAACCGTTACAACATACGTATATGTATATACGAAGTTTGGTAGCCATACATTTTTGCTTATTATTATTATTATTCTAATAGATTCCAAGAGTACTTGGTAATTACAGTAACTGTAAAAGAATAACAATAAGCAACATTTTTTTAATGTACCAAAATGGTGAGTAAGTGTATCTTTTTAAACTAGAGTTATAAATTATTGAATACAGAGGCACAGAATTATTAATTTTCACACCTAATAATTTCAACAACCCAATCTTGTTCACATAAATGCATTTGAGCTCTTTAGTTTGAAATACTAATTGAGAATGATATCTGGTTCAAAGTTTATTTGTTTTATATATTGTGAAATAAAATGTTTTGATAACTTTTCACATATCACCATGTGTTTCTATAAAAATTTCAAATTTACTATGTTTACATTTTCCAATGAATACAATAAATCCTACGAGTTGTAAATGTAATAAGCTATCTTGGACATATAGTTTGGTACATTTTGTACATGTACGTCCCCCACCCTAGCTTCTATTCGTATACGCACGCGCAATGGCGAAGTGTGACCGCACCACACAAACATAATACTTAGCGCGGAAGAAAACGAAATCGTGTTACGTATATCCTTGGCAAATAAAAGCGCAATGCATTTAATTCGTTAAATGCACGATTACGCTCTACACTTTCAATGATTGACTACAAAAAAAAATATCGATCGTTGGAAAATAAACAATATCGTTTATAAGACGACAAAACACGCAATTTAGAATTTACCGTTCAATATTTAATAAACGACAGATTGAGAAAAAATACGTAACACGGTTTCATTTGGTTTCACTTTCTTCCGCGCTGCGTATTACTTTTGTGTGGTGCGGTCACACTTCACCATCGAGCGTGCGTACACGAATAGGAGCTAGGGTGGGAGACCTTGGCGCCCCAGAGAGTTGCTTCGCGCTAGCGAGAATTTGCGAAAACTTTAACAATTTTTTACGGGAAAACGGTTCGTCTCCGATATTTGGCTCCTTTGAAGCTTTTTACCTACTCTTCGAGTAGAATTGTTAAAAATTAAAAAAAACTTTGACCTTAAATTTCGAGGTCATAATGGATTTTGCGGACGGTTTCATTTCCAAATGTCCACCGATCCAGATGTGTACAATAAACCCTGAAAGTAGTGTCCATTAATTTTTTTACACCCTGTATATATTATATTCAGGGTCGATTTAGCAATATTGGCGTTCCGGGAAAGATTACGTGGCGCCTCTTCAGGGGTATACAGGGTGTCCCAAGAATGTTGCAAGTCGTTGAAAGGGGTGGTTCGGAGGGTGATTTGAAACAACTTTTTCCTTAGCGAAAATGTTGGCTGATGCTTCGTTAAGGAGATATTAACAGAAAATCCCGACCAATCACAGCGCGAGTATGCCGGTGGGGCGGCCGCGGTAGCGTACGAGAGCGGCCACCTAGCGCGTAGCCTACACTACCGCGGCCGCTCCATCGGCATCCTCGCGTTCTGATTGGTCAGTGTTTTCCGTTAATATCTCCTCAACGAAGCCTCGGACAACATTTTCGCTAAAGAAAAACTTGTTTCAAATCACCTCCCGAACCACCTCTTTCAAGTTGTTACAACATTTTTGGGACACTCTGTATTTTTCGAAAACATTATTTACCTATTTTTAAGGATTAAGTTTTAAATTAATAGTTGGACCCCTAATGTCGTTCACCCGCTTAATTACCATCTTCTATATTTATCGAAAACATTATTTCGTTTTTTTGTAAGGGTTGCGCCGTTTCGTATACATCGTTTATTTGTTCGTGATGTATTCATGCTTTATCTCGTTCGTGGCTATCGCTGCACGTGACGACATTGCGCGGAGACCGTATTACATGGTGGTGGGGGTAATGACGTCGCAGCTCTCGCTCGCTCCATTCACTGACCGGCCGTCGTCGCGAGTAGTCGCGAGTCTGTCCTGCTTTCTTCTGAACATCGATACCGTTCCAGGATCTAACGGAATATCCCGGAAGTGCGGTTTAGACTTCGCCTGGCTCTTTGTGCGCGAACTTTTCTCGTACGAGCTAGTACGAATCTTCGGCACTCCTATCGGGAACGATCGATATCGATCGGTGGTTTGTAATCAACGCCTAGAATGTATTTGTGAAAGCTAACTTGTTGGTCTATCTTTCTTCTTCTCGCGTATTTATGTTGCGTGTGTGCGCGCACATGCGTGCATGATTTGTGTACATAGCAGTGTTTGTACGGATTCGAGAAGGTCTTTGGACGCGAAAGGATACGATCGATTGCGATTCGTGGAACGAGATATGACCGTCGCCGGAAAGGTGAGTTCTGTTTACGAATTCTTTCGATTACATTACTTTAGAAAATGTTAGGTTAAGTGAACTAGATTTATTCTGGCCGCACAAAAACGGCTTTAACGTTATGAATATCGGTATCGTTATTCGATCCAAGTATTCTTTAGTGTCGCTTCTCAAAGTTTACCGGATTTGTCAAACTGTACAATTAGGACAAATGATCGAGTCACTTGAACGGAGTGTTCGATGCATTTTAATTAATAGAACACATTGCGCTTAGTCATACACGAAAGAAATAATACGAAGTCGTGTATTATTACGATTTAGGAAAGTTGTAAGCTTGCGAAGTACGATATCTATTTTATTCAGTTTCAGTCTATAATACGAGAAAGAAAATCACCAATGCGATTTTCGTTAATGGGTAGTACTTTTTTCGATAAACTAGACGAACGATGGCAATTTGTTTCATCGTTGCAAACTTTATAATATGTGTACATGTAAATGTACCGAATCTAGAACATATGCTTATTGAAAATGTATTCTATTCATTTCGATGATAGGAAATGTGGTCATACATACATCTTCGCTTAATTTTTGAATTATCATTTTTCATTCCCTTTAGACTTTTTATAACGAAATTTATATTAGAATATTTATATTAGATTATATTAGAACATTTATATTGGAATAAACACGACTCTTGTTTTCATTTTAGAGGAATTGTTGATAACGATTTCTTCTGCAGAGACTTTCACATTCTTCGTGACGGTTATAAGCGCTTGAAAACAGTTTGAAATGATTTTATTTTGAAATTTGTGACGAGATGATGCGCATATTGCGAATTCGAACGATGTTAATCCTTTGCGGTCGTATGTCAAACGAGAGTCGACAAAAATGTATCGAAATTAGACAATCTGGAACACGAGGGATTAATCAAAGTAATTTGCCGAGAGTCTTCGAGTCATCCTATGAAGTATTGTATGAAATATTTGTATCGAGAAGTTTGAGAGTTTGTTAATTCGCTGATCAGTTAATATTAGGAGAGACTGAGGTCAATTGAAACAAGTAAAACAACTTAACGGGAGAAACCACATCAGGAAGTCAAGTTATTAAATGTTTCTCGGGATATATTTTCTTGCAGAGAAGAATTAATCTAAAGTTTTTCTTTTTCATTCGGAGAATACTTTAAGTAAGTTTTAAAATATACCGGGTAATTTTTTTACAATTCATTTCGCAGAGAAACAGCATTTTGAAAATACGAGGTGCCAACTTCGCGTGACCTGAAAAAACTTCAACTCCCCACATCTTTTTTATCTTTGAGTTTACGGCTGAAAGCCACAAGAACTTTCGATAGAACTCTTTGGGGTGACAATGGAACTCTCAACGGAACTTTAGAATTTTCAAAAAACTTCATTTTCGTACTTGGAAATTTTCTAGGAATTTGAAATGGTCTAGTCGAATAAGGGTGGTAAAAGTTCCCTCAAACTAAATGGCACGGGGTTCATACCATTCGGTCGGGGGTAACGAGTATACATATACAGGGTGTCCCAAAAATTTTGTAACACCTTGAAAGAGGTGGTTCGGGGGGTGATTTGAAACAACTTTTTTCTTAGCGAAAATGTTGTCCGAGGCTTTGTTAAAGAGATATTAAGAGAAAACCTCGACCAATCAGAGCGCGAGTATCACGGTGGAGCGCCCGGAGTAGCTTACGCTACGCGCTAGGCGGCCGATCAATCAGAGCGCGAGTATGCCGGTGGAGCGCCCGGGGTAGCGTACGAGAGCGGCCACCTAGATCGTAGCCTACGCTACCGCGGGCGCTCCACTGTGATCCTCGCGCTCTGATTGGTCAGTGTTTTCCGTTATTATCTCCTCGACGAAGCCTCGGACAACATTTTCGCTAAGAAAAAAGTTGTTTCAAATCACCCCCCGAACCACCTCTTTCAAGGTGTTACAAAATTATTCACATTCATATTCACATTACGATACATTACATAATTAACGAAATGAAACAGGAATTCTAAGACAAACGGAAAAAAAGACGGTAAAAGAGATCCTCTTCTGAATCGATAGAGAAGTTTCCGCCAAAGTTCAGGTGATAACCCACTGCTGAGTCGATAAGGAAGTAACCATTTACCAGGTGTCGGTGACAGAATGCCGTTACCGACCTAACTACCCACCAAACCGACGGTCAAATTCAATATGGCGTCGGATCAACCAGCTAAATATGTTAAAAATGCTCAATTTTACACACGCGTATTTTCTTAACTGTTGAATTCCTAACATTTTTACTTACGAAAAAGAAAAAAATTTTAGGCCGCGAAATTTGAAAAATTTAAATTTTTCCCGAAAAATCCAAAAATTGTACAGAAAATGAATTCAAATACTTTGTTTTGTATTTTCTTTTTTCGTAAAGTTAATTCCAAAATTCACACTTTGAAAAAGAAACCGTCTAATTTGGTCAATTTTGAACAGAGCTGTAGCTATTTGGAAAAAAAGCGACGTTTTTTTTTAATAATTCATAACTTCTTTTTGGTTCAGTAGAAAAATCTGCAAAAATTCACAAAGAGGTATTTAGTAGGGTAGTATAATATAAAAACATTTCATGAATCTCTCCCTTTCTAAAAACTCTTTTCAATTCGTTTATTAGAGGAAGGAATTAAAAGTACGTTTAAAAATGATTAATATAAGTATCGTCTTAATCGATGCGAAAAAAAAAGAATCTGGCGATCAGGTTTGTTGGATCATGATCCGAACCCGGATCTTTCGCCTGCCAGGCGACTGCTTTAACCAATTAAGCTATTCAGGCCGTCGACGACTCCTTCTCTCCTAAGTCTTACAACCTACAATGCCTGTCGGCTACACTATTTATAATTATTACACAGACTTTCCTAAAAGTTACTTCTCATTTGCTCATAGAAACATTACTAAAGAATTTTACAATTACTTATTCTTATATAATTGAGAATCATAGTACATTTGCATGATAGGACGAAAGACTTTAATAAAAGTTATTATTTTTTATTAAATCATTAACATTTGCATACAAAAAGTGTCAGTCTACTGAATGAGAAAAGCTCATGAAAAGTATTGCATAATTGTAGGTTTTTAAATACGTATCATTTTGAAAGTTTAGGGTGACGATAGAAGATGTAGAATCATAATATAATGAAAATGTAAAAAAAAGAAATGCTAATTATATTAAAGATTAATAAGTATCAGTATCAATGTGAAATAACAGAATCCTTACTCATAATTCTTAATTGTTCTTTTCAATAATGAAACTTTGTGCCTATTCTCAATGAATTCTTTCCTCATCCATATTTTTCCAAAACTAATGAACATGAAGTTTACTTGTGCTAATATTACTCTAGCAACATGTTCACGACATACTTGTAGAATGAGTGCTGTTGGTTTTAATGGAGAAAGTTTAAAGAACGGCGAATCTCGGTCGGAAGTGACAAATTTCTTTAAGAAAGTTTTACATGAAGTTTCTCCCAATCTACTATTGCATTGCTTATGTTTTTTATTTTGAATGTATTATTCCAATTTCTAGTTACTTTGGAAGATTTATTTTTCCTTACACTCCTAACAAAATCATCAACTATTATACAAAAGTAATTTATATGAATATATAACAGAAATTTGATTCCATTCGATGAACTAATCAATCCATTATGACAGTAATTGAATCCACTTTTCAGGATTTATTATGTTTGCACTTATTTATTAATCCATACCTTAATTATATAGGTATGTGTAATTGTAAGATTCTTTAGTAGTGTTTATATCAACAAATAAGAAGTAGTAACATTAAGGATAGTCTTTCGCACACTATCATTTCTAAATACAAGTACATTTTAAATGTTTCAACTTTGCACGGTTCCTTATACTGCGTCTTCTTTTAAATATATCCTTGTTTTGAACTAAAGTTGATTATCTTTTAATCCATTTTTTTTTATGCTACCCGTTTCTGTGGCAAATTAATTTCTTTATTTTTTATTAATCACGTTACAGCAAATAAATACACAATCAGTATTGTGAAAGAAATAATATTCTTATCTGAGAAACGAGAAAAAAAAATAATACAGACGACAGAATTATTGTAAATAAACAAATACGATTATACGATAGTAGGTTTAATTGAATAATTAGTGGACGATAATAGCTTCAATTAAATAATTGATATTAGATACTTTCAAAGTTATTTTGAATCCGTGTGTGAGACAACCATTTTTCTCTTGTAAGGTGGGAGAATTCTGTATAACAGAATAGAACTTGTCGCGTCCCTTTACTTTCACCTGGATCTCTGGAAACGATCGTATCCAGTGATCTAAAAGAGCCACGGCCTATTTACCATAATTCCACGTCTTATGGAAAGAATTTGAAATTGAACACAAAAATATAAATACATCAGAAACTCAAACGGAGCAAACAAGATTAGTTACTGTTTTATTAAATATTTCTTTTAAAATGTGTCTTTATTATGAGTAAGTTTTATCCTACTTTGCAGCATTGTATTATCTAAATTTTAAGTGTTAAAATTAATAAATAGAAATGACTTTAATGTATCGTTTTTATAATATACTTTATATATTCAATATGTAATGTATGTATAATGTACAATACACAATATACAGTATTGTATATTATATATTCAAATAAATATACATAATAACATAAAAGTAAAAAATAAGTGTAGAAGTGTAAAAGTAAGTAAATAAGATATGCATATGTGTAGGTGTTTCATATATAATAAAACAATACAACAGACAATACGGTACAACATATAGATTATGTGAAAGTAATTAATACAAATTATGATTTCAGGAATTGACACTTGCATTTAAAGAAAACTTAGCAATCTATAAAATACTATACAAAAGTCTATATCGACATCTTCTGAATCTGAATTGACATTTTGGTTTTGCTTTTAGAGATTCGTGGACTGTACCATTTTGGAAACTGGAAGCATTGCTGACGCAGAGGACTCTTCTTATGACAGCGATTACGAAGTCGAAGATTTGATTCCATCCACGAATGCTCATTCGCCAGTGGAACTCCAGGTAAATTCAAGAATATTTCAGATAATACTACATTAAGTAATGTAGTATAATAACAATTCAATAGAATTCAACAAATATATACAAAGTGTTTACCTACAGGTGATAATTCTTTCAGGAAGATCTCTATCGTATCAGAAGAATACTCTGTTTTACCCATAGACTTTCTTATTTTGCCGATAGATTATTCTGCTGTACACTACGCAGATTCCTGTTTCACTAGCAATGCTCTGTATTACCGGCGGAGAAATATTCTCTTATACGGGTATCTTACCGACTGGAAATCAGTAGTTTGAAAGAAAAATATTTTATATGTAAATATTCATTTCGTCTTAAAAAGTAGTATACAATTTTTGCTTCTTTCATTCAAAACTATAAATTAATACGAGTGTTTTAGTTGTTGCAAAGATTTCAGTATTTTAACATTTAATTACGTTTAAAGAAAAGGGGTTGGTATTTCTTGCATACATTATGAGGATTTATAATTTTTGATGTAATTAATTGAATAACGGGTTTCTAAATACGGTCTATTTTATCACTATTGACTCGTAACACTTGACTTTTAAATTACAGGTGTCCACTTCAAGCCACTCAGATGTATCTAGGACCATCTCAGACACCTTAGCTGCAGAATTTGCAGAATATGTCACAGTTCAAGGAAGTCCACCTATTCAGAGTCCAGGTATAATATTAAATACATATGTGTATATGTAGAAATTATAACAAGTAGAGGATTTTTCGCTCAAACGTCGACTATATTAATCCTTTACGCAAAAAAAAAAACTGATTAAACAAATTTTCTTCTTTATTGGAATAATTTTCGCTTGCTATTCCAATGTATAGTTCAATTGTTATGTCTTATACCTTGAAAACCCTACTAGACGATAAAGATGATTATAATTTGAGAGCAAGAACAAGTAGGACATATATTTATGTGAGCTTTCCTTCATGTTTTCTGTATGTTATGAAATATTTTATATCTTATAGTCTAGGAAGTCAGGATATACATACATAAGTGGCGTTCTGATGGCTCATTACGAAAGTTATCGTTAATCAAACTTGAAGATCCCAAATTCGAGTCCTGTTGTCTTGTCCTTTATCCTCGACTACAAAATTTGATGTCAAACGTGAGATAGGAGCACCAATGATGACATGGGGTATGAATGACCGTAGTGATGAGTTTTCAAGCTGCTTGTTTGCAAGCTTTGTTCGATTTCCTACTCCAGGGTCGGTTTCCTACTCCTACCCTACAGCTATCCTATGGCTATCCTACTCGCCTTGGACTCATGGACCATTCCATTCGATCAGTAGGTAGGAGGATTCACTCTCAAAAGATGAAATTAATAAGATAACTAAAATATGGGGAAAGATTATAGAAACGGAATTGATAGTACGTTTATGATTAAATTAAACGGTTTCAATTTCTTTCATTGAAAGTTAACGTCGGAAAACGACCTTATTTATGAGTTGACCTAATACATATTAGACAAGGAATTCATCATCATTCATTTAAATTTATGCATCAATGATTTTTAAAGGTACTAATATTTTTATTATACGCATCTTATCCAAGGCACCTTAGGAACAATTGTTAAACCACATTTCCGAAATATATATTGACGTCTTTAAACATTATACATAAAATATTATTATAAATTGTAAAATTATTGAATTTCATAAAATTAAATTTAATCCAAGAAGGACCAACCTGTGTGCAGATCAGTTGTAAATAAGGATTGCGTGTACAATAAATATACTAAAACCTTGAAATTGAAGCTTTCATTCGATGAATTGTTGATGTAATCGCTTTTCCTGCTACGCTTTTGTTTACATCAAATATTCAGAAACATGCACTTTAAAGTCATCTTTAGATTTTTGTCATGACACTATGCACATACCTATCACAAATTTCTCTAACATTTTAGGGATTTCTCCTCTCCTGGCATTGATGTGTTCCAACTGAAGATTCTAAACTTCTTTATATGACAGGCCATCATAAATAGTTGAGTCTATTCGAGGTCGGCTTTCTTACTACTCTCCTCGGTGAGTTGTCCTCAATCACCTGCTTCTGTTTTTTTTTCTTTTTTTTTTTATTTATCGTACACTTCTGAAACCTGAATACCTCTGAATACCTGAATACCTGAAAAAATTATGAACTTCTTTTTACCATCTAGTAGTTTTTTTTTGGGGGGGGGGGGGGGACAATATTGCATACAGTTAATCTACATGCCACAGTGAATGTGATAAAGGCAGTGATTATGCATAATCCCCACTAAAGTTGGTCAATGTGATAAATTCTGGAATATTTATCAAATTCACCTGTGATTTTATATAATCCCCAACTCGTAATGGGAAATGTGATAAACTTGGTAATGCATATGCTGTCTACACGAAAATACTGTCTGAGTAAGTTTAGACCTAGGTTTTTGCACGCTGTTATTGGTCGATAGCTTTTCGTTAATAATTCAAAAACGAAGCACCATCCAACATTTTTTCAAAGGAAATTGTGATTCAGAATCGTCTCAGCTACCCCCATTTTCGGTTTTTACACTAATTCTGGGACACCCTGTATGTGTATTTTGAATTCTCCTATGTAAGCATACCTCCTTAAATATTAGTTTTAAAATGTAAGATAAAAAATTTGTATGTCCAGAAACTTTTGTACGTCATGTTAAATGTTGAGTACTTATCATAAGATTTTACATTACTTTCTTTGTATTATAGTGATTATTTCCAACAAATTAAAACTCACTATCCCAAATGGTTATTATCAACATTAATATTTTATACTCCCTTTATCTTGTATTATGTTGTACAAAATTATAATTACATAAAATTATTTTTAATGATAATTCATGTAACGTTAACGAATATCATGTGATTATTTAACGTTACAAATAAACAAAACTTTTATGTTCCAGGCTACACAGCTCGAGTAGAGTTTGCGCTGAAGCTTGGTTATACCGAACGATTAGTCCAAACAGCTTTGCAGAAGTTGGGTCCGGATCCAGAGCAAAATGAGCTTTTAGCCGAATTAATAAAGCTCGGTGCTAATAGTTCTCAAAAGTCAGTTGATACTCCAGAGGAGTCGGAAAATGTTCTAGATATTGATGCAGTGACAGATGTGAGCAGTGGATGCTCTACTAGTCTCAGACCCGTCGTTATCGATGGAAGCAACGTGGCGATGAGCCATGGGAACAAAGAAGTATTTTCTTGTAGAGGAATTAAAATTTGCGTAGACTGGTTTAAAGCAAGAGGACATGAAGAAATTACTGTGTTCGTACCAAAGTGGAGGAAAGAGGCTTCTAAAATTGATAATCCAATCGCTGATCAGGAAATTCTAGGAGAATTAGAAAGGGACCGTTTATTAGTTTTCACACCATCTCGGTTAGTATGTCGCTATATAGATTATTTATTGATGTTCATTACTATACACAGACAAATATTTGAAACGTTTACCATTGCGTTTAACAAATTGATTCAATGATATCGGTACCCACTAATTATTTCTTAAACCACTTATAAAATTAAACAAACATCGTTGTTTAAAATTTTCATATATATTTTTATTAATTTAATTTAAATAACTTCTAATATTTGATTTCAGATTAGTTGGCGGTAAGAGATTAGTTTGTTACGATGATCGGTATATCCTAAAATTAGCAGCAGAAATTGATGGTATCGTCGTCAGCAACGATAACTATAGAGATTTGGCACAGGAGAATCCAGAATTTCGGAAAGTCATAGAAGAGAGGATTTTAATGTACACTTTCGTAAATGATCGTTTTATGCCACCAGATGATCCATTAGGCAGAAGCGGACCGACTTTGGAGAATTTCTTGCGGATTATCCCAAAAAAGTCTGATCCAGCCCCACCTTGTCCGTATGCAAAAGTATGTGGAAATTTATTCTTTCTTTTCTTTTCTTTTTATAGAAGTTGCTTAAAAAGTCCGTATATATCTTTTATTTAAAAAAATCCTGTGTCAAAAATAATTGTTTTAATAACTTTTTAAGGGGTGTTCTAGTTTAACTGGTTTCAAAACCTGATATTTAGAAAATTGTGTAAGGAAACAGTCTCAGGATGGTGGCACGGGGTTTAACACGTAAATTAATTGAACATAAATATCTTCAGTATCTGGTATTTTTAATTCCAGCCACACACTTTCGTAAATCGAAATAATAACACTTGGCTGAATACACGCGTAAAGGAAAACAAACAAACCAAACTGCAAAACCGATGATACTCCTAAAGGAAAAAGATACAAAAGATTAAGACTGGCCGTATGCCTCCGACTTACCGGTGAACTCGCTCAACTAAAACTAAAACTTGTTGGTCTCAAAATTGGTTCGGCTAGCGCCACTCGCGGTCACCCGCACGATAGGTGAAATGCGTGTTTGTGTACCTATATAGCGTCGTACACGTATATAAAAGTTATCGAACAAACAAGAGTATAAATTTTGCGATCCAATTAATTCGTTTCTTAATTTTTTTTCAAAATAATGTAAAACTTTTTTTAAATTCCATTTAACACCTTTCGCCGTCGAAAACCATGCATCTTAAAAATTTTATATGGTAAATTATGAATAGTTGAGAGAAGTTTCAGCCAATTGAGTGCCTCGTCAACTCCTGAGCAACGGACTTTACCTCCCTATGAAAATTCTAGCAATAATATCGAAACACAAACGTAGCGGTGTAAGTAATTTTTCTTTGTTACAGAAATGTACTTATGGAAATAAATGTAAATTTCGACATCCAGAAAGAGGTCCTCACCCTCAAAAGTCAGTTACAGAGAAATTAGTTGAACATGTACAAAAGCATCTTCAAACAAGAGGTGTAAGTTCGAGCTCTGTTATATCAAATAGCGTACCTTCCAAAATACCTCAGCATCAACCATTGTGTAAGACCAGATCGACGATAACCGCTAGCGCTCAATCATTGCATTCGGTTATAAAAAGTAAATCTGTAGAAAATGTTACAGTCGAGCAACCAATAAACCCTGGCACGCATGGATCTCAAGTACCCTCGACTACAAGTTCTCAGGGTAACAGACATTTTGTTATAAATATTTGTATGTAAATCTGAACCTCTTTTAGAACACTACGTAAAATTATTTCTAGGAAAATAGCTTAATATTTACAAACTTATGTTGTAAGTTTATTTAGTTGGAGACGAAAATATTGTTATATCTTTGTGGACAATATATTTAAATATACTCCTATATTTTTATGAGTAAATTAAGACAATTAATTTACTTGTGATTTATGATTTTCTGGATTGCTTTTGAACTGCAAAATGATATATTATTTTTTTTTTTATTAATAATTATACAGTGTCTCACGGACTCTGATCACTTGAATACCTTTGTTATTTGAAACAATAACGCGAAAATGTTTCGTACAAAATTTTCAAGAGATTCAAGATATTCAAGTGATCAAAGTTCGTGGAACATACTGCGTTTAAAAATATAATTACCTTAACCTTCGTTAATAGGTTATCATTCTTCCATGTGGTCAGCAGGAAGATTAAATAAACCAGAGGTAGAACTACAAAATCCTCATAGAAAACTTCAAAGGCAATTAACATTGAATCCAGTCTGTGATCCTCGACTTTGCCGATTGCGGCAATATCAGCAATCATCTCAAACAAAGTCGGTATCACAATCAGCTAGTTCAGTATCTTCTATCACAACTTCTAGATCGCAACATAGACCATTAACTAGACATTCGAGTAACGAATCACCTTACAGAGCTCCAATGAAGTGAGTGTTGAATTTTTACATTTCTTTCTAAATGCTGAAACATACAATAGTGTGCAAAATTATAAGACCTACACACTTTTTTGTAATTCCAAGCTTTTCATAAGATAAGATGCTCGGAATTACAAAAAAGTGCAAGGGTCTTATAATTGTACTCCTGTGTAGTTTTATGAATTTAATTTGATAAAAAGAATAAAATTTTACCCGTATTTTAAACTTTATTTTTGTTTTTCTAAAAAATATTTAATTATTATAAATGTTTAATATAGTTAATGCTTTAATTATTCAGTTGGGATCATTCGGAAGCACGACAATGTCATCAACATGTAACCCGTATTGCTTCGGCGCCAGATTCTTATCAAGCTTGGCCACCAAATAATTCAAGCATGAGCGCATCGTCAGGATCAAATCCACGATTGGGTGCCTCAGACCCACAATTGAATCCTGTTGCATCTTCTTTGTACTCGAACATGCCTTCAGACGTATTGAAAGAATTTCTGGACACTAGAACTAAGATACATTATCATTTGGCGAATATTTTTCCTGAAGAACATGTAAGGGCTGCTATGCTCATTCACCCGTTTGAAACAGATCCAATAGAAATCTGCATTGCTGTTCTAAAGATGTATCCCCAATAATGGAGTAAGAATGATTTTTTTTTTTATTTATCTAATTTATATTTATTATACGAATATAACCAAACTGTAAAGAAGGGTCTATAAGTATTTAAAAAATATTGTGATATTCAATAAAGTTTAGGCAAGTAATCTTTTATACAGTTATGTCTTAAAATATATGAAGATTTATTTACGAAAGTGTAAAAAACATAGCATATAAATTTTCAAAGAATTTTTAATTTGCATACCCAAATGTTTTTTTAATGTTTATTAAAATAAAATAACGTGTCACATGGAACGGTAACATTTTTAACTTCATAGTCTGAATAATAAATAAACACCTAAAATTTTTTAAATATGAATTGTTACATTGATAATAATTCACATGTGGAATAAATATTAAATACCCATCAAGATCTTTTATAATAATAAAAATTGAAGTCTTATATCTCATTTTACTAATTATTTGACAATATCGCTTTATATACTAAAATACTGAATACAAAAAATTATAAAAAAATTTTTTAACAGTAAAAAGAACATTTTAAAAATAGTTATAATTTGCAGTACCAAAAATGAATAATGCCTATTTTAATTACAAGTATTCGGCACAATTCTAACACAAAGTGGACATATCGCTATAGAGTATTAATAATAATAATAATAAATCTTTATTATATACAGATACAATAGTAACAAGAAAAAATAAATGGGAAGCAAAGTCACGAACAATGTGGAAAGTCAACGTTAGCTACAATGTAAAGATCAAAACTCAGCGGTGAAAAGAAGATGCTATTATTAACCTTGTCGCTATGAGCGGCTACTTTTGTGGATGTTTATCAAGGCTACCATTGCAAATGGTCACTATAGTACATAGCCGCAACGTATAGTAACTTTTGCTTTCAAATGACAAAATTGGAACTGTCAATTCTCTCTGGAACGACTCAGGTAGCAATATTTATCGCAAACTGAAGCCCATAAAGACATAAGGAAGGGGGGGGGGAAGGATTATTTTATGACTCTAATACGTTCCGTGCTTGGCCAGACCACTCTTGGTTTGATTTATAGAGTTGTTCCATAGCCAGGGTCACATCATCTAAAGAAATGCGTCTTGACTGCTCTGAGAACACGTTCAAATATTCCTGCATGATCTTGGTGGGATCATCCTCATCACTCAACAGCAACTTGCTTTGAGATGTTGGAATTTGGCATTGCTAATGGGAAACTAGAACTCGCAATGGAAGCTTGTTTAGGAAGCACGTACAAGCATTACAGTCTGAATAAAAATTAACCTAAAATTGGTCCGGAACGGAACGTCTTCACGGTATAAAACCTAACATTTGAAAGCAGAAATTACTGTATTCGTCTCGCGCAAACATCCGGCGCGCTGGTAAGGCGAGAATATAAATTATTGTATCGTAACGGTATCCATTTATCTGTTGCCATGGCAAACAAAATAAAGTCGTCGTCTAATATGGATCTGTTGCTTAACTTTATTAACTTTGTATTTTTTTTTTACGTTTTTTTTTTATATTATTTGCGTACGAGCATTATGATTTTATTTTATATCGTTTGATCATGTTTCTAGTTTATTTTTTGTTAATAAATGTACATTTGAAGTGAACATGTCTTAGTTTTATTAATAGTAATCGTGTCTTATTTTCGATACAGAGTACCTTTGGATACAGTTAAAACAAATATCTAACGTTGAATAAAATGGAAAAAAAGGATAGTAAAGAGTTATAAAAGATTGAACTTTTTGAACGGCAAGGAGTTAAATGTCCCTGGTCTGTTAGGGATCATTCATACTGCGATAACAAACACGTTTGTTTACATTTACAAATTATCATTTCAATAGCGATAGAGAGTGCGATAGAAAAAAACATACATTTATAAGCGAAAAAAACATCGATGACCTTAGAATCTATCAAAACATGATACATTTAGGAACAAGAAATTGTTGCAGCGTACTTTCATATCATTCAAATTCCATGCGTTATAAAATATTTGGTGTATCGTAACAATTGAAAGAGATGTTCAGGTGGCCTGTTTTAGGTTGAACAACTCCTGTATAATTAATGTTAATTCTCTGCCTCTGTTTCCATCATTTGAACAGGATCATAAAAATTATTGTGCGTTCATTTGGGACTGTTTATGACGCTTACAGACGCTTACACGCTACAATCGTGACAAACTACGCTACCGATTCTATCCGATTCGTTCTGATTCTACATGAATGTGACGTCATTTTGGACAAAAGTGGTGGGAATACCCTTGGCTTTATATAATGATTAAAACGAAGAGCTAAGTACGCGCCTCTCAACGCTAAGACTACTGCCAGGGTAAACGTATATCGTTTATGCATACATCTACATTTTTGTAATTAGAAGGAGGAAGAGCAAAATAATTTACGAATGAAATTAATTTTCTATTGCAGTTTGCCAATATGTTTGTCTCTTTTCCTTCTTTGGAAAATGTTCGAAAGAGGAAAGAAGATAGACATATCGGCAAATTTCAGATTTATCCGAAGCCTAGGGTTTTGCCTATCACTGAACAGTGAACACAACGATAGAAGTTTCCGTATGCATTAAAGTCCCTAGCTAGTGTCATTTAACTTGTACGTATAGATGGCCTATCGATCGTCTTTAATAGTGCTTACACACACATACGAATCTCACTTGGTATGAGGGACTTGATGTCCTGTAACTGCCTGTAACCATCCCTGTCGCACCTAACACTGGTTCTTCAACTTTTCTCTTATTGTCGTACGTCGTGCGGTGAGTTCAATTCGTCACAATAAACTCAATAACATATAACAGATGTTACAAATAAACTAATTTTTATAATTGATTGGTACGTAATGCAACGAGTTACATCAACGAATATATGATAACTGAAATTAACTGTAAGCATAACTGTGTGGTCTCCATTGTGATTATATAAATGAGATAATATTCCATTGACTTAAAAAATGACTTACATTTGTCGATAGTTTGATTGTCATTATACTTTTAACACGTTGATTATTATTTGTTTCATTTCGAATTTATAAATTTCATCTCTGTTAAGTTATAATTTTGTAATGCAATCAATAATGGGAAATGAGCAATGTGTTTCTCGCAATAATGCAATAGTTACTATCTCTAGCATATAATAAATTAAGTTTAATAAAATTAATTGGTTTATAATATTTCAGTAATAATGATTTATATATAAGAATGTAAATTTTATTAAAATTGTAATCAAAATGAACACATAGTATAAAACATATAAAACATAGTATATGCTACTGTACATTAATTATAATAAAACTGGAAACATATTTTACTTTTATGTATATTACATTTATAATTTAATTAATATATTTTTTTTTACAATTTATTGTTTCATTTTTCAAATATTGAATGACAATGATGGTAAGTTAAATTTATTTTTGATTATGTTGGTCACTTTGTGAACAATAATTTGTATTCCTTTGCAATTTTAATTTTTGTAGAGCTTGATATATTATGGTGGTATTATATGTTTAATGAATTCATTATTTTTTAGTTATTACAAATACAGTATTTGAATACGTATTATACTAAAATGTTATTTCATACTTTTAGATAATATTTAGGGGAAGTATAAAGATGTCACAAGTAAATTATAAATTCTATTCTAAATACTAACACCCTTATTTTTTTTTATATATTATGTCCTCAATGACTTAAATTATTTTTCCTTTATAAAATTTTAACATTAATACATTAAAGTAAAACTTGTAGCTTATATATGTATATCGTATGTATCATATATTATAATACTCACTGTAGATGTAACATTAGATCTGAATAGTTTTACTTTTAGAATATTAATTATATAATTTTACCTTTAAAGTATTTTTAAATAATGAGATAAAAAAATAATGTTTGCACCTAAGAAATATTTAAATTTTAAGAATAAAGATAAATGAATCAACTATGCTTGACTATCTATAATACAGGATCCTAATCAAAAGTATATATAATTCTTTTATGTGAATTCACAGGGCCATCGACCACCTTCAAAATGTTCTCTAATCGTATGACAATGATCGTGCGACTTGCTGCACAGCAGCAGCAGCAGCAGCAGCAACAACAACGCGGCATGGCAACCCTTAAAGCCATTTCCATAAGATTGAAGTCAGTTAAAAATATTCAAAAGATTACCCAATCTATGAAAATGGTGTCTGCTGCTAAATATAGTAGAGCAGAACGTGATTTAAAACAAGCTCGTCCGATGGGTGTTGGTACAAAAACGTTTTACGAACAAGCAGAAATTCAGGCACCAGCGGATGAACCAAAAAAGCTAGTTATAGCGGTAACAAGCGACCGCGGTTTGTGTGGTGCTGTACACACTGGAGTTTCCCGTAACATTAGGGATTCTCTATTAGCAGATGCCACAGAGCGTGAAAACACAAAAATTGTATGCATCGGTGAAAAATCACGAGCAATTTTATCGCGCATGTTTGCCGATAATATACTTTTTGTTGCATCTGAAGTTGGTCGGAAGCCGCCCACGTTTAATGATGCTGCTAAAGTGGCAACTGAAGTTATGAACAGCGGGTATGTATTTTTTTATTTTAATTTTGATATAGTTTATATAATAAATGTAAAATATCATTCATGTAATCTTTGTACTTTTTCTAAAGCTTAGCACGTAACACTTATTAAATATTTACAGGTACAGCTTTGGCTCTGGACGCATTGTCTACAATCGATTCAAATCGGTAGTGTCGTATGCTGTTGATCAATTGCCTCTTTTTGATAAAAATGCAGTGGTCACTGCACCTAAACTGTCTGTATATGACTCTCTTGACGAAGAAGTCATTCAAAGTTACCTAGAATTCTCTCTGGCTTCTTCGCTGTTCTATTCTATGAAAGAAGGTGCCTGCAGTGAACAGTCCAGTCGTATGACAGCCATGGACAATGCCAGCAAGAATGCAGGAGAAATGATAGACAAGTTAACTCTAACATTCAACCGTACCCGACAAGCTGTAATTACTAGGGAACTAATTGAAATTATTTCTGGTGCTGCTGCATTGGATTAAACATCTGATATTTGTCATACGATTGGTACACAATAGTGTTGGAATATAGATAAGAAGGATGGTTATCGCATGAAAATCAGCTGCATAATTCGTTTAAAAACATAAGCTCGAATTTATGTTGAAACGAATTTGTTGCAGATGATTGAATGTTTAAAAATACAGCAATTATAAATCACAAGATCGAAATAAATCATTCAAAACTTTACAGGACTGATGTATTTGTTAATTAAAACTATGGTTAACTGCCAAATTAAATAAATAATTCTATTTACTTTTAGTTTTATATTTATTACTCATACACAATAGAAATGTTTAACATTTAGTAGATTCAAAGCAACAGTGTAATGCTAGCAACAATATAAAATGGTTAAAATATCTTAAGATGGATAAAGGCATACAAAAAAAGTTTTTATGAGAGTTATTTAGTAGAAAAGAGGGCATTATATAGAGTACATAATTTTGTCACAAATAAAGTGCTGAGAGTGATTAAAAAAAAATGGGAAAAAATACCAGTGGCGCCATCGGTGGAAGAATGCCCAAGTTTGTAGGGAAAATAGTTCTCACTGTTGCTGCTAGATAGCGCCACTAACTAAAGGATGATAATTATTATTCATAAGAACAATAAATTTGACATACTAATTGATATATTGTAGTATTATAAAGCATAGAATTGTATTAATTATACATTTATAAAAAATAAAGAATAATTGATTAAAAGGTATCAGTGGTGCTATCTTACAGGAACAGTGGAAACTATTTTTGTCTACAAACTTGGACGTTTTCCCACTGATGGTGCCACTAGTATTAAAACTAGGGATATTGTGATGTCACTAGTCATACCCCACAAAATTTTCATTAGCTAAAAATGTGAGGATTCGATATATTACATCTGCTGGTCTCGTCCTTCTAACATAATCTAACATCTCCTTTACACTTCCTGACATTTCCTGACAGCTCCTAATATACACTAACAACTCCTACCACCCTCTAACACCTTCAAACACTCTCTATCATCTCCAAACACCCGCTAACACCTCCCAACTGCCCCTAATATCTCTTAACAAATCATAAGGGCTCCAGACAGTTCCCTTTATTTCTCTTCAATTTCTAGAATGTTTCCTATTAATTTCCCTCCTTTCCCTGACACATCTCTTCGCTGTTCACGAGATCCGGATACAATAGGTAAGTTTCGAGATAGAATTAAAAATTATGATACCTTCTCGATCAACACGTTCTCTGCTAATACAAGAGGTAAGTATCGATATTCAATTAAAAGCCATGACAAATTTTTATTCTGGTATCAGGCGAACATGATACTCAAAGAAGTAGCATAAATACTTACCTCTTGTATCAGGAGAACGTAATGTTCGAGTTGGTATCATAATTTTTATTTTTTGCTTGAAACTTACCTTTTGTATGAGGAGATCATGACAAACGAGGAGGTGACACTAATCGAATTTGGTTCGAATTTTACTTCTGATATTATAAGAACATGATATTCGAAGAACTGGAATGGTACAGCAGGTGGCAGTTCGCGATCAGTTAGTTTAGTTAGTTAGATTTTCAATCTCTCCAACTCTTGCGTGTTCGCGAAGTCTGTACATTTTTAACGGACAAATTAAGTACAAGAGTGTTAGTGTTTGTGAGTGTAATATTAGGGAAAATTAAAAAAAAAATGGATAATGAACCGCAGGCGTCCACGTCAGGAATCATCGAGGAAAAGAAGAGGACATTATATTTTGTTTCTTATTGGGATCCAATGGTACCCTAAATTCTAAGTAAGTATATACAGCAGTGAGGACTTCAACGCTCGCTCTAATGCGCATGATCCGGAAAAATCCCACGAATGTCCATCACTGCATCTGCTGTATACTTTGCATACCACATGCGTTTCTTGCGGGTAACCTCGATGTCATAACAAATATTTAATTATGGATGAAAGTCGAAAATCTCGTGTTATTCTCGAAGAATATGGTATACCTAATGTAAGTTTTCTCAGACACGTAGAAATATATCAAGTTTGTGTGAGAAAACTAATTATTAATATTTTGTTCCCCAGGCTTCCGACTATACAAATTACCAACCACAACATGATTGGAATTTACAAAATTTTAAAAAAGTAAACCGATTAAAAATTTCATATACATATCATTGCATACCGAAACTAAAAAGGAATTAATTTAATATAATTTATATAATTATTAAATAATTTTACAAAATCTTTCATTCTTAGAGTTTCTATAATTTAATTCAAATAAGAATTAATATAATTCATTATACACCAATAATTATTTATTAACTCGTTTCATTAAATATCTGTCTTGCGCTATATAGTCTTATATTATTTTCAGGAATTTAAAATACAGGTAGTCAGGGAATCTGAAGATGAACGTGAATTAGAATTTGATTTAATTGGTTATCCTGTTGGTTTTGCTAATGCATTTCGTAGAGTTCTTCTGAGTGAAGTACCAACCATGGCTATAGAAAAAGTTTATATTCTAAATAACACAAGCTTGATCCAAGACGAAGTTCTTGCTCATAGGTAAAGAGTACTTCTATATATATTGTGTTGAAAAAAACTTGTCTATGCTACAATAAATGGTCTGGAAATATTATGAAAGTAAAAGTGTGTTTACACTATGATCAAGTTTTTTTAAAGCCAATAAGAAGTATAATTCATTTTTTATTCCAAGAAAATATAAATTGATTTAACAGGTTGGGTCTCATACCGTTTCGAGCTGATCCCAGGCTATTCGAATATCCTTCATCCACTGCTAAAGATGAAGATGAAGTTAGCGATCAAGACACACTCAGATATGAACTTAAGGTATCATGCACCTGGAATCCTCAAGCTCCCAAAGATTCTAGAAGAACAACTGACATGTATAAGAATAGCAATGGTATATAAATATTTCAAAGTACATATAAAAAGGGGGTGATTCTACATGAAAAAATAAGTTAAAAATATAAAATAAAAATTTTTCATGCGAGGCTTTATTAACGAGAAAATTGACTTTGAATTTTCACTGGGTATGGGTGCACTTGATTCTGTATACATATAATATAAATATCACATTCATTGTAGACACTGATACAAATTTAAGTCACTTGTTAGAAAGTAGAAAAATAACTTTAAAAAAATATAATAAATAAGAAAGACTTTCTTCATAGTATATAGTAAAGACATTAAATGGGTTCCAATTGGACGCCAAGCAGAACTTTACCCTCGAGGAGCAGAACAATTAGGTGTTTTAGAAAATGATATCTTGATATGCAAAATGCGTCCTGGTCAAGAAATACATGCTTTTATGCATGCAGTTAAAGGAATTGGAAAAGATCATGCCAAATTTTCTCCTGTAGGCAAGTTGAAGTATAAAAGAGTTTCCATGAAGCTATTTATACATTATTTAATTAATAGTAACTAGAATATTTACTTATTTTATTTATTAATGTTTTATTATAATTCAAATTTAGCTACAGCATCATACAGATTGTTACCAGACATACAACTAATAAAACCAGTTAAAGGTGAAATGGCGGAGCGCTTAAAAAACTGTTTCAGCATCGGTGTAATAGAAATTATTGAACATAAGCCTGGCGATCCAGATTCACGTGAAGCGAGGGTGAAGAACCCTCGTTACGATAGTTGTTCTAGAAATGTGTTTCAGCACGAAGACCTCAAATCATGCGTACGTTTAAGTAGGGTACGAAACCATGTCATTTGTAAGTAGCAGTTAATTTTGTGCTTTTTGTTCCTTTTTAAACAAACTTCATGTATCTTAATAATTTTTTCATACCATTTATAGTTACTATTGAATCCGTGGGAACGTTAACTCCAGCTGTGTTATTTGTGGAAGCTATTAAAATTCTTAAAGGAAAATGTAAAACGTTTTTGGAAGAACTTGAAAATATTAGCCAATAAATGTTTTCCACTGTATTTTCCACTGACAGTATTTTTAATTCAATTTCATGTCAGTAACACCTTCGATAATTGTAAATAAAAATATTTTGCTATTTGAAATAGTTTTCATTCAACTTTCAATAAGAACTTGGTTAAATTTGTGTAATTATAAAGCGAATACAATTAGTTCGATGATCTTACAAATATTTTCAAATATTTATGTTATATACATTCAAATAATTATGTATGTAAAGTCTTCATAAATATTGTAATATATATAATTATGATATATTATTTACTCATGTGTTACATTCTTTAGATAAAATTATAAGCAATTTTAAATTAGATCTTTCTATATTTCGATTAACCTATCAAATACCAGTTTGGTCTTATCTTTCAAGACATTTCAGATCTAAGAGATTAGATCAGATTAGATAATCCAAACGCGATTATCAGAAAAAAAAGGCGATCACGAATGTTATCCTATCGTATACGTCAATATTTGTCATCAGTTTGAAAGAAGTGTCAGAGTAGGTCATACGAAATAATGTCAACGTATTTACTTCCATATTCGTTGCAATGTTACACCACTGATATTTCGTTTAGCTGCTCAAAATTGTTACATCATAAGTAAAATTTATCCTGTAGTTATCGGCGTGGTAGATATTGCGGTTGTAGATAATGGGATTAGGAAATTTTCGATGGAGGATACTATTGATTATTGTATCAGCCTTGCTTCTCTGGCAGTCGTCAAAAGTTTGGCTAAGCTTCGCACAAGAGAAATCTGTCATAGAAGGTAAAAATGCACATGCATGTGTAACCATCGCGAAGCAGTTTCAATGTTTTAATTTTGTTTGTTCTTTTTTTTGTCTTATGTATAATCAATTACGTTACATATGTACTTTTGAACCTTTTAGAATTATATTTACATTTGCAGCAGTTAATTGCACTTGATCTGTACCTTTTAAATTAAAACGAGGTTTATAATATATAGTGATTACGTATAACCTTTTATTTATTGAACATATGGCGAACACTGTATTTAATTTGGCTGCAATTTTTTTTTCATTTATTGAACATTGTAAAGACATATCCTTTTTAATATTTTTGGCTTTAAAGTTCAGTAGTACGTTCTTGCCAAACGTTAGCTGTTTTTCTATTTGTATATAGGTGCTTTATATACAAATTTTAATTATAATTACACATCTTTCTTGATTTTCGCGGATATCTGCTAAGTTATGTATAGCACAGCTTCAGGACAACCAACCAGTAACATTAAACCAAAAAGATGAGGGGACGAGTCAAAAAGTTCACGTAGTAGTATACTACGAAGCGTTATGTCCAGATTCACGTAGTTTCTTCGTTAAACAGTTATTGCCAACATATCAAAAGATTTCACATAACATACGAGTGGAATTAATACCTTATGGGAAAGCTACAGTAAGACATTTTATAAAATAAAGAAGACAAGTATTATTAAGACAAGTATTACATTTTTTATCTAAGAGCATAGAACGAGTACTAAGCTGCAGAATTTATAAATTTAGCTTTAGTTGATCATTGCTTTAGATGATCATTTCATTAAGTGTACAATTCTTATTTATTAATGGAAACACATAAGCTCAGCAGCATACTTTGTATGTTTTAAAAAAGTCAAAAAGATAAAGAAAAGAAAAATGATTTTAATGCTCTAAAAATCAATTAATCCTATTATAATAGAAAATACATATCCAGAATTTAGTTTATTGACATTTCAAAAGTAAAGTCAAATAGATTGCACATGTTATTTTTTTTACTGTGTAAACTTCAGCTATATTCAACAAGGATGAGATATGTACAGATTTTAAAAACTATCCACCAAGTTCAAACCTTTTTGCAGACAACGGAAACAGAAGATGGTTACAAATTCATGTGTCAACATGGACCTCCTGAATGCGAAGCAAACATTATTCATGCATGTTCTATAAATATTATAAAAAATTCATCTGTGCAATTAGAATATATAACTTGCATGATTAAAAATAATATAAAGCCAGTAAATATTATGAAAACATGCGCAGAGAAGATGAATCTAGATTATAATACCATTTTAAAGTGTTCCACTGGAGATAAAGGCAAAGAACTCCTAGCTAAATACGGAGAGTTAACAAATTCCTTGTCGCCAAGAGTTTCTTTCATACCAACTGTGGTACTTGATGATGTAAGTTTGCAATTTTTTGAAAAAACTTAACAGTTATCCAAGTGTTACGTAATATATATAAAAGAAATAATTAGGTGTGCGAAATGATCTTAGAACTTTTTAAATAAATATAATATGAAATATGTTTTTTTAGAGTTCAGAGAACCAGGCAAGAGTACTAAAAAATTTACTACAGGAAGTGTGCCTACATCTTAAAGTCTTGCCGGAAGGTTGTACATTGTAAAAACATGTCAATTATTTATAAAACATATCTTCCTGAAAGGTGTGCTTAAAATACATTATTTTTTACATAAATCTGTGTATCTGTAATGGATAAGGAAATTTCTCAAAAAAGTACTTCCAAAATTTTTACTAAAAATATTTAAGTTGAAAATATATTTAATTTTTACTTGTATTAAATATGCATTAGTTTCCATGTGTAGATAAACGATTTGTACCGATACGTATAAGCTCTTTTGTAAACAAATTAATATTCCTTTTATACATTTTACACTATTTTGCAAATTTAATTATAATAATGTAATATTTAAATAATGAACAACAAGAAAGATTGATATCGTTATTACGTTTTTGATTATTTTACTCTAATGAAAATAATATAACAATTTATGTAAAAATATTGCTTGTAAAAATGAAAATTGCTATGTTCTCATTAATCGATATGACCCTCCTACTTCGATAATATTGATTCGTTAGAAAATTTTCAAAAAGTAAAATAAAACAATACTCATAACTTTAAAAAAAAAAAAAAAAACGATAAATCACTGACTAGTATTCTAAGATTTCTGACATATAACAAGTTAAAAATAATTTGATTTAAAAGTATATTTATAAGTAAAATGTATCAATGAATTCAAAACTTACGCCTACATTGCTATAATATGCAAATAGTATATTTCCTAATAAAATATATTGTTTAAATAATAAATTAAAACGCGATCAATGATACACGTAGATATCTGAAAGAAATCAATGCGTGAAATTCTGATTCGAAAAATTTAACGATTCTATGTTAGAAGAATCAAGAACCAATCGGTCGTTTAATATGTGGGAACAATTTATTAACTTAATATCAACATTTTATACAAACTGTGTCGCTTCGTCACGCACGATAAGTGAAGTATGCCTTTGATATAGTAGAGAAGAATCTCACATACAATAGAAATAATGAACGTACATATTTCAGATACAGGAGAAATAAACGTGTAGCGAGAATTTCTTTTAGCCGAATGGATAGTTACATTTATTAGAATCAAGGGTAGACATAGAAAATAAATAATTTCTTATTCGCGTCACGACGGAGCTTCATAAATATCGCACTGAATATATTTCATATATTTTCGAAGGAAGGATTGAGAACAAGAGTGACTCGAATAGAATTTTAACTATTTATTTGTGAAGAACGAACGTCTCGAGAAACGATTTTTGGAAAAGCCAGAACGCGATTCTTTTTTACCACTGATCTCCAGCTACGGTTGCTCTCAAGACACAATGCTGATCTTTTTTTTTTTAAACTTAGTATCGGTTCTCGACGCTCGCTGCAGGGAACTCTCGTAAATCATTTTTTCTTCTTCTTCTTCTTCTTCTTAAATACGGAAAAATTAGTTTAGAGTATGTATAATTGGCGACACGAATATAAAATTAATATTAAATACTGGAATATATTCTTTATAACTTAGACTTAGACACTAACTGTCAATGATCGATGAAACGAGCAATAACTGTTAAGCATTTAAATAGGGATGTTTTTCGAATAAACTCTATATCACCATTTACAAAAGGACTTCGTCGCGATTCTTCTTTACTTTTTTTACAAAGTGAGAACATTTTCGCCGCGGAATCGCTAATTTTTTAACTTTTTTTGTTCACAATAACGATAACAGCTATCAGAACGATCGCAAGTGAAGTAAAATATTTAAAGAGCTCTTTTTGTGAATTCGTACACCTCAATCTTTATGAAAGGTTTCTGAATTAGTGAAACTTCGAAGGATATGTTAACGCGAATCTTGTTGACAGTGAATTATACATATACATCTGTCGGCAAACTATTTCTAGATGCCATCGAAAAATGACGATGAGATAAAAACGGCTGAAACGAGAGGTCCATTGGTTAATGAAGGAAACGAATTGAGTAGTTGTGACCTACAAATGAAGATACATTTATTTTGTCTTTTTATGATCAATGCGATCTAGGTCACCAGAAATACAAGTACTTCTCATTTTGTTCACTTCAATATTAAATAATAAAGGACTGTGGAGGAATTGTTTCTTTCTTCTTTTCTTCCTTTTTTTTTTCGTAAATTAGTTTTATATATATATATACATATACGCGTATATATATATACGTATAATAGATTTTACACATATATATACATACACACATATATATTATACATATGTATATATAATATATATTACATATATATTATGACTGAACCACCGACGGCACACGCATGTGTTCCCACTGTTCGGTGTCTGTTCTTTACTCTTAGTTCTTAAGTAACATTATCGTACGAATCGCACAAATCACACCAGTTTCTCCGGTTCTAGTTGCTCCGCTTACGAGACTGGCACGCACCCCTGGGCGAAGGAAAATATAATGCACCGATCACTGTGACTTGACTCCTTTTAATCCCTCATCCCTAATTCTCCGTTGTTTCTTTTTATATTTCAACAAAAGTGGTGTCGACGTTGTGTAACGCGCGCGCGAGTTCTTTTTTTTTCTCTCTTTGTTTTTAAGGCTTTCTCAGTGGAGACAAGATACAAACGGGAGATTAGAATGAAATTGGATACAGAACGCACTTGGTGAAATGTGTTTTATGTGTTTTTTTTGTGTATAATGCGTGTCATGTATATATAGATTGAAGGCATAACGAAGTTTGAAAAAGCATAGAGAAAGTTCTTCACTAGGAATGTCGAGACTTCGATACGACTCGATTCGTAGATTCTTCAGGCTCTACGTAAACGTAGGGTCCGAGATAGCACTACATGTATTCCCGAGCATCTCAAGGTTTCTTCACTTTCTTTTCTTTTTCTCATCCTCGTACACTTTTTCATTGATAAATTTTTCTTGGTTTATTAGAGGAATTAAAGTTATCCGCTATGGCGCAACAAGAAATCCAGTGTATACGGAATCATCGAGAAGCCAAAGGTCGAAGCCGTTGTTTTTTTTCGAACTCTGGAAAACGATCTCTAATCCGAATTTTCTTTAATGTAATAAAACAAGTATACGCTAAATATATATATATATATATATACGTTACCGATAAAATTTTGCTACGACGTATGCTGTATCGATGACATTCGTCGTAAGTGCGTTTCGTCAATCGAGAAACAAATAAAACAAATCTCAATCTATCTCGATCAATAAACGAACTTACACGATACGTTATAATAGCTCGTAGATCTTTCCTTTCTTTTAACGCTTTTCCTCTCTCCCCGCCTATCGATCGAGTTTGTCTTAGTACGTTGGAAAGTAGCAGAATCGATAAAGCAAACTTGTAGGAAAGAATTTTCGCTCACGCGTGCATAGAAGAAACAGGAAAAGGCCAAAAAGAGATGAAAGTAAGAGAACATACTATTTACTTTTTATCATCAACAAACATGCGCGCGTCTGTTTTTTTTTATACATATATATATATCTCTCTCTAACGATTTTAATTATACTCTTTTATACGGAAATAAATCATCTTTTGTGTTCGTACGTGTCTGTTTTGTATGTGTGCTGTATATTTGTTGTATCCGTGTATGTGCGCGTGTAATATGTACCTTTTATGTTTCATGTTGTGTGTGGTTAAGTATTTTGTGTATTTAAAGATAATGATTTTAGTGGTATAACTCTTTAATTAAACAATTGCCCTGTATTACTTATCGTTAATGATGATTAACGCGTGTTGGACGTTGACTTTTCGCGTTTTATAGACATCATTGCGCCCAGATATAAGATTTTTTTTCACTTTCTGGTCGATTCGCTTTCTGTTAACATTATTTTTTCTTTGTTTCTTGATTTATTTTAATACGTCAACACCACTCCGAGTTGCAAGTTTTTCCATTACACAGGTTGCATTCACTTTGATGTCATCATTGTGACGAATTCTAGACAAAAAAAAGATTTACAACACTTACAATTATTATTCTAAATAAGAAATGCAAGTTAAGAACTATACGAAAATTTTCATTTGGATTAAACCTGAAAACTTTAAAAATTTTAATGATCATTCAAGTTTTAACCACTCGGGATATCGGAGACAACGATACTACATAAAATAACGTGTACGATATGAGAGTTTACAATAACAAATTTTTTATATACAACCTTCATAATTAACTTGACCATCGCCATCAATGTCAGCCTCCCGAATCATTTCATCTACTTCCTCGTCGGTAAGTTTCTCGCCGAGATTTGTCATAACATGTCTAAGTTCCGCTGCAGATATGAAACCATTTCCATCCTTATCAAATACTCTGAAGGCCTCCCTAATTTCCTCCTCACTGTCAGTGTCCTTCATTTTGCGAGCCATCATGGTTAAGAACTCCGGAAAATCGATTGTGCCATTACCTACAATTCCAAGTATTTTTAATTTCGATTTTTTCTGAAATCAGATTTTTTCCAATATTCTTAATAAATTAGGTATTAATGGAGCGTAAAATTCTTTTGTTTCTTATTTCATTATGCAAAAACTGAACGCAGGAGAACGTGTATTTAAGAATAATATATATTACCTATGTCGCATGCAATGTAACAAATACAAAAGTTGCATAATGAATAGTACAAAATAACTTTCATCATAATAACGTGAAAGAAAATTAAAATAAAATACCATCTGCGTCCACTTCATTGATCATATCCTGAAGTTCTGCTTCTGTAGGATTTTGACCTAGCGATCGCATAACTGTACCCAACTCTTTGGTTGTAATGGTACCATCTCCATCTTTGTCGAATAGCGAGAATGCTTCCTTAAATTCTGCAATTTGTTCTTCTGTGAGTTGATCAGCCTTTAAATAAAAAGTTCATTTTATATCAATCTGTTGACGCTGTAAATCCCACAAACAAGTTTTAATTATGTAGCCATAAATAATGGTATGTTTCGTATATGTTTTTCTTAAGTAATTTTTTTTACAATTTGGTTTTGTCGATTATGTATACAAAATCAACTTTCATTAATTGTGTATATATTTATTTATACATGTTCTTTTCTTACAAATTAGATAACTTGGCTTGAATATTATTGTATAATGCTTTATAAATATATATATATATATATATATATATATATATATGTAAATACTGTTACACATATATTAATGTACCTATCACATTGTAGATTGAATAAAATTATGCTATGTATTTTCATATGGATAAGATATTTAAGCGAAAGACTTTTTTTTATATCATAGGTTCATATTTGACTGTGTGCAATTAAAATTTCATAATAAATAAAGAATACACCATGAAATAAGGATAGTTTAATGTCACAAGTGTACACGTACCATATATAACACCATGTACAATAACATAAAAGGGAAATAATACGAATTAATAACTTTGTTTTATATCATTTTCAGTGTGATACACACTGGGACTGGAATGTATATTATATAACACGAAGAAATGAAGAAATTTGATACGCTACAGAATTGCCTTTATGAACATTGAATGGAAATATTTAAATATACCTAGTATAGTCGTATTCTAGATACAATAATATATGAAACACTTTTCTCTGTCAAATACAAATTATTTGGTACAATTGTATCTAGAAAACAATTAGAAAATAGATTAGTTATCATAAAAAGTTGTTTCAGACTGAACTTCTAGAATGAAGGCATCCCAAAATATAGGTCAACTGTGTATTTAAGTTTCCTTCTATATATTTTGCACGAAAATATCCATCGAGCATTTAGAGCTGTATATATATATATATATTAAAAAAAAAAGAAACGATTGTCATAAATAAAACAATAACCCAATATTCATACTTCAGCTGTCTATCGATTAAAAGTAAATACGTATCATAGGAACGCATTCATCTTGTTCACATTTCACCACGTTAAAAATAAAACAAGTTTGTAGTTCGTCAAATAAGGTGAGATTTAATGTTTCCGCTAACGAAAATCTATAGAATTCGAAGATTTGCGGATATTAAGAGGAACGTTAGATGCTCGGCTCGAAAAGCGAACGTATTTTAGGTTATGCGGCGAAAACGTTCATCGGGCAGACTTCTATGTAACATCGTATTCGGAATTAGTTTTAACTTTCGCATTTTATAAAATATATTGCTTAAACAAAATATAATAATCCGAATTGCATTTGAACGATTTAATTACTTTCCGAGTTATCTCGGATAACGATTACGAAGTATAGATTTAATTGATTACGTATTCGGAATATTTTAAGTTTCGCATTTTATAAAATGCGTGCTTAAACAAAATATAATAATTCGAATTGCAATTTAACGATTTAATTGCTTTCCGAGTTATCTCGGAACGGTTACGAAGTATAGATTTAATTGATTGCGAGTGCGATAAAAAAAGAAAAATGTTAGTATTTGTGATAACTGGTTGAAGGCTGGGTGCAAGAACGTATAAGGAATACGGGGAATTGGCGCAACGGTGAGAGACCGCGAAAATCAATAGCGAGGTATACCGTGTGTAACGGTGATTGTCGAATATACTACACAACTACATCCACAGGGAAAAAATAACGAATATCCGAAGAGGGAAGTTTAATAATAACAAATATATACATATATATAGTGATGATTTTCAATTAAACACTTTTACTCAGAGAATAATTTAATTAAAAGGGTCACACGGCGAATGCGAAAGAAAAACTAGGACAATGTTTAGCGTTTCTGTTACGGCACGAAAGAAAATAAATTAATATCGAATTCGTAATTTCTAGACTGCTGATGGTGCAATGTACTTCACGAGATATAACTATGTACAATATAATGATAGTAATATTTCGTATCGTATAAATGTATAAAATCTAAATATGTTTAGCATGTTTTTCTATTTTTTCATACGTCATACATGGATAAAATTCGCAGTCTGGTAATTACAACAAAAGATATAGAATAATGAATAAAAGGCGAGCGATTATCGACCAAGTTACTCGACGAATGAAAATAAAAATTTGAAGAGAATGAAATATTTTACGATGGATAAAGAAAATTGTAGCTGTTTAAATAAGCATCGCAAGTAGATCGTTATTAGTAGATCGAATTAAATATTTAACAGTGAACAAAGAAAATTGTAGCTGTTTAAATGAATAACCATCGCAAGTAGATCGTTATATCGGTTTGTAGTATTTGAATAGAATTCTGGCCATCTACGGTATGCGATATATATTCCGATTTCAATTTATTTATATTTCCGTCTTCGTGTAATAACTATTAGCGAATAACTCGCGTATAAATTCGCAAATAAGAACATGCGTATAAATCCGTCGGAAAAATCGTTACGCGAGCTCGAATTTGGCGCCGGGCGACCGTACAAACCGACCGAGTTGGAAGCGGAGTTCGCGAAGTATCGAAAGCCGAGCGCCGATAGCAAATTATCTCGCGTTAAGATTCGATAATCTCGAGATAAGATATCTCGATCACCGACCGAGAGAACTAGTGAATTTACAATTTCGAAGAAGCCCTTTCAGCGTCGTTCTTTATCGAACTTACCGTTACACACACCCCGATATATTCGACGCACAACGTATTACAGATCGACGTCGAATCATTACTCTCGAAACTTTTCACCGTCGGGCTCTGCTACACTTCTCAACCTAGCGAAAGACGCGAAAAATCCGTTCTTTTTCTCTTCATTTTTTTTTTTTCAATCGTATCGATCGATCACACGACGTTTTTTCGCGAACCTTCTGAAACCCCGTGACATCTCCTCGAGGATTGGTGAAAAATGAGTTGGTGAAAAGTAGGTGCTGGAAGAGGAGCGGATCGATAGTCGGTTTCATCTCTGCGTACCGGCCATTACGAATTGTAATATCAAAATAGTGCGTAGAGTAAAAGGATGCGTGCGATAAGGTAGGGATAGCGGTACGATCGAAATACGAATCTTTTGGGTTCCGCGAGGAAACGAACAGAGAAAAAAAAGACGGTATTTCCGGTAAATGCGTATATCGGAGTCGGTTGCACGTGCACTCGGCGCGTCAATGCGGCAAACGAGAGCCAAGGCGAGGGCGAAGAGGGCGAGGGGGTCGGCCGCGGAGCGACGTCCGTCCGCATAGGCACACGCACGCACCAGGAAACGGTGAATCGGACTTACCATTTTGGCCCGTTTTACGTCTCGGTACGCTTGACGATTTCGGATATCGCTTGGACACTAGACACAAAGGTTTACCGGTGGTTTCACAGTTTTGCCCGGGGGCGAACGTGGAGGGATAGAAAAACTCGTGTGCACGAAAGCGCGGACAGACACGCAATACGGACACGGCCGACGAGAAACACACTCGGGACAGCAATGGAGTCCACCGTTCTCTCTCGGTGTACGAGCCTTTCTGCCGCTTGTCTCGGTCAGGTATCACTACGCCGCCCCTAACGGCCTACACGACGACGCCTCGCGATTGGTCGACAGCATAGGCGGGGGTTAAGGGGAGTTCACGCGGCGATGCGCCGCGTCGTTCCCTACGCGGTCGACAGATAGTACCGTGCGGCTTCTCCCTCTGTGAAAACCCTGAAAAAACGACTGGTTTTTAATTGGACAAATGGGAAGAAGTAGGAACGACACGACACCCGATCCACAGAATGGTCGACACGGACAACCGTGCAAATCCGTTTTACATGCGGGGTGGGTGCGGTCGTGTTTACAGGACAAGTCCGGGCGAACTAACCGGGCCTGTGATTGGCCAACGCGCACCTGCAATGCGTCAGGCAGCCGCGCGGACTGTGCCGCCGCCGGCTACCGGGTCAAAGCCGGGCTTCCCTGCGAGAGATGGCTCGAATGCAATGAGCGCGTTTTTCGGGCGCGTTTAGCCCTACACCTCTCTTTCTCCGTTTCTCTGCTTTTCCCTCTCCTCGTTTCCTCGCTCCCTCTACTTTAGTCTCTCGCTCTCCCCGTTTCGCTTTTCCTTCGCTTTCTTGCAATTTCTAGTTGTATTCTTTATTCCAACGTTTCCCTCCTTTTCCCTCTCCTTTATTCTCTTACTCTCCCCGTTTCGCTTTTCCTTCGCTTTCTTGCAATTTCTAGTTGTATTCTTTATTCCAACGTTTCTCTGCGTTTCCCTTTCCCCGTTCCCTCTCTCTCTCTCTCTCTCTCTCTCTCTCTCTCTCTCTCTCTCTCTCTCTCTCTCTCTCTCTCTCTCTCTCTCTCTCTCTCTCTCCTTTATTCCCTCGCTCTCCTTTATTCTCTCGCTCTCCCCGTTTCTCTTTTCCTTCACTTTCTTGTAATTTCCACCCGTAGTTGTATTCTTTATTTACCCGGTTTTTAACCGATGGATAGCAAAAATTAGAATTCGTCCCAACTCAGAGGCTTCTTTATGTGCTCTACTGTATACTGTACAGTGTATAGAGCTTCCTGAGAAGCTCTGGGATCCAAGGTAACGCTGCTTCAACCCGTACTATTCCTTCATCCTTCGTTTCTTGCGTTACTGGCGGGGTCAGGTGTAGCAGCGACGTTCGTTTAGCACCCTCACGGATTAACAAATTATAATATTAGATAATAATTAAAATACAGTCAATTCGCAATGTGTAACGGTTAGTACCTAGCGATAGTAGACGGGAAAAATTAAAATTCATCTGAACATAGAGGTTTCTCTGTGTGTCCAGCTGCACATAAATTCCTATTCCTTCATTCTTTCATCCTTCCTTCCTTTATCCTTTATCCTTCATTCCTTCATCCTTTTCGTTACTGGTAGGGGCCACGGTGTATCAACGGCGTTCGTTTAGGAGCGTCACCGCGACGATTCCTGTAAATTTCAATCGACTTCTGATTTAAACCGTTTCTGGCATGAACGGAAATCCGCGCTTAAACGACAGTGGTTGGGTGAAAAACAGGGGAACTCCGGGGCGTTCAGGAGAGGTGGTGCAAGCTCTCTCTCGACTCAGTTTTGTACCTCGTCCTCTGGACGATATTAGGTCACGATGGGTTAATGCTTACGGACTATGTGAAACGTTTTAAAACGCTTTGAGTATCTCCGGAACGATATCGGTTAATGAATGGTCGATTCATCGCGTCCACGGTGTCGCGGAAAAGGGGAAATTAAAACGAACGGTGGCGAGTCGCGAATCGGATCTCTTTACCTTCGGGAAAATTATGTTTTCGAAAGGCGTTGACTCTTCGTGGGAATTCGAACTAATTGAATCGTACAGGTAATTTTTACAAATTAATGCTTTATCTTTGTCGTTGTGAGAAATTACTCAAGTTCGGGGCAAAATTCTAATCTTTTGTGTGTTTATCTACGTAAACTGGATGTCAAAAGGAATAAATGTAAATAAGATTAGTAAGCAGAGAAAATAAAAAAATAAACGCGAATAAAGAATAGAATAATTGTATCGATGAATTGAATGTAGATCATATTTTTCATTGATATTCCCAGGAAATCTTAATCAATCGTTTAATTAAGGCACTTTTAAGTCGATGCTATCGTGTGATTATTAATGAAAATACTTTTTGGGGTACGGACGTTTTAGGTGTTCTAAAGTTTTAAGGCTTCAGTAGTTGCCTGGACATTTTTTAACGAATAATTTTAGCGAAGTTGAGACACTACTCGGCTCTTCTAAGAGCTCGAAGATTCCCAGGCGATCCGTTTGAGAGACACTGCCTTAAGCAACATAAATATTTAATACATTTGCTAAAAAATGACGAGTACTGAGTTCAAGTAGCATGCAACGCGATTCTACTCGCACATTTTTTATTTATAAAGAAGTTATCGATAGGAAACAAACATACTTTTTCCATATTTCAGAAGTATCGATATAGCCAAAGCCGGGCTTCTCCATAAAGGGGCATTACTATTACAAGAAATTCTGCGACAATTAATTACATCGATAATGTTTAGAATAAAAATGTCTGAAATTCCACAATGAGTATCTACAAGATTTTGTCATAGTTATAGTGCAACGGTAAATATCTATAAAAGGTCGAACCTCACCGATGACCTTGACCTTGACATATATTCCTAAGGGCATAGTTCTCATGAACTTTTCCTTATACAGGGTGTCACAAAAAATGTTGGAGGTCATTGCAGGAGGTGGTTCGAGAGGTGATTTGAAACAACTTTTTCCTTAACGAAAATGTTGTCCGAGGTTTCGTTGAGAAGATATTAACGAAAAACCCTCGACCAATCAGAGCGCGAGTATGCCAGTGGAGCGGCCGCGGTAACGTATGAGCGCGGCCGCCTAGCGCGTAGCCACGCCCACTGCTGGCGCTCTGCCGGCATCCTCGCGCTCTGATTGGTCCGGGGTTTTTTATTGATATCTCCTTAACGAAGCCTCGGACAACATTTTTGCTAAGGAAAAAGTTGTTTCAAATCACCCCCCGAATCACCTCCTGCAATGACCTCCAACATTTTTGTGACATCCTGTATAAGCTGATATTCACGTTCATCAGGGCTGAAAACTATCCTCGAAGTTGTGAACGAAATATCTATTTAATTAAATTTATAGCAAACTAACGGAGATAGAACAAAATTTCATATTTGCATTTTCTTTCATGACTTCTGCATTGTTTTGACACTTTTTGCAGTATCTCTTACTATCATCTATAAGGGCCCCCGCCCCCCCCCCCCCCACCCCTAGCTCAGGTACCTCGAGGTTGCTAAGCCCGTACTGTAGCTTCAAGAAACACCGCTACAGCCCCCGAGGCCGTATATCTAGTCCAATATTGTTGAACATTTTTGTAAAAATCTCGAAAACTAAAACCGACCGCCAGGTACATGAATAGGGAAAAGTTATTTAAAATGACGCCGTTAACAACGTATGTCAAAGTCAAGGTCACCGGCGAGGTTCGACTTTTTATAGACATTTATCGTAACAACTATCGTTAAGAACCGCGACACAACCTTTTATTTATCATGTCAAAAGGAATTCTGTTAAAGATTTTGGCGATATCGTCGAATTCTGTCGCTAAGTATAGCGGAAAGAAAATATTTAGGTGGCCTATTTCGCGTGGACCACCCCTTGCGTTAACCCCAGAAGTGGCTGCGGTTTCAATGTCCTTTCATAGATTCGGTCGATATCTCCTTAAATAAAAATAATGCGCGTACGCTTTTCACACGACAAAGGTGTATAGCGTGATTAGACGAATGTATCACCTTCGTGCTAAAAATATATTACCGATTATAGTTGGTGCCCAACGTTTGTAATATTTAACAAACTCGGAAGCTCGTAATACGCCACCAATGGTTTACTGGCTTGTAAACGATGTTGGAACAACCGTTACGTTTTACGGAATATTTTACGGTAATAGCGTAACATTTTCGCTAAGGAAAAAGTTGTTTCAAATCACCTCCCGAACCACCCCTTTTCAAGGTGTTACAACATTTTTGGGACACCCTGTATAAGTGGTGCTATGATTATGGTTCACAGTATAAGAATAAGAGTACTCTGATAGACAAAGACGAATAGGGTACCGCTGTTTTCTTTCTCTTTTTAGCTGTAGCCAGAGATCTGGTTCCTCTACTCTATCTGTGAAATATCTTTATGCTTATACCGTGAAATAATTTGATCGCAGTGGTTAGCAGGGATCGCAACGTTGTTCGCGCCAATAGACCCGAGAATACGGCAGAACGAGCGTGGAAACGACTCGGATTGCATATAAACGACTTACCCTCAATTAGTCTCTCTCTCTTTTTTTCTTTTTTACCGTTGCAAAGGCGTATTCTGCATTTCACAATAGACGTCGTGTATTGCGTCGCGTGTTCGAGGGGTTAATATCTACGTGTCAACGAAACACGTAGCTTATGAATCGGTCTCTCTGTCGCTTTCTGTCTTCGTATGGTTTCGATAGAAACACGAAGAAAAGAAATATACAGAGTATCCCAAAAATGTTGGAGGTCCTTGAAGAGGGTGGTTCAGGGGGTGATTTGAAACAACTTTTTCCTTAGCGAAATTGTTGTGCGAGGCTTCGTTGAGGAGATATTAACGGAAAACACTGACCAATCAGAGCGCGCGGATACCGTTGGAGCGGCCGCGATAGCGGTGGCTACGCGCTAGGTAGCCGCTCTCGTACGCGAACTAGTCACTCGACGTGCATCGAAGGATATTGACGCGGCCGCTCAGCGCGTAGCCTTCGCTACCGCGGGCGCTCCATCGGCATACTCGCGCTCTGATTGGTCAGTGTTTTCCGTTAATATCTCCTCAACGAAACCTCGGACAACATTTTCGCTAAGGAAAAAGTTGTTTCAAATCACATTCCGAACCACCCCTTTCAAGAACCTCCAACATTTTTGGGACACCCTGTATAGATACGATCGCATTTTAATGATGGAAAAGCGTGTGATTTTGTATACGAATGGAAATTTATTCAAAATCTGATGAAACGAAACGAGTTGCGTTAACTAAGATACGTTTAATACACGTAATACATAATATAACGTGAAACTTACACAAATATAATGTAACATGTAATTTAAATAACGTGAAAGTATTTTATATTAGTATGCATTTATCGTTTCTGATATTGATATACTTTGCTGAATGAAACTAATAATTAAAGTAACAAAAAATTATTTGATATATTGCATACATATGAAAATGATTTTTTGAATTTATTATTGTCACTGTGGTTACGTTTTTATTTGAAACTGAACCTTGTACTTCTTTTTTTCTTGTAATTGTTTGTATCATCTTATTGCTCATCTTATCTGGAAATTTTCTCATTAAAATAGCCCGATAAAATTTATCTAAAAAAATAGCTACCTCCGAGAATCTTTCTAAGGTGTAGCCACCGTAATCCGTTTAATCAGTTAAACATCCACATTATCTGTCGCACTTGGCCAAACATGGAAACATGAATGATGTTTCGAAAACAATATCGCGATGATGAAGTCATACCCTACAACAGAACACATTCTGCGATACGACATTAATGTTTCACCTGGATACGAACCTTAAATTTTATAAGTAGTAATACCAAATTAATACATCACTTTAATAGAAACACGACTAGCTTCATTTTCAGCTACAGAAAATCAAGTAATGTATCAAGTAAATTAATACGAATTTAACGCAAATGTCGTTGGAAATCGTGTATTGTTTTAGAGCACGATGCTGGCCATGTTTAAGAATAAAAATTTACCGTCTGTTGTAACCTTCAAACGCAAACGCAACAGTAACAATTAGTTTATTAAGCGTTTCCGTTTTCTCATACATGTACGATCGTGGATTCGTCATTCGCATTTTTCTCTCGCGCGTCAGACGATGATCGCATTCAAACTAATCGACCAATACAATCGCGTGATTCGAATCTCTATCCTTTTAGTAAGGTGTTCAGTCTTCCGTCCGTATCACGGTTTTTCTAAGGCTCTTCGTCACTCGCATGACTACTACATCAACCATATAAATTTTAATACACGTATTTCAATATACGTTTTTTCTCACGATGATTCGAATCATCTCTCGTTTATGTACCCATCGGTCTCCGTTTATTCGATAAAAGACCTTCGAAAACCATTTATTTGGATTCGGATTAATTATTCAGCTTCACGAACCACGAATAGCGTGCGATTAATTTCCTCTCTTATTCGAATCGGCTCATACATATGGAACTAAATTAAAGCTCTCAGTGAGTCATCATGCAAACTTTAAACATATAACACAGGCAAGATTTTAGTAATAAAATACTAATAATATTGAATATACTAATTTAAGTATACAGGGTGTTCCAAAAATGTTGGAGGTTATTGGAAGAGGTGGTTCGGGAGGTGATTTGAAACAACTTTTTCCTTAGCAAAAATGTTGTCCGAGGCTTCGTTAAGGAGATATTAACGGAAAACCCCGGACCAATCAGAGCGCGAGTATTCCGGTGGAACGCCAGCAGTGGGCGTGGCTGCGCGCTAGGCGGCCGCGCTCATACGCTACCGCGGCCATTCCATCGGCATACTCGCGCTCTGATTGGTCAGTGTTTTCCGTTAATATCTCCTCAACGAAACCTCGGACAACATTTTCGCTAAGGAAAAAGTTGTTTCAAATCACCTCCCGAACCACACCTTTCAAGGTGTTACAACATTTTTAGGACACCCTGTATTTCGAAATTTTTCAGTCGTTTCAATAGAAAACTGAGACAACAAGGATTCGTCGACACCTTTCCTACGATACATAACCGAAACAAACTAAAGATTCTCATATACCTCTCTTTCCATGCAAAGAAGCCCGGTAAACGATCAGAATTAGACGAGGAAATTCCGCGGACGCGGAACGAGAATTTTCAACCCCCTCTACGCTCTAGGATATCTCGCAGGAGGATTCTGCGACGCGGAACCGCATTCGCTCTCCCATTGGTCTGTCCCCGCTTTTGTGCCGTAGTTTCCTTTGATAAATTCAAGGTGACCTTGGTACACTTTCAAAAAATTGGCGTCGAGGTACCCGTCACTTCCGCTACGTGCCTACATTATAACGCCGTAGCGTTCTTTTTTGCCCGCACGCATGCTCATCGCTTATTATTGATATCGCAGGCATCGTGCGACGCCGTTACCGCATATCGGTCACGGCCACTAGCGAAACTGTTAATTATCTATTAGATACGAACGGAGTTTACGAATATCGATACACCCCTACCCCCTCCTCTCCTTTACTTTGCCCACCCCCCTCCCCCTCCCCCCCGTCGCCGCCAGCCAGACATTCTGATTTCCGTTGAATTAAGATTTACAATGCGTCGACGGAGGGATGGGTGGAGGGGAGGAGGGATCGATTGGGTTATTCACTGCGACGTAAACGTAAAACTTTTTCGCGAAGACTGCATTAGAATTTGATGAGGAATTCTCCCGAACGGATTGAATCGACGCTGGATGTAAACTCGATTATAGCGATTATCATCTTGTGACCGCAGAGATATGGCGGATAGACCGGGGGAGACAGAGATGGGCAAAACTTTAGGCTTCGAATGAATCCGAAGTTTGCCGATGTGTTTGTCTCGTTTCTTTCATTGGGAAATGTTCGAATGAGGAAACGAGACAAACGTATAGGCCAACTTCAGATTTATTCGAAGCTCAGGGTTTTGTCAACATTGAGCTCTATCCTTAACTGGAGTGTGAACTGCGAGAGAGAAGCCGGTCCGAGAAAGTTGCAAGATGAGTGGTTCCGGTGTTGCTATCCTATAGCAAATTTATGTGTGGAGGGAGAACAGACTCCCCTTTATTTGAATTTCGCGGCACACTAGGAATTATTTACAGATTAATTATGTACAGATTTGAACTTTATTTCCTTTTTATTTATATATAAAACGATAGAAACATTAATAATAATGACATAATAATGAAATAGTATACATAATTTACATATCATATCATTTAGATCATACAAACATATACAATTTGGTATAGAGCTAAATTTTATTATTTGTCACAATTCAATTTATATTGTATTTATCCAATTTCATGCGGAAAAAAATCTGAAAGTAACTCACTCGGCAATGCTCAGCGATGCTCGGATAGGTTATGTTACGGCGTACGTTTGTTCCCCCTCTACAAATAAATTTGCTATATGATAATACCGGAACCACCCATTTTGCATTTCTCTCGGACCTCCGTCGCCTCTACATCCTCCTACAGGAGTTCACACTCCAGTTAGGATAGAGCTCAATGCTCAAAGCTCTTTTTTCCTCTTCAGAATACGTCATGAAACAAAATATCCCTAAGTCAGTATCTTCCCGTGTCTCAAAAATCGAATAACATCGATGCCCTACATTCAGCAATCGATATATCAAATTTTCACAATTGTTTAATAAACGATATACGGCAAAAGGGATGTCAACGTATATTTATGAATATACAGAAATTTTGTTTTGTCAAAAATTTCAATAGTCTCGATACACCGTGGCTAGAAACCATCATAAAAAATTTCATAATTTTCGTATATAAATGCAACAATGTCATGTTTCCCAAAAATTTTAGTAGCCTCCATACCCCGTGGATATATTCTACAGAAACCATCATACCAAATTTCACAAATTTCCTTTCAAACCACTCTCAAGATTCGAACTTATATATTTTCATCGGTTGTTTTTCGATTTTGTACGCCCCCTCCCCCCGCCGCCGCCGCCGCATCAGCGAAAATATCGAGAAAACGGTATCGTTCCGAATTTCGAACAACAGCAATGCTTTCGCATCGTTACAACAGCCGGGAAAGTGAAGAGGAAAAAAAAAAAAAAAGAAAGAAAGAAGAGTAAGACGATAATAGTTGGTCGATTGTATTACGCATAGCCGTAAGCTCTGCAGATGCGTGATGCGCTAAACGTGACGCGGTACGACGTTCCGCGGGGTTAACCGCGAGGAGAAGGCCGTTTTTGGGCATCGTTACCAGGAAAAATCGATGCCAGCGGGCTGATAGGACGTCGAAAGTATGGATTCATGACGTAGTCTCTCAAAAGGGCCGGCCCGCTTTTAAGCAGGGGCTTTTCGAAAAAGTTTCCGTGGCCAGGTTGCAGCGAGCCTGCGCACCGATGAACGCGCAATGCGACACGCGATAGAGGAGGACAGGGTGACTGGTAATCTCGTTAAAAAGAGACGGAGACCGGGGGGATGGAGAAGCGCACAGCGGCGTTCACGATTAACGGTAAGGAAGGGAATTTAATGGGTGTCACGGCAAAGAATGTTAATTTTATACCTTACGTTTATCGATGTAGCGTTTAATTGGTGTTAATTTAGCAAGAAATGCGACGCAAAACGCTGTGCTCGTTCGATTATCGAACCGATACGACTTCTGATCGCCTTGCGGTTTCATTATAGACGAGATTCGTACGAAAATATGAATATTTACATTTTATCGTATTCGAACGAAACCTGCGAATTCCATTCGATCGATAGGCATTGTTTTATCGAACGGACACCGCGTTAAAATAGTATGTCACGTTATGCTTTCGACGTGTCATACACGGTGTCTTATTTTATGCTTAATATTTATTTAACGTAAAATAAATATAAGGAACTCGTTCTTACGTACATACTTCATTGCTTTAATAAACGCATCGATTTGTCGCGAAAATTATGTGTACTTGCGTGAGCACTGCAAGAACGTTTTACGCTTTCGTATTGCATCATATTTTGATAATTATATCGTACAAAACCAAGTATGTAATCTCTTAGTAATGTTTTTTTTTTCTTCTTTAAATTTAACTATACTTTGTCGTTCCATCGGGTACACTGAAATGTTACGACGTATTGATTTTGTTTAGAAATTACGCAATATTCATAATTGCCCTATATAGCTATCTGGTACTTAAATCTGTGATTATAAATATTTTGGTATATCTGTATATGTATACAGTATATCAGTATATATATGTATATTTCTCCTGTATATGTATATATATATATACATATACGTACACATATATATACATATTATATTTGTTACTTAAATCATTGATTATAAATATTTTTATGTACTTCCTATTCGCTACAATTCTTTTATCACGATTTATATAAGAAACTAGACGACGTGCAAAAGTACGTAATCGAAATTAATATGTATAATATTTTAGATATTGTTCGGTCTTTCTAAAAATAGAAAATGTATAAATAAATAATCATTAATATTTATTTTGATAAAAAAATATTCACATTATGCGTTATGTTTTATCATCCCGTGTTATCTTAATGTACTTCAATTATCTAGTTTTTGCAGTACATTTTTACGAAATACATACTTTTGTTTTAAATTGAGAATGTTAGCAGTCCTGGAAAATATTCTGGAATTCTCATTGATCAATCGATATCCAACATAAAAATATTTCTACCAAAATAAATTATAAAGATGCGTATACGGATATAACTTAGGCGGGTCAATACATTTGTTCGCTTTTCCCATATAACATGTGTACGTACTGTCGAACGATAATATTCAATAAACTAACTTTTTTGCGAAATTATATTCCTAATATTACCATTGTCTTTAAGCCTTTCCAATATTTAAAAACATGTATAATTTTTTTATTTCCATTTCAAGTGTATACAGGAACACAGTAAATGGACCAACTAAAAAATAAATAATTTTTAAAACATTTTACAAAATCAATAGATTAGTCAGATTGTTCTACAAATTTTGTAATTTCTGAAATAAATTTTGTCGTGTATATTATTTATTCTACGCAAAATGTTAATAATTTTTATTCATTTTTGTAGAGTTTCGTCATTTTTTACTCAAATTATAATAATATTTATTTCAATTTAGTGTGACAGTTTTGAATAAATATTACGTGTCCTAGAATTGTTCCTTTATTAGAACTTTAATTACAGTGATTGTTCTTAAATTATTTGTACCGTTCTATTACTTTTCAACGAATCCATTTATTTATACAATATTGTAACAGTGCAACAGTAGAGGTAAGCAGGTACAATTGCCACAAGGGTAAAGAAATGTCAATGTTGTAGAATACCATTGTGATTTCTTTGAAACTTGCATTAAACTATTAAAGTTCTGAATCATTCGAAGGTTACTGGTATCGAGAGAATCGGTAATATTGGATTCGTAGTTTCTACTTCCAATGCTGTAGCCATACAGTCACTTGCTGCTTCTACTTCGCCAACAGATTCCAACACCTTTCCTAAATTGTACCTAAAAAAATAAAGAAATTTCATGTAATGTACATTTTTACGAAAGTATCTCCATTTACCAAAGTAATTTTTCGTACCACGTTTGATGTGAATTTGGATCAATTTTTGCTGCATCTCTTAATGTTTTTTCAGCCAATCTCTGACTTCCCAAATAGTGATAAATTAGACCCTAATAATATAAACAATCCTTAAGTAACATCTGACGAAATCATACAGAAATTATTATTTCAACAATAACAATTTTTCGATAAAAAGAACAAACGTTACCAAATGTTGTAAACTCTTTATATGCGACGGATTGATCGAAACAGCATTCTGATAACACTGCTTTGCTTCTGTATATTCCAGTTTATATTCATGTAAAAGACCCCGCTGAAATATGAAAGTATTCCTACTGCATATTATATTGATATTCTAATAAAGTACATCGTCAAAATAGAATTATACAATTGTAGAAACCCACGGTGTACATAATGTGATGGCTCAATGGAAAAATATTGGTAGCCTCTTGTAAAGAAAGAACAGCGCCATTCGGTTGATCTAAGACCAGGTATACTTCAGTGAGTAACAACCAGACCTGCAATTGTAACAACCATGCTCTTTGGGGTCCTGGTTTGGGTGTAAACGAACTAAGTGAAGATGCAACCTCGGATAAAGCTTGTTCCACCTTTGAAGCAGCTAGTGACTGTGCATGCAGAGAACCTATTTGAAACATTATCCTTTATAAAAAGTGTTTAATTTTGAAAAATTAAGAAACAACCGATTTATTCGTTACGTACTGGAGTCTTTGTCAGACATTTCAGAAGCATATAGCTGAAAAACGCTTCTGGTTTCGCTGCGTTTTTCACTGTGTTGCTCATTGCAATTAGCATTAGTTTGGTCTTCGTACAGATTTTTCCAAAGCAGAAGCATGTGTCTAATGGTAAATAATGCTTGCTCACCGCCGATACTTCGTAATTCGAGATGTGCTTTGACATAAAGGAAATTTAAATTATCTGGATATTCTTCTAATACGCTGTTAATTAAACGCAACGCTTCTGAATATTGTTTATGAGCCGACAGTAATAATACTAATAAATGCAGTGATGGAATGTGTTCCGCTCGAAGGTTCAATGCAATTTTCACGTGAATCATTGCATCGTTAATTTGTCTGTTGATAGCGTATTCGTGAGCCAAATAATATTCAGCCAAGTGATCGTTTGGATCGCATTGTTGTGCTCTATTAAACGAAATGTGCATTAATATAACTTGTAATATTTAACTCGTTTCACATTTCATATTAAAAAGTACATACTTTTGAAAACATTCTAAAGCTGTTTTAGTGTGATAATTTTTATCCAATTTTACTATGGTATTTGCAGAAAGTATACTGTGCCCAATTCCAATGTATAGGTGACACCTAGACTGCATTCCTTGGGAACTTGCAGTTTCCCTTTGAAGTGCTTTTTGACTCCATTCGATCCCTTCCTTTACCTATTGAAAATGTTATGCGATTAAAATATTTCTACTCGTGCAAAGTCGAGAAACTACTCTAAAAGAATATTTCTTACCATGTTTAATTGTTCGTAACATAGCTTCGCAGCTAAAAGACAGGGCATTACTTTTTGTGGTGATAACCTTGCTACCACTTTTAAAACTCTATACGCATGCATATATCTGCCCATACTGATTAAGCACAATGCACACTGAGTCCATACATGCGCTTCCTCATGAGAGAATTTCATTGCTCTTTCGAACGACTATCAGAATATAAAGTTAAATTATATTTGTAAAATACATCACAGAGTACATTTAGTAAGTAATAAATATCATAATTGTCTTTTATTTAAAAAATGAACACTGAACGAATTGTTTATTTATATCAACCTCATATAGCAAGTCGACTTGACTCCACCTCACAACAACTGCTGTGAGAAGGTCATATATCGCAGTGGCATTCTCGAAAGCATGTATTCTCGCATCTTTAAATTCTGGAGATTGACTAAGTACAGCATCTCTGACTGCCATAGCTTCGCTTATCAATAATAATAATATGGTTTCCTCGTATTCGTTCTTTGGCACAAACATATTAGGGCCTAAGTACTTCTTTGGTTTCCATGGTGATTCTGAAAAAGTCTCATATGAATATTAATTTGCCACCTTTCTTAGTTAAATTGCTAAGAGGATTTCACGATTACCTGTCGCATCGCTTGGTGCTCCTGGAGTTTTGTATTCGGTACTACTCATTCCTCGAATTAATACCTCTGCCAACTGTCTTGTCAGAGTAACTCGAAGACTTTGAGTCGTAGTAGACTCCACAGCAGATAAAATTTCCCTTGTAAGTTATCATCAATTTCATATTAAGTTTATGCTACTTCGTTATTTTTTATATTCATACTAATAAGAAAAATGATTTACCTGTAACGATTTATAGCAGCTTGAATATTACCAGTTTGAATATACAGAATAGGTGCCCTTTGCAGTGCTGTTTCCAGAATTGGTCCAACATGCTTTGTAGGCACATATGAAGATTGAGAAGACGAATATGTACCTGTTGATAAAAAAAATACATATGTATATAGACTATGAATATACCGTGACATTTCACTAACATCAAAAAATTAACTGAAAAATGTTTATACGAATAAAAGTGAATATGATACTATAATGTTATTTATTGATTTTGTTTTAGATATTCGTTATTAGTCATAACTGATTATCATAATATATTATTCATATACTCACGAATTATGGATATAACAGTATTAATTAGCATTAATTAACTGAGAACAATGTACTGAAAATCAATTTACGTCATCTGTATTGTTACTATTTATGGTGAGCATACCATTTTGGTGTTGCATCGCAAGTTTGTCTTGCTCCTGCAAATATACCAGTGTCAAATCCCCAGCAATTTCGTAACATCTGATGATCTGTTCTTGCCATTCTGCTATTTTGTATTTCGATTTGGAATTTGGTGGTAACCTTTCCAGGCAAAGACCTACCACGAATAAATGAAGAAAATTGTAGGATTTAAAAAAAAATTAGTATAGCCAACAGAGAACAAAAAAATTACATTTTTTCAGCATTAAAGTTTATAAATATATTCAAATTGTAGTTATAAAAAATAGAAATACCATTCGCTGTGAACTTATTTTGTAATTTATCCTGTATTCAATGATATTTATTTATGCCAAAAAAATGTATGAAAATGACGATATCATCAGACATAAATACATTTCATATGAATAATAACATTTACAATGAATAAATAGGGTGTTACAAAACACATAGTATACCTCCATTTTAAACAACAACTTGTAAAATATAATTATTAAGTAATTACATTTTCTTCTAAAACGAAAAGTAGGACACAATTTTTCGGAATTTCTTTAGGAATTGTTGAAACCAAATTATTTGATTAAATATTAATAATTACTGTATAAAATTGATGCAATAAAGTGTTATACAATAACAAAATTCTCTATATTTAATTGGTGCATACTACATAGAACCAATGAAACATTCAATGTACATACAACAAGCTAACAACATGAGAGGAAAAACAGAATTTATATCAAACATGCAATCACAGTACAAAGCTGGGTAAAGACATAGCTGAACAAACAATCATAATGGAGATGAAGAAGTATAATTACCATTAATGAAACAGTATCATTCAGCTTTGCAGAAAAACATCTTCTTTATCAATTTTGATAAAGTTTTAAAACTACTTAAATACCATATTCTATACTATAATAAAAGACAATTTCACATAATACTTATTTTTATATGTCCCAAATTTACATTATTTCATACAAAGTAGAAATAAAAATTACAAAAATTGTTTTGTAAAACATGAATAATTATTTATTTTTCTGTAAATTGTACTTCATATTAAAACTGTTTACTTTTTTCATAAAGCCAACTTTTAAAAGTACCATCACATCGTATTGTGTTAGAGTATATGTAACATTGCATTTTTATAAAAAAAATATGTTGCCTTTGCGTTTCACATAGTGAATTCTTACAATAGATACAGTTATTAAACATAGAAATACAGTAAGTTCCCGACTTACGCGGTTAAGCCATGGATCTTTTGCGTAATTCGAATTGGGTATATACGATATGTTATAGAAAGAAAAAAAGATCGATCTCACGTTAAGAATAACAAGATAGTTTGGTAGAGGTAATGTGGGCTGTATCGAGTAATTTTTTTCCAGGTATGATTAGAAATTTTTGCCTCTACGGAGTTTTTCTCTTTTCTACAGTGCGCTTAGTATACAACCTTTTTTACAAAAGTGATTGAAAGTTAAAAAGATCCGTGCAAATTTCTGTATTAAAGAAATACTTTATTGCATACGCAAAAACATACACACATACCAAATATGTATGTACAAGGACATAGGTGCACAACTGCGTACTACGAATCCGCGTAACTCGGGAACTGTAATATTGAAAATGAAATACATATTAATATAAGTTATTACAATTTCTTTAAAATTTACTAAGAGAAAGTCTTAATTTGGACTATCACATAAGAAAGATGACTTACATGGCGATGAAGCATACATTTATGTTATGATAGCTGATCGAGGTAAAGTTGAAAAAATGTGATACATTTATAGATGGCAAATAAGAAAAAATAAAATGAAGCAAAATACAAACCTTTAATTGCGTATGACTCAGCTATAATGCGCAGTCTCCGGCAGGATAAATGTTTCTCTGTTTCGAAAGTAAACAATCTTTCTTTCTCTAAATTATATATTGACTAGAATACTAAATAAATAAGGTATATGTTCAGAAATCATCGCATCGCATAAATACCAGTGTTTGAATGTGGCGTTACCTTGGGCCAGGGTATAAGAAGATTTATACTTAGTACAAACTGTCGATAAGAAACAAAAAAAAATGCAGTCTTTTAAATTTTGTTAGAAAATCTACACTGAGTGCCATGTTGTCAAATTCAGCATGAATTTTCATGATCTAAAGTACAGAACTATTAAAAAACAATTGTTAAGTGATATATGTAAGACACCAAACTGTATTAAATATAAGTCATTCCTTTATTTAAACGGCAAGCTGTTATATGTGATATCGGAAGTAATGATGCACTAGTACATACTAGTAAGATACTAAGTAGTTTCAAAAATATTTAATGTATACCTTTGATTGCATATGATTCCGCGATAATACGTAGACTACGACAAGGCAATTGTTTTTCTGTGAGAGTATGTAGTTCAGCTTGGTCGTAGTGGTTTATGGCTTCTTCGTACATTCCCATCGCATAGTGTAGCTTTCCAAGCAATAGATGGGCATCTAATACAACTAAAGCCTAAAATTTTAAACACATATATATTATTACTCTACTTACAGACTGCTTTCTTAGTGGTCTAACAGTTTTTAAATCAAATAAAACATAAAAATTATACTGTAAACAGTATCATAATCACCTGTTTATCCTTTTCATTCGCTGCAAGAAGTAAATACCTTCTAGTTTCAGCTAGCCCATTTTTTGCTTTTCCAATGTTTGCATCTACGGGAGGATTTTGTTCTAAAAAGCTTTCTAATCTCCCTTCGCCACATAGGAAGTTTGCTAAACATTCTGGAATTAAAGATATTTCATATTCATTTCTCAGTGTAATATTGTTTAATATTACTTTATTATTGTATAAACATTTGGTAAAACAGTAATACGTTTATTCTTTTTACTTCAAATGGTACTGTTTGAAAAATCCAATATTATTTTATGTTTATCTTTGCACCTATCTGTGTTTACATGAAATTAAAAAAACTATATTAAGTTAATTCGCTTAACGCTCTAAATTTTCAAATAATAACTATTTAAAAGTTTGTTATGTATCTGGTAGCAATAAAAAAGGTACAAACTAAAAATTTTAATACAAATGATATCATACAGAATTTCATTAAACAAAACTTATCAAACATGTTATCTTATGTAACATACAATATCTTATAATCCTTTTACAATTAAACACAATCGGTTGAATACATTTGTAAGTGACATATGTATTCACATGACTAATGAGCAAGTTGTCAGTGGGTGTTACAACCACAGATAATTCACTGATAACAGAATTTCGTTTATCTCGAGAACCTGATACAGAAGATTTTTAAATAATGAAAAATTGAATGTTGAATGATACACTTTTTTACAGCAATTACGTTTGGCCTCACTCGTGTAATTCGTGACGTGACTTAACAAATTTTTCATACAAACAAGTTATGAAACTCGTGGCGTGACATTTAAACTCTATAAAACTCGATCGTACATTTCAACAAAAATTCGTTATTACGATACAAGCGTGTTATCATTTAAAACATCAACAAAAATAAAGAATATTTAATTATTTACCATTGCTTGGATATTGTACTTTCAGATGTTCCGCTAATTCTATAACCTTTTTCCAGTTTCCTTCCTCACGGTTTTTATCGATTTCTTGTTCAATTCGAAATATGTGCCCTTTTTTACTTGTCATTCTAATTCACGTGAAAAAAAGAATCGGACAAGATGTTACGTTCTTTTGTGATGTTCCTTGAGATGTAATGCAATATATCGATCATCAGTGATGTTGGGAGCGTAGGCAGCACGTAAAAGCGAACGAATGACAAACTCCGCCTCGAGCACGTGCGAAACTATTTTGAACTGTCTGTCACGTCATTGATTCTATAAAGTATCTAGATACGATACTGACTGAATATACTGACGTAAAAGTCAGTTTACAGATCGCGTAATAATGAAAATATTCCATTTATTTTGTTAGGACATAGATATTGTAAATATTTATTATATTTATTTACAACATTTTCGATTACCTTGAATATATAAATTAGTAGGCGATTAATTAAGTATCATTTATCTGTTCATTCCTTAGTTCGTTAACAAATAATTACAATTAAATTTTAAATAACGTAACATTATCGTTTAAATATATTTAATTTATCATTTCCATACTACAAGATTTTACTAACAACCATTTGAATTTATTTCTTGTATTCTCTTCAATTTTTGTTATGAGAAAAAAACAAACAATAAATTTTACTATTCAATACTTTATTAGTCATTGAGTCATACGTATACGGTAACGATAAAAATAAATTTACTTTGATTCTTCCTCTTTGACAATGTACATATTTACATACATACATATACATACATATTACATTTATATACTCTTTTAATCTTCGGTATAAAAATTTATTTATATTTATTTATATCGATCTTCGTGGACTAAAATTGATTTCGATTTGTCCTTATGGCAATCGGAAATTATATATACAAGTTATGTTTTATTTCCTCCAATTATCTTTTGATATCTTTTTCTCCATTTATCTTTAACATCTGCAATATTGTGCTGCAATTCATATTTATACTTTAATCCTCTTAATTCGTACTTGTAAATATGATGAAATATTATTATTCATTATAATAAATCATTGTAACTAATTATTGTCTATTAATACCTGTAATATATGTACCCCACGTTGTGTAAGAACGATAAGTTCCTTCATTCCGTCGTTTGTTATGTCCATGTAACATATAGAATGTACAGGTGCATCAAATAATTTTCTAACAGTCAATTCCCACGTGTCATTTACCAAGGAAAATATTAGAATTTCTTGGCCGTAAGTTCCTAACAATATTTCATTTTGACCGTCCATATTGATATCAGCGATGCAAGAGCACAAAATGCAATCGGATGTTTCGCTACCATTTAATCTTATGTCTTCCTCCATTCCATTATTTAAAATATCCCTAAACAAACAAATAAATTATGAACTGTCGCTGTATGTAATGTAAAATTAACATACTCACATAAAAACAACAGCATAGCTTGTATTTACAATGAGAACATTTAATTTTGTTTCTTTATCATCCAAAGAATGACTTGAGCCTGTAATAAGTATTATATAAGAATCATTTTCTAATTTTTGATAGTTTACGAGATAATAATTAATGTAATAGTATTTACTTTTAGAGTTGATAAAAGTTGGTTTTGTTATATTATTTTGTTGTGAAAATACGCATACACTGGTAATAGGTGCGGCGTATCGCAATTTCCAACTTCGACGGACTTTCAGTTCTAAGACATTAACGATAGCTACTTTCACTAAACCGCATTCGCAACCAATTACAGTCAGTCTCCTAAACGAATTTAAATTTTGCATAATCTTTACAATTCAGAGTAATTTATTATACTTCAATTAATAGAGAAATATTTAGAATTATACCAGTTATAATTGCTATAATAGTAAATATTAATCCATATTGTAATTGCTTGAAGATCATGTAACTCAGGGAAATATTTTTCAATTGGTGATTCACTGTAACCATGGTTTAATTTATCCTCCCTGATCATATGGATTTTATAATCACTTCCAGACAATAACCAGACAACCTGAAATCTTAGAGAGATTGTAATTCTATCTTAAATTTACATTGTAAATTTTCGAATATTTCTTTTGTTAAATGGATCAGTCTTGTTAGGGTAACAAAGAAGTTACCTCGCTGTAAGAATTTTGTTGTGGTAGTATAGTATGGTATAAATGATACGGAGTATATGCTAATTCTACCATGAGGCAATTTTGTGCTACAGCTTCAATGGAACTGTATTCTTCTCCTTCTCCATCTGCACCACCTTCTGTATATATATTTAAATATCTCTCCACGGATGTATCTGTGCTTACTTTTATTATTGTTATTCCTATCACAAACCCGTCACCTGTATCGGATTTATTATAAGCATCGATGGATATGATTTCTGCACCACCTGGTAATACATAAGTTTTATGTAGTTGTAAAAATAATTGTTCATTTTATTTTAATAATACATTGTTATTTATGATTACAAACTTGGAATGTATGTAAACAGCAGTTCCTTAACCAATGGTCTTAAATGTAGATTTGGCATCAGATGATATTCGCAAGTATATATTTTTCTTTTTAACGAAGCCACTAATACCTTGTTGGAGCCATTGGTGGAACATAACTTTGTCATTGAATATATATTTCCTTGCGAGGTTAAAGGAAACCAATGGGCATCTATCAAGTTACTCATGATTCCTTCAAATTTTTAAATATTAAATCATAATAATCTGTGACAGTGTCATGATATTTAACTCTTGTTTATATTTGTATTACATTACATTAATTCAGACACTAAAATTAAATACCTACAATTTTGTATTATTTTCATATTATACAGCTAATGTTAAATGTTTCATTTGACAGATTCATAACTAAATTTTGAGGTTAGGAATACAAGATTCATTTCATGTATGAGTTCTACCGCAAAGATATGTCTTGAATAGTTCATGAAACGAAATTTAAGTGTTTTTTTCTGTAAAGATTAAATAAAGCGATCTATAAGATTCTTAAATAAATACACATTAGGCATAAATTGAAATAGGTACATGTCCCAAATCTATATACCAGCATTTATTCGAACGAAATCATTGACAAAAATATTTTTATTTTAATTTCATATTTCTACATTGTTATAAATTAGAAGTGCAGACATATCGTTTTTATAAGATTCCGTATCTTTGAATGTTTGCGTAAATTAAAAAGGTTTGCATTTAAAAGTTTGAAAACTGTTGACAAATTCCAATAAATTTTTAATAAATATATCTGATGAGACGTATCACTAATTTTAATTCTGCCCAATTAAAATTTAAAACACTATGTGTATAAAATTGATAAAATTGTTGAGTCGAGTATGGTCTAGTATAGTATTTGCTCGACCAATGATTTGTGTTTCCCCTTCCCCTTCGTGGTGTGCTTTTATAGGGCTGAACTTCATGTCAGGGGCCCATTTTTTTTTTTGTTAAAGTTTATCAGATCTTATAGTTTTTGACCTGAAAAGTCCGAAAATGCAAGTTAAAAGTTTGAGAATTCAATAGTTTAAAAGATACGAGTATATAAAGATGTGTGTATTTGGCGTACTTTGATAGGTTAGTACGACGCCATATTGCCTCTACCTATGCTCTGATTGGTTCGCACGGATGACCGTTCAATCGCGCCTGTATTCAAATCTTCATTTCTTATAGGTTTTACGTAAAGTAAAAAACTATAGGATTTGATCATTTTTAACAAACAAAATGGGCCCCTGAGAGAAAGTTTAAACAATCAATCATCGAATCTGACAGAATTAAAGGTAGTGAATGCGCGTTTATGTATGGACTTTGCAAAAAACATATAGATTGCCCTTATGATCCGTATCGTGCAGAAGTTAATATATCTCACGCATTTATATAGACCAAATGCGATATTTCTCTTACGTCAACGGTTTCACTTACGTGAAACGTAATCGTTTGTCGATAATTATCGACACTGTGAAGTAATTGGATTCATCCTTGTGTTTAATAAAAGACCACGAAAAACTTGATCGAAATATCGGTTTTAATAAATATCTAATGAAAAATATATGCTTTCCTTTCTTTATTGTTTAAAATCCACAAATATATTGCACGCGATAACAAAAGTTTTCTTTGATTTGACGAGCATACCTTTTGCTCCTTTTGTAATTATAACGGAGAAAAACTCCAAATCACTGAATACCTGAAAACTAAGCAGTTATTTAATACGATATTATAAGGTCTGGGTTAGGTTACTAAAAATTTATATTATATCTGGTCTATCTATTATATCGAGAAAATATCCAGATAATCGTAAATCTTCAAATGCAAGTATTTTGTATATAAAATTTTAATATTATAATCTTATATTAATATAAGAGTTTGTGTATTTATAAAAAAAATTACGTATATTAACCGCAAAAAATGCAACAAATATTTTCGTCTCTATCGTCATAGAGACATACATGTTTACATGTTTGATACTTTCTTAATTAAAACGAAACAATTTGAATTCCCGTCGGACTTGGTTTTGTTTTTTTTTTCCGTCGCAAAGAATTTTCTTTGTTCATTGAGCAATAGTTTACCAGAAATTAATAGCGCACGGTACGTCAGTCATGACATTTCCCTTTACGCCGAGGTGCCTACGGAAATCCAATATCAAGATTAATCGCGTGCGATCGAGCAGGTCGACCTAAATACCGCGGTGTCATTCGGATCAGAATAGAGCCGGCTCCTATAGAGAACGTTTACTAACCTAGGATTTACTTTTGTCCAAAAAAAAACCATCGTTTTACGCGCCATTTGCATTTAACTATGGATCGTTTCCGATATCGCGCAATTACCGAATGTTATTCTATACATCGAAACTGTAGAATGAAAATTGGTTAGAATTTCATTCAATGTACGTTTTTACTCGATTACCGTGAAATGTAACTTCATTCTCCGAAACTAATGAAGGTATCGACTTCGTTTTTGTTACAGTTGAATGACACAGAGTATCCCAAAAATGTTGTAACACCTTGAAAGGGGTGGTTCGGGAGGTGATTTGAAACAACTTTTTCCTTAGCGAAAATGTTGTCCGAGGTTTCGTTAAGGAGATATTAAGCGAAAACCCCGACCAATCAGAGCGCGAGTATGCCGGTTGAGCGTAGGCTACGCGCTAGGCGGCCGCGCTCATACGCTACCGCGAGCGCTCCACCGGCATCCTCACGCTCTGATTGGTCAGTGTTTTCCGTTAATATCTCCTCAACGAAGCCTCGTAGAATATTTTCGCTAAGGAAAAAGTTGTTTCAAATCACCTCCCGAATCACCCCTTTCAACGACTTGCAACATTTTTGAGACACCCTGTATGTACCCCTGAAGGGGCGCCAATATTGCAAAAACCGGCCCTGGTTATTTGGATAGCTCTTGTAAAACCGAATAAAACGAAACTTTCATACTATACTCCATGCAGAAAATATTAAAAAAAATTTGCTCGTCAAATTGGGATGTGTACATCTACATACACGCACACGCATACGTATACATAATATATATATTTTTTTCTTTTATTAAACACAGAATCACAGAGCAAACTGGACATGTCGGAGGGGCGGGAGATGTTACATATTTCTAGCTGATTTGTTTTTTTTTCTGGAACGACGCACCGGGCTCACCTCCACCTACTTTTTTTCTCTCTCTATTATTATTATTATTATCGTCGTTATTATTTTACGTCTTGTTACTGTACAAAATATCTCACTGTTAAAAAAGCAGCCGCAGCTTTTGGTAAAAAACATACGAAATCGGTGGAAGAGGTAAGCCCGCGGTGGGCCGAATGCGCCCCGCTTGGTATCGGCAGAGAATATGGTTTTCATTAGTGGAAGTAATTAAGTTTTATTTACAAATCAAGGCAATATCGTTAATTATGTTTTCTTTTTTTTTTTACATGCATACTCGCGCCTCTCATTCGATTTGTTACCCCTCTATCTTTTGTTCTGTTCGCTGCCCAACACGACACTTTGAGCCCTAATAATTCCTTTCCGTTTTCTTTCTTTTTTTTTTTATCTGTGACGAATCCTTTTGTACAACGTATGTATAATGGTAATACAATAATTTAATCGTCCAGACCGCAACGGAGGCAACGACTGGCGGTCCGAGTTTCCTGTATATTCCCTTTTTCCCCGTCTTATCAAACTGGTTGCATTATAAAAAGTCTCGATTCTGCGACCGTCGCTCGGCGAACGGTTTTACGCCACGCTATATTCTTACTCTCTCTCTCTCTCTCTCTCGCTTTTTTTCGTTTATTTTTTAAAAACACTACACTCGCACACTCGCATACCACGCACGCACACACGCAGATATTCTCTTCTATGTACCTCTTCTCAAAAGCACGCTTCTCTTTTGGACAAGGACCGCTGAAATTTATGGTCCGATACTTGGGTAGATTATAGCACTCGTCGAAGTAAGCGATAAAGTGTTAGTAAACGCATATCTAGAAATCAATAGTTCTCAAGTTGTAAGAAATTTGTATTTTATCGCACAGTATATGTTTGAAGGGTCTTTCAACTGTTTTCTGATTGAAGAATGCATACAGTACTCATAGAAGTAAGCAATAAGAGCTGTTGGTAAACATTGATTTTTCATTGGAATCCAACAGGTAAAAATATCTTGTACCAAGTAGCCTGCGAGTAGATTGTTTTTCTTTAAACATTTTCAACCTCTATGAAGAATTTTTCATGAACAAAAAGGTTAACGTTACTTTGTACAAGCATAGGTTCAATTTCACTTACATGTAACATTTATTTAATTTATAGAATTATTTTGAAAGAGGACATTCAGTAAATAACAAATGTTTACGTGTATATTATAAGTAGACTGCGAAATTGTATGCATTTATAGGAAACTTGAATTTCACAAAACTACAAAATGCACACAGTATGCAACAATGTAAAGAAATATCGAAAATACAGTTTGTATCATAATATTTGCAGAGTAAAATAAATTCCTACATAGGTAATTCCTATACAATTAGGTATTTTGCATAAGGATTCACAGTCTGATTATAAAAACAACTTCTTGGAATAAGATTTTTCCTTGCAACTCGAAAATTGATGTTTTCTAGACTCGCCTTTATCGACATTTGTCTCCTAATTTCGACGAGTACTGTACGTGTACAAAGTTTGGAGCATGAATTTTAGCAGACCTTGTATATTCGTACGATTCGTTATACAACAGCAAAGCTGTGTCCGAAATAACGATTCTGCGCCGAGAAAAATGTCAGCGGCCTCGTTTATTGCCGTTGCAGCACGGTCGTTATCACCAAACAGCTTCCGATTCCTACCGAATCCAGCCGATAACAATAATCATTTGAAAATTAATAGAACGATGAAACGCGCAACAAAAGTAAACGCTTCTCTCTCTCTCTCTCTCTCTCTCTCTCTCTCTCTCTCGTATTGCTTCTTCTTCAATAAAATACCACCGTTTCCCTATACATCTACTTGGCAAATCGTTTCGTGCTCGATAAACTCACCTTCGATAAAACGGTAAAAAAAGCGACTTCAGCTTGTTAAAATTACTAGCGTACAATTGCATTTTCTTTAAAAAAAAAAAAGACTACGTCAAACAATATCGTAGGTATACGATCGATAAAGTACGTTATAATTCACGCATCAGTATGATATCGTACTGGGAAATACTCCGTTCAGAGATGGGAAAAATATTGTTTAAATCGTAGACGACGAATAGAAGCACAACATAGCGATTCATTCGTACAAGTACTTATTCGTTTAACGTGAAATACAATTTCATCCTACAATTTAAATTGTAATTCACACCGAACAAAATTAGAGATTAAAAATAGTTCATCGATACAATTTTCCCAATCTCTGATTCCACTTGTACATCCGTCGTATCGCATGTAACTTACATTACGCATTAAATTACAGCCGACGAGGAGCCACGATTCGAAGACATTTTATACGTTAAAAATTCTTGGCCTACCTAACAATTCATTTCCTTTCATTTTATACATATTTAATAACGCATCGTGAACGCTCCCGTTTTCACGCCATCGCGCTAACAATTTTTCTCGGCGCACAGTCACAATAAATCTAAACATATTGTGTGGACACTCGTGACGGCCCACAGCGCGTCTACAATCATGTTACAATTCCGTAATAGTAATTAAAAATAAGGAAAACAAAACAAAATGCTTGGAAAGATTGAAACACGACAAAAGAAACGCACTTATTAAATATATGTATATATACGAATACCATTGAGGGGACGCCTTTTGTCGAGCGTCCAGATAAATTGTATTCGATAAAAGCGATACACTGGATTGTTAATGTTAATTAATCACGGAGGGCCACGGTGTGACGGGTCTCTAACACTAAGCACGTTCGTTTCGAAGTTTCGTTTACATAATAAATACATAATTATTCGTTGAATACTCGCCATGTAAAAAAGGAATGTGGGGATACTTTCATACTTTTTGGGCGTGGTTGTTAAAGCCGGTGACTGACTTGCAACCGAACGCTGTAATGTAACTGCTCGGCGCGAATTGTACGGTTCGGCACCAGCGTTACATTACAAGGTTGTTTTTGGAATCACGAATGCTCGCTTCGCACTCTCGGCTGAATTCTCTCTCGATGCTTCCCACTCAGTTCAGTGAGAAGTAGACGACCAAAGAGGTTCGTCAAAAAACCGACAGACCAGAGGAGCACGGTCGAACGCAAGAGTTCGTCCAAATTAAGCGAATCCTCGCGTTACATTACAATGTTCTGTTGCAAGTCAGTCGCCGGCTTAAAGAAGAACAGATTTAACGGTTTCACGTGGTACATTTGTATCGTTGTTGACGGATCGACTCGCAGAACGTTACTGCTATAATTATTACGGTATTTGGCATACCGTAAGACACACGAGTGTCGCGAGCAAAAAACTTCTTTCAGCACTTTCAGCGCGCAAATCAAGTCATTACCGACTACAGGAAGAAGTTTATTAACACGTTGGCTGCCAAGCTAAAACTCGTGAAAATTTCAATAAAGTTAAAATTTTCTTAACGTCGTCAAATTTATGAATCCTGTCCAGATTTATTTTCATTATTGTCTCATCTATGAAATTAATTTCATCAGTTCCTTAATGACAAGGCATGTCACCAATTTCTGGCGACCAACGTGTTAACGAAGAATATCAACATTTACAACGGACGTGCATAGTACCAACAAAGTATATCGGTCGTACAAATTTATTCTTCCTCTGAACCGTTACCATTTCGTTATTTTACTAACTCAAAGAGATTTCAAGTATCTTACAAGTTTGTTCGATATACGATTTTGAAGCACGTTAATTATATTATTACTTCAAATAATGTTTCAATTAATGTTACTTCGAAACGAACGTAGATTTCCGTGTAATGTCGTATCCGTGAAGGAATTTTATCGGATGCAACATCAACGTTGTGTCACACGTGGCCTCCGTTGCTCGATCTTCCTAACTGAAAAACAGGCATTAGCTATATTTTCCATATTCGACTTGTTATCGTGCACATTATCAGTGATATACGTTTCTGCGATAAACAATGGAAAGAAAAAGTAAAAGAGGAGAAAAAGAAAAGAAGAAGAAGAAGAAGAAGAAAAGAATGCTCTCAGGATTTTGCCACATGACTGTATATGTCGCATCGTAATCGCTCGCGTGTTGTCTTAAATTTACAACTGCTCCCAGACGGCAGACGGAGTTTCGTAAAAGATATCGATAATATTGGGCTGTCTGGAAAGTCCATGCCGATTTTTAGTAGGCGGTACAGGTCTGTATATTATATCGGAATGGCTGTAAACAAATAAAATGTGTACATTTCTTAACAGATGGAAAGGTTGTGGAACAAAATGGTACATCTATAATTCAATAGATGTACATCATAATTCAAATATGCCTTTTGAATTCTTTTTAAAAATAGGCATGAACTTTCCGGACAACCCAATAGAAACACAAGGTGTTCGATTCGAGATACATTTTCTTTTTTTCTCACGCATATCCTTGTTTTACTGTACGTATTTCCGGAATAGGTGAACCAGGTAATGGTAGAGTCGTTTGGATGGGCGTTATTATAGCGAACGCTGGTTACAATTTTCACACGAGAAGAGTATCGTGAATTTTGTGATAAAAGTTATTATATAAATTCATCGTGTTCGCGTCGGCCGCCGCTGTTTTGAATGCTGTCCAAAAACGAACAGTAATTCGATACAATGATTATTTGCGTTAAATCTGTTGAATTTATTATACATATATTTAGATGAAGGATGGAGTAGAAGCACAGCTACTGCGTGATATTGCCACAATCGAAATCGTTAAATCAGATATATTACAGGAGCTTCGTTAAAAGTATTGGCGAGGTACGGTTACTAAGTACAAACGTTCCATAACATGTTGTTCTTTCCTAAACATGCGCAATAAACATAAATAAAACGACATTAATACGGCAAATGCAATTCTGAATAATAAATTGTTAAATCCTAGATATAAACTCGTCAACATTTATATACATTTTTTTAACGGTCAGCTAGCATCTTTTGTTTTGTTAAACCGTGTATATTAAGACTATTTAATATAGAAAATTATCACAAAAAAAAAAAAAGAAAAAGAAAAAATAATCAATTCAACTATGTTCAAATAGTCCTCTCCAACTGTATTATCACGTGAATTAGTTCACTCGTATTTTCAATTCGTTATATCACTGGCTGGGTCTGTTTTCCTAGATGTAAATGTCGTCTCAATATTGACCCACTTAACAGATAGATATTAAAGTAATGTAACATCCAACGAAAAACTTTGATAGAAGATGAAGTTGGAAGCCATTTAATATTATGCAATATGTGTAAGACTTATTGTTATATAATCTTCTTATCTCTGTATATCCTAGCTCCCCTTTTCGCCAAATGAAAACTTATAACTCTGCGAACCTACTTTTGTTCAATGAGAAACAGTAAAGCAACATAGATAATTAGCAGAGCCAAGGTTCATGTACATTAATAAACTATGCTTAAAAAATAAAATATACATTATAAATGTGTAATGTCGGAGAGCTTTTGTTCAAGCGGACGTTAATCTTATATCGTTAAATCTGTTATAAAAAGTTTGTAAATTATTGTATGTGGTGCCTTTGCCTTAAATAAAAAAAAAAAGAAAAATATATATCAAATACAGTGCAAAGTACTTGAAAATTATTCTGATTCTGTTAATCTACGTATAGATACATATCTTATCAATGTGCCTTTAATATTTCAAGATGAAAAGTAAACACTGAAATTTTGAAATAGATACCATAAATCTAATCATTGATTTTGTCATATTATGTAAAAGACGCGACGAAATGACGTTAACGTTATAATCCAATAAACGGTTGCAACTGACATACGAATGGTGAAATCCTTTGCCGTTATTATAAAACTTTATCTCTGTAACTGTCTCGTCTGTGCAACGTTATACATTTCCGTAAATTGATTTTTGATTAGAATATTCGATAACGACAAACAGATAATATTCTTAATAAATTAGATTATTTGAAACTAAACCGATAATAACAATAATGTAATTAAATTCGATTTACTATATTATTATTAATAATGGTGATGATGATTATGTTAGTAACAGCAGTAATAAAATAAAAAGCGATATACATCTGTTATGCACTAATTAAAAGTACAAACTTGATAACCGCTTGTTAGTAAATGTTTGCGTATGCGTGAAAATACATTTTCGCTTACCTACGCTTGAAAGATTACAAGATTAAATAAGTCTACTTTATTAATGATATTGTAATCATTACTGAATTAACGTAATGCTTTATTACTCGATTGCCTGAAGGGAGAGAATGATATGCACAGACTCAATATTTAAACATTTACAAAATTTTGGTTGTTTTATACCTTTTCATTATTTTCTCAATGTTTCCCAAAACAAAGTTAAAATACCATCATATAACAATATTCATTTAAAGTGTATTAACATTAATTTCGTATGTAATCAGATTAAATATCTCAAACTGTAGTTACTGTTAATATCGTTTCAGTAAAAATAAAGAAGAAACGGTTAGGTAAATAATAATCGTTCTAATATTTGTATTACTAAAATCTTAAATTGTTAGATCTCAATGTTTCTTGTTCGTTTCTAGGAAGAAAGTCTGATTCAATAAAATCGAACGTATTTCTTCGATGAATTCTAACAAATCTTGATTACATTCGGTAAAAGGATTTTACAAAGATGCTAATTTCTGATACTATTTGGAATTATCAGCCTCATAAAATTTATATAAAAATTAATTACTATGTTACTCGATATTCATAGCAATACTATAAGAACTCGTTGAAACTGTATATACAGTGACAGTAAACGTAATGCAAATTCATAGTAAATAACCGGATTATAATAAGGGGAGAAGTAGAATATATACATATATATATATATATATATAATATAGCCCATCAAACGACTCAAAAGTAATTCAGTATTTTCTTTCCTTTGTACCGCTAACGCTATACTCTAATTTCATATACGTGATTTTGTTCTCTTCTACAATTAATTCATGAGGTACTTTGTAAAAATTAAGTTCAAATAAGCACAAAGTTATGCATTTAACCAGTATAAAATGTACATCACGTTTCACATTCGCTGTTAGCCTTATCATGTGCTTTTTTTCTCAAGTACACCAAACACGGAAACACGCACATTGAATTATTATGTAACCGATAAATTATATTCGAAATCTATTCCGCTTCGGTGTAACTGAAGGAGTTATTTGTTATTACCAATTGAGCTACTCGTGAATTTTTTTTAAAAACTGTACGTTAACGATTAGATCAATATATTCAGTACATCGTATCTGTCATACTGTGAACAGTTCGGAGCACAGTATATTGTTGTTTATCAGGAAAGACAACTCAAGCCAACAACGAAACCAACCGTGATTTGTGTTGCATCAAAACAAATAATACACAGGAGGATACAGAATTTTCACCCCTTATTTAAATGATTGTTCAACAGGTATGTCTGCATACTACACTTGGTATTTAGTGGGCCATACCTGGTTGTCCACTGCCACATAACAAGAAAGTAACGCGGAGTATTCCAGTCACAATCCTCCTCAGAGTGCATTGAGCGATGACAATACTGGCTGTTTGGCCAGAATTTAGGTAGGGCTAGGAAGCACCAAGCGAACCTGAACCTGGGCTTGGACTATTCTGTACAATAGTCTGCATTTGATTATAAGGGTGATTGATATTGCACAAGACTGTATAAATATTTTCCACGTTACTGAGTTTCTCAAAAAATGGAATTAAGTCTAGTAGTTCTGAATCGGTCATATCGTCGAACCATGACGCCACTGGTACCTAGAAATGAATTTACTTTGAAATTTGTACATTCGTTTCCTTTTCGTATCGTGTCTAATACAATTACTTTTACAGTAAGACTTACCGCATTATCTGGATGGAAAATGTAACTGGCAGGACTATTATCAACAATAATAATTTGTTGTAAATCCCGCCCTAGTTTATTTAAATCTTTAACATAATTTCCTCTGTGAAAAACACAAGATTCTCTAAACAGTCTTGCTCTGAACACTCCCCATCTGTCAAGCAGATCTGCTACTGGATCAGCATACTGCAAGTATTAGAATTTTTGAATATTCAAATTTCTTTTACATATAAAATTGTCAATGACAAGAAGTATCCAATACACAAACCTTAGCCAAACTTGCAGTGAACAATACACACTCGTACAGTTCACCCATTCTTTGCAAGAATTCATCCACATAAGGCCTCTTTAAAACATACACCTGATGCACTGTCCCATCAATTTCTACAGGAACAACAAAATCAGCGTTGTTGATTGGTTTGAAAGAACTATGCACTAGCGTCTCATCCAAATCAATCACCATGCACTTCTTGTGCATATCCTGATGTCTGACAGGTGGGAGAAGAAACCGAGGGGATCCAGTCCCTGGCGGTGGAGAACCTTGTTCATCCCATTGTACAGAATTTGTTTTCGAACTCTTTGAACTACTTCCACGTCCTCTACCGAGACAACAAAGTAGAGATCGTAGAAGTCCACGCCCTCTTGGCTTTTTGCCACTGGCTGGACCGTTGCTGGCCACTTCATTCTCTCGCGGTAACTGGGCTACATAGGGAAAAACAAATGTTATTCTGTAAATATACATACTTGGAAAGAATATCATACAAATGAAAATTATTTGAATCATGGAAATTTATGTAGAAACACATATAAACTTTCTATAAATAAATGAAGTACTATTGGTAATTGTAGAGAACAGGTACATCCTCACCGATTTCGATGATTTTTAAATATGTTGTAGAAATCAACATTGCGAATAACTTTTTCCTATACATACAACCGTCGCTCGGCCTTAGTTTCCGAGATATTTGCAAAATATCATTGCTACTACTACAATGAATATTCCGTATAGCTACGCGTCTGTGTGTGTGTGTAAGCGTTGAGTCCCGATTGTTTAAGCTCGGAATACACGTACGCGTCTGTGAGTCTGTATGCGTTAGCTATCATTCGCTGATCGGCTCGCGTTTCAATCTGTTCCGAATTTATTTATACATATAAAGTAGCGCATGATCTGTATTCGTACAGTAAAAAAATGAGAATCCGGGGGCTTGCCCCCTGATCGAGGGTTTGGGGGAGAAACCCCCAACAACGAGTATATACTGCAGCGCACCACTCAGGTGTGTATACATGGTTAGCCTGAGGGGTGTTTATAGTTTAGCGGGGGGTCTCGGGGACGCAGCCCTCCAACATGCGTATAATTGAGACATACATGCTTTTCAATTTTTGTAAAAGGATTTTGCGCGAAAATTATACGCTTTGACATTACGGGAACTCATAAACGCGTACGTATACAGGGTGTCCCAAAAATGTTGTAACACCTTGAAAGAGGTGGTTCGAGAGGTAATTTGAAACAACTTTTTCCTTAGCGAAAATGTTGTCCGAGGTTTCGTTAAGAAGATATTAAACGAAAACCTCGACCAATCAGAGCGCGAGTATGCCGATGGAGCGCCCGCGCTAGCGTAACCTACGCGCTCTGATTGGTCGAGGTTTTCGTTTAATATCTTCTTAACGAAACCTCGGACAACATTTTCGCTAAGGAAAAAGTTGTTTCAAATTACCTCTCGAACCACCTCTTTCAAGGTGTTACAACATTTTTGGGTCACCCTCTATACGCAATATTCATCGTAGTAGTAGCAACGATATTTTGCAAATATCTCGGAAACTAAGGCCGAGCGACGGTTATATGTATAGGAAGAAGTTATTCGCAATGTGGATTTCTACAAAGTATTTAAAAATCATCGAAATCGGTAAGGATGTACCAGTTCTCTACAATTACCAAAATTCGATTCATAGTAGTTACGGGTTAAAACGGTGGTGAAGGTATGGTATACAACACGATGAAGTTACGCGAAACTTAGGTGAAAGAAAAGAGGGGACAGTGGGGAGGAGAAGGGTGTGTGGGGGGGGAGGAGGTAGACACGATTTGACGAGGCGAGGCCAGGCAAAAACGAGGGCGAGAGGAAAAGAGACGTCGGAAGCGAAGCATAGACGAGCACAACAGTAAGAGAGGCGGAAGAAGGGGGGGGGGAAGGAGGAGGGCAATGCGAGAGAGGTGAAGTTAGGTGAGGTAAGGTGAGGAGGAGTGCGGTGCAGTCCCGTAACAGGTGCAGATTCCATCCAGCATCTGGAAGAAAAACGTATGGAAAAAAATGTAAAGCGACGTGCCGTGTTCGCGGCGAATCACCTACCTTTCTCGTTATTAAACTGGCCTAGCTCGTCATCCCGCGACACTTGGGTGATAATGGACGATGCGTCCATTTAAACATTTGTTGAGTCCCTGCGTGTCCGATCGTGAATTCCGTTAATGCGCGGGCGCGAGAAACACACATCCACACATCGCCACGAGTAAACACGCGCGCACGGGGAACCGAGAATGAGAGAGCGTATACGCGTGTCAAGCACGCACACGCGCCAACCCACTCGCTCGCTCAGTCACGACGTACGAAATCTCTCCCTCCAAACGCCGTCGCGGCCACCGCCGCCGCCGCCACCACCTCCACTGTCTCCTCCGCCGTCGCCACCGCTGCTGGTGCTATTGCCGCCGCCGCCTTCGCTCTGTCCTCCGCCGCCTCCACCACTGCGAAGATCACCGCGGCTCGACGAATGGAGACGCATAGGCGCAGGCACACGCACAGCCGCGAACCACACACACGCACCCACACGGTGTAACTCCACTGATATTTACTTCGAAAAGGACCGATACAGTGGCGTAGCTAAGGGCGTGCGGCGCGTGCCAAGCACGCGGGCACCCTGGGTTTTATAACGAACCACAAACAAACATAATAGCGTCTTGTTTACTATTTTGTTCTCTAACAAACATCGAGGAACTCCTTGATTACTATTATTACACTTTACGCGAAACTTGTATACGAGTCAATGAATATCGCTGTACAAGTTTCGTTGGTCGCTTTTCGTGAAAAAGTAAGTATACCGCTTGTTTTTCTGATGTAATTAGACATTTAAAGGGTTTAGTTAGAAAACGGCCGTACTGTGAGTTTTGGCATGTGGCTCCTGAGGTTGCTGCTTACGCCACTGGCACAAGAATTTATATCTTGATTTTAGAGAAAGAGTGACTTCGTTACACTGTATACGATCAATTTCGCTGTATCGGTGGCACGTTTCACACCGTGTTAAGAGTAATCGCTCGTTTTCGCTGCACTCGAACGTGATCGGGGAAAGTTAATCCAATTCTTTGCTGTCTTCATTCCAACGCAGCACTTGCCCGCACGTACCTACGGTTAGGTGCGTATACGCTCTCTCTTTCGCGCGCCACACCTATGTCGTTGCGCAGTACATCGCGATTCGACGTTTGTCGTACACGTTTTGTTCGCCGAACATGTTCGTTGGGGTCGACGGTGTGGTGTCCTTCGACGCGGCTCGCGCGTTAATCCTTTTCGCCAATGGATCCGATATTGTTGTTACGGACAGACCGATACGCGTATCCCGTTGGTCCTCGGTCAGGAACAGCACCGATTCCGGAACGGTTTCGTAACAATTCGAAGATCGCGAACAAAACACACGCGAACGTCGAACGGTGCTTGTTCGCTACACAACTGCCGTGGTTTAAATTTTTATCAGTACAACGCAAACAACATCGCGGACCCGTGTTACACAAGTTTTTGATGTTAACACAGTGTGTCACTGGCTCTTGCACTCCGCGCGATTCTCCCGCCGTCTAGCGGTCTTTTGTTCAACCGTGAACGCGACCGTTGTGCACCGTTCGAACTCAAAAATTAAAGCCATAAAAGCAGAACGGGAGGAACGCGGCTTTCGCTATTCGCTATTCCGCTCTATTCCTTTTCGGGCATGGATCGAGTTTGTTCGCGGCAATTAGAATTGAATAGATCTGTTCTTTGAGTTATACTCATGGAATACTACGAGTACTATGACTAACGTCGCACCTCCATCATTTTCTTTTAATCTTTTTAGCAGACCGCATGGAATCCATCGGAGACTAGCTTTCTTCGTCGATCACTCGTTCATTTATACTTGAACTAATATTTCCCATTCAAAGTATTCCTCTCTTTTATACCGTGGTTACTAAGGATAACAAGGAATTTTATTACTTTATACAACTAAAATCAATATAAACCACAATCTAGCGTTTTTATCTTCGTATTTTACCAATAGTATATTTTGTTGTAACATAATATTTGGTCTTATACCTTAACTTACAATAATAGTATATTCAATGATAAGTTTGAAATACTTCTAGTCATAAATTGAGCATAAATTTTGTAAAGAAACGTGTAATCTCAGTACTTGTTCCACATTGGATGCATATTATATAGTCATTTAACTTTTTTTCTTTTTTTTATTGTAAATCATTTCTAATAGCATTTAATATAGGCGTTCTAACGTCCTAAAATGGAAGACCAATGTAATTTGTGCCCAGATGTTTTACCTTAAATAAAACGTGACCATTTTATTTTATTATGAATTTTTTTTTTATATATCACAAACATATAGAGTATTGACATAAAATTTCATTCTTTATTTGTTTTTATTATATATATATTCTCTATTAATGTTTTTTTTTTTATTATTATTAAAATCTACCTTAATAGCAAATCATTTCCAGTTTATCATACATACCATTCATTCAACTTTTACAGTTTTTACATTTATAATAATACTATGAATGACAGATCATAGAATCATGGACATAATTGTATAATATTTAAATATTACTTCGTCATAGGTTTGTACGCGATAAAAAAACATATAAAAAGGTTAATATTTTTTGTTTCTAATTTTTTTTTGCGTAATGTGATATTTTGCAGGAAGGTCACGTGATGTTATCACTTTTTTTACTTTTTATTCTCGATGTTTACTGAATGGAGTGATTCTTTTTGTTTCTAACTACACCGATCGATAATCTTCTTCGAGGACGGACCGCTTTCACTACAATTTATCATTTATTTTTCATTAACATTGTTCGTCTCGTCACTCTTCCACAAAATAAACCGGAGATGAAAATTATACCAATCATCGTTAAAGCGACGATCATAAAGTATCGTCTTGCAGGAGATTGGTTTATTGTTGAGTATAGTTCTTCAATCGAATTCGGAGCAATCAACTGAAAAGTAACAAATCCATATTATGAAATGTACAAATTAATAATGCAAGAAAGAAAAGTAACGAACACTACCTTGGCCGCATTTTTAAACATTTCGATCCTTGTAGTTAACATTTTGTAGCAGTCAGGTTGCAAAGATTTGTTGCTATCTTCCAATACATTTTGCAAACACAAGATATCTAAAAAAAAAAAGAAATAATAATAGTTTAATACTCTTTGTGTTTGCGATTAATCTTAATCTATCGATAACATTGTTAATTAAAAAAATATTTAACGTACGCCTTCCTGCTCCTTGAGAAACATCGCTGCAATATTTGCTGACGTCAACAGCGCATGCTTTTTGTAGTAACGGATCTGCATTAATATCTGCTTTCCTTTGTTCTATTAAATCGGCGATTTCAAGACGGCATTCTTCTTTCATATCTCTATTACCAGCATTGAACTCTATTTTCAAACACTCTTCTACTGTTCCAGGATCATTTTCATCTGCTCTACAGACTGTTTCAATCTATTACAAATATATGATTCAGATCATATAGATACAATGAACAAACTTTTATCATATATATATATATATATAACATTTTAAAAATATTTTCATTATACCTCATGCGCACACATCGTAGCAAGCAATGGATTTAAGTGATAATTTAAGGCTGCTTCTCTGAGTATGCTAGTCATCTGGTATTCACATTTTACCGTAAGCTTCGATTCTCGGAATTTAATTTTTAAACATCTTATGACTTTTCCTTCAAGTTCTTTATCGGTGGGCTCATGTAGTAAAACCTGAAAAACACATTATGGGTTTATATTCGTATAAATAATGTAATGCAGTCTCTTTTAAAACTTACCTCTTTACAATTTTTATTGATGTCGTAAGAACAAGCAGTTTGTAACGCAGTGTTGAATCTGTAATCTGTGTTTTGTTCGATCATTCTCCGAATAACGATATTTTTACATTTTTCGTCGAATGTAATCTCATCTTTATATTTCTTTAAACAATCCAATGCTTGCGAACGGCTTATGTCGTGACAGAATTGTCTTACCATAACACGACAAGTATTTAGTAAAGCAAAATCGCTTGAACTGTCTTGAAATTCCTGTTTTCTCACTTTAAACAACTGTTTGTGACATGCATCTGATAATTTTGACTTATGTCCAGCTAAGCATTCTAGAATCTAAAATAATGATAATCAAATTAATAGCAGTGTAAAAAACAAACGATCAACGTCACGAATCAAATATATTGTTACCTGTGAATTTCCTGGTTCAACGTTAAAACAATATTGTTTAATATCCGTTGTACACTGTGACTGTAAAACAGGATCGAACTGAATGTTCTCTCTTTGTTGGTAAAGCTGTGCTTTTAGTTGTTGTCTACATTCTTTTGGGATATGATGTTGCGTATTTTTTATTATATTTTCTTGTACTATTGAACTTAAACACTCTATTACTTCTGCTTTTGTTTTTGATCTAAATAGGACACAAAAAGTACACATTTTTTTTTTGTATAAACATTGTATACAACGCGTTCTATGAATAATGTTAAAAATTGTTTACTTTGGACACCATCTCTTGACAGAAGGTCTACAGGCTTCTTTAAATTTATATGTAAAGTGATAATTTTTTAATGATATTAATTGGAAATGTTCCACTGCTGCTTTACACTTGTAATCAGATTGTACATCTAAATCATTTTTATGTTCTATCAAACACTCCATCATGTCACCTTCGCCTTTGCTATATTTTGATATTTCCTGTGTTATAAATTCTTTATGAAAGCATTACCAGAAAACAATATATACGTTATTGTTTAAAAATAATTGTATTGTACCTTACAATGACGTTCTATGATATATTGACACGCAGCAGAAATAACTGGATTCAATTCAAAGCGTTCCGCTTGTTCCTCTGTAAAATTGCCGACTGCTAACTTGCAATTTTTGTTTAAACTGCAAATAAAACAAGCAAAGTAAAAGTATGAAAAAAGAAATACAGAAACAACTTTCACTTATTGTATAATTAAATGTACATTTTATTACCTATCTAAATGGTCTTGAAGGCACAATATTTCTTCCCCTTTTGCAGTTTTATCATAACAATATGATGCTAATTCATTTAGACACAGTTCTTCGATCTCGGGTTGTAAATCAACGTTTACAGCCCGCTGTCTCATAACACGTCTGATTTCTTCAAGACATTCAGTTCTCAACTGAAATAATTATTTGAAGATGAATCGTCATTCCAAATTTATAAGTTCATTTAAAGTTGTAAAAGTTCTCACTGTCATGTTTTTTTGAGGATGATATGCATGCCTATATAAACATGGTAAAATAAGAGGTCCGCGTTCCGGGTCCATCTGTCTTCCATCGCTGGCCCATGCATTTTGTGCATGACATAAACGTATTGCATCAAATTTGCAGGCTCTATACAATTGAGGATCCAATTTAAAATCTCTGGCTACAAAATATTGTATTTGAATTAAAGCAGTTTCGCAAGCTTCTGTCATTCTGTCTGTACCAAGATGTTCCACTAGACAAGATATTACTTTGGCATCGCCTCCGTTTACCTGAATTTAAATTAAATTAAACACATTATTATTTACTTATTTATGTAATTTCGAATAGGCTTATTTTGTTTCTTTTAGCTACTAGAGTGTGTCCCCTACATTTTTGCAGGCTAAATTAACAACTGGTTGACACTGTTCCCTTAGAACAGGATCGATTCGCCAGTCTTCTCCAGCATCGGTTTCCATAATTAATTCTTCTAACTGTTGTTAAGAAAAAGGAATATTCGATTAATATTTATAATTGTATGATTTATATGTCATATTCGATTCAACATAATTAACGAACGCATAAATATACATAGAGACTTTCTTACCGCTCTTTGGCACTTGCTAGACACTCTTAATTTTTTTTTTCTTGTCCTAGTATGTTCCATTAAGCAATGAATTGTTGCACCACCAACTTCAAGGCTATTACAGAACGTTGTAATATCATTGGCACAACCGTCGACTATTTCAGGAGATAGTCTATAATCTTCCATTAACAGTTTTCTATGATCAAACATTTCAGCTTGGCAATTTCCATCGATCTTGCTACCATTTTTTATTGCTGATTCCAAACAGAGAAGGATTTGTGCGAGTCTTATATTTCTATCTTCGATAACAGATCTCCTACAATGATTAAGTTTAATATCGTCTTTGCATGCTTTGACCAGTCCTCTACTGATTTTATAATCCGATGCTATTAGTTTTCCTCTTCTTGTGAGCTGTTCCTGACATGTCCCTGACATGGATCTATCTGTTTTGTGTTGCATCAAGCATTTGTATACTTGACCGCTACCTGGTCTTATATCTGGACAAAAGTTTGCACGATCTTGCGCGCAAGCCAAATATAATTGTCTATCCAGCCTTATATTTTCTGCTTGTATTTCAGATACATGAAGTATATGTCGTTTACATTGATCCTGAAGTTCATTGACATGTTCTTGTAAGCAAGCTAATATTTGCCCTTGGGATATATCTCTATATGGATGTATTTTATCGCATTTAAATTGTCTAATATCACTATCACAATCTGATGAAAATGGTGTTATAATTCTGAAGTCTGTAAATGCAATCCATTCTAAGCGCTGAATATACTCGATACATTCTGGACCCTTGACTTTTTCTCTGTTATCGATCAAACAAGATAAATATGCTCCATGCTTGGTATCAGTGGTGGAACAAGGCAATGAACCTAATTCTTTACCGCATGTTTTCTTAGCTAATCGTTCTATATTTAAATTATTAGTAATATTTAAGATGTATTCCCATATTGCTGAGCGACAGTCATCGTCGATACCGGATACTTCGGTTGGCTGTAAAGAGAAATAAATTAGAATTATTTTGTAATGTAATGAATTAGAAACTACTAATCTGAATAATTACAATGTTATCAAGAGGTATACCTTGAATGTTTGAATGCATTCTAATAACCTTAATTCATCGTCATCTCTATTTACATCGCCACATAGACGATTCAAATTCTGGAGACATTTATCAGGTAGTAGGTAAGAATTGGCTATACTCGCTCTTTTAACCCTAACGGTACTGTCAACAGAATTGCTGAATAACCAGCTTATTCTTGGTACGATATCACCGCTGTTTGTCGACAGATCGTTGATATAAGTTCTCGATAAGTGAGCACAATTTAACACTGACAATTGTATAAAAATCACAAACAAAATACTGTTTAAATATGTCATATATTCCATCCTCGCGAAATAGGACCGCTTCTTCAATTAAAACTTATTAACACGAAGCACATTACGATGCAACTATGTACTTATCCAACGATCTTGTTGCGTAGCTCTTTTTCTGACACTTTTTACTTTACTGAATAATGTCAACGTCACAAATAACAGCGGACTTGTGTACAATCGGATAAAACCGAACTTTGCGCGGACAGTTGCCGTGATATGCGTGGATTAACTACCATTACCTACTCTTCCAACTATGCATTCGATTTTCAAATAACTATTACTCAAGGCCAGTTTGTAAATCAAATTAATTCATTGTACGAACAAATCAGTCATACAGAACTCGTTATACATTTTAATTCCGGAGAACGGTATAGCAAAATAACGTAATAATACGTTTTATTATAAACAGATTTCCTCAGAGCCGAAACAAGGGTACGTGGCACCCTGGGTCTTACTGATCGTTGGCTTCCAATGGAAACATACTAAAGATTATTCAAAAAAAAAATAAAGTTGAAGTAAATAAAACCACGTGACTGAGACAGATTCGGCTGGTTGAAATATTCAGAGGGCCGAAACTCAATTTGAGATTCTTAAATAGATAAAAATAGATAAAGATGAAACAAAATTTCTGCGATGCATCCCTGCGTAGAATGACGTATCAGCACGGTGGACCAATGAGATTTTGATTACGTAACTATTTGTTAGGATTATTCATAAGCACGAACATGATAAAATTGTATTTAGGTAATATTGTCATGGAACGAAAACTAAAATATTATGTCTTACAATGTTACGCTTTGTAGTGACTTTTTGAGTTTTATGGTTATAAATTGGCTATGGTTTTTTCTAGAACTTGACGTCTTGCATTGGCACCCGTTTGTTTTACGGCTAGAAGCGGCCCTGGATATTCCGACATGAAATGCATGGCATAAATTATCTGGCGTTATTATTGGGAAAAATTAATTTAGTGGAAACGTGATTCGTAAGGTGTATAGCTTAAAATGCGAGCTAAACGTATGCAGTGTAAATGGATTATTGGATTTTGGGATATCTTCTACAGGGTGTAAAAATATCCCAAAATTGTTGTACCACCTTGAAAGAGGTGGTTCGGGAGGTAATTTGAAACAACTTTTTTCTTAGCGAAAATATTCTACGAGGCTTCGTTGAAGAGATATTAACGGAAAACTCTGACCAATCAGAGCGCGAGTATCACGGCGGAGCGTAGGCTACGCGCTAGGCAGCTGCGCTCATACGCTACCACGAGCGCTCCGACGGCATCTTCGCGCTCTGATTGGTCAGAGTTTTCCGTTAATATCTCCTCAACGAAGCCTCGTAGAATATTTTCGCTAAGGAAAAAGTTGTTTCAAATCACCTCCTGTATCACCCCTTTCAACGACTTCCAACATTTTTGGGACACCCTGTATTTACTCCGTAATGAAAATGCTCCTTGTCGTACGAGCGATAATCTAGCAAACGTTGGCAACCCTGGTAATTGGGTATGTATTTCTATCCGTCGTCTGCATTAAAGGGCAAGTGACAGCTCGAGCTATATTGTTGACATTCGTATGAAAATTACGCTTCGCGTTATAGTTACGAGAAAGTAATTTTGTAAACAATTAAGGTTAACGTACAACTAAGCGTTTCCTCGAATATAAAACGATCTGATTGAATCGATTCTCTCGAATCATGTATACAAGAAGAAAATCCAGGATCAAATGATAATCGGTGTCCGAAGAAATATAACGACATCGAGCTTAATAGATTTTAAATATTTAGTGATCACGTTCGAGTGGCATCTTTGAACTTTCCGGTCGTTCGATATCGATTAGTATCTCGTTTAGCAGTCGCAACAATGATCGTTGACTGGAAAACTCTATTCGAGCATCGTCGTAAACGTTGTTCTCGACAGTAGTACGTTTCCGACAGTGAACGATAAAGTGCGTGTGTAAATGTGAATCAATCCGTATGGTATTACGCGCAGAACCTACGGCGTCACTTTCCGAAAGAAAAAAACAATCGTTTCTTTAATTAACGTTCCCTCGATTTTGATAAATTTATTAAAGATCTTGACGTTACTTTGGAGATCGCTGAAAGTAAGTTTCAACATAATCTCGTATAAAATTACTGTTTAATTTACAGATACAATTTTGACAAACGATTTTTTAAACGTAATCGACCCGTTCGTGATTTATTAATTTTTTACGTGCTTCTTATCTTGTATCTTGTTCAAAAAAAAAAAAAAAAAAAAAAAGATGTGATATATTCGTTAATATTCAAACAAATTACAAATGTCACGCATACTGTTTATTTTATAGATAAAATTTTGACAAATGAGTTTCTAAACGTTATCGACTCGTTCGTGATTTATTTTTTACGTGCTTGCTATCTTGTATCTTGTTCAACAAAAATGAAAAAAAGATGTAATGTATTCGTTGATACTCGAACGAATCGCAAATGTCACGCGCTCGTAATTTCCGCGACGATAAGAACGAATTAATTAGCCTCGTCGGTTTGCAAATGAAAACTCGAATTCGTTTTCAACGTACAAGGAAAATCGGTCGCTCAAAATGCGGCACGCAGAAAATTCGTGACTCGTTGAGACCCGTTTGCAACTGAAAAAAAAAAAGAAACAAAAATGCGATGGGAACATCTGTTTACAATTGACGTTTCGCGTTAGTATCCTTTCCGTGTGCAACGAGTAACATCGAAGGGCACGCGTTTCTCGCGTATATCGTTTCTGCGAAGCACGTCGTTGCGTATCCTAGATTTAGCATGAAAAACACCGTCGTGGTTAACGCGTATACGTGTATTTATCTATCCCTGACATTTTCGGTTCTATTTATAGCGTCGCGTTTAAGGGTGTCGATAATACTCCCATTTAGTTTCACGTTTACGAACGCGGTGACGAAGTCCGACGATTGTTTTCGTGGATTTAGGGATCGTTCCCGATGGTGGTCCATTGTTTGATGCGTTTGTTCGTCGTTACGTGAACGATAAGTTCGGCGGTGAAAATCGATCGCGGTCGCGAGTGATAATTGGAGCAACGTGATCGATTCGAATCGGTGAAATCGTAACTGGAGTCGTCGAACGAACGAGGAAAAAGAGGTTTCGGTATGACCTGTGGCGGCGGCAAGGACTCGTTGGATACATCGGGCGGGGAGGAGGAGGCATGGAAGCTGAAGCTGGTCGGCACCGCCAGTCTCAACATCAGGGGCTGCAGCTTACCCTGCCATCCCCGGGAATCCCCGGACTGGACGTCGTGAGAGCCTTGCATCAGGTTAGGTTCGCTAATTGACCAGGATTCGTCAGTAGGAGGTCTAAAAACAGCGGTTTTTCGTGAATTTTTTTAGGACGGTTACAAATAATTAATTCCATCGAACTTTTTTATCCTATTTTCATACATATTCGAGTAGTCCATAGACATTTTTTCAACAAGAAATATTCAAATTGAGTCGACTGAGACGCGCATTTGTTGAGCACCTCGCAATTAAAACCTCCTATCGGCGGGAAAGATGCGGGTCGTAATTTTGGTTTGACACAAAAAAAAAAAAAAAAAAAAAAATAAAAAAAAAACCCAAAAGAAATTTTCATTTTCGTACATTTTTCTTCTATGTGAACTAAGAGAAACCCGAAAAAAAAATGGTGAAATGTGAAATTACTGCAAGTTTGAAAAAAAAAAAAGAACGAGTTCCTCGGGTGAAGAAAGTCACTTTAACTTGATAAAAAAAAAGTTGTTTAAAATTTCTTTCGTATGAATTCCCTTTAGTTCGGTTTTTAGTAGAAATCGGTGAGGACGTACCTGTTCTCTGTAATTACTGAAACTACAAATGAGTCAAATATAAATTTTATTAAAATTATATTAACATTGCTTTCAGACCATATTATAATACATATATAATCTAAGAACAACACAATTCGTGAAACGAATGTTCTCTACCAATCAGAAGCGATTCACCGCATCTCTAATAAAGATGCTGTAGGGAGATTACGATCTCCGTAGCGTCGCGATTTGATTGTAACAGTTATTTTGTTCAAGTTCGTACGCTATGGATTGATAAAGATAATGAACGATCACCGTATATTAACCAGCGAGAGTTTTCGCACGCGGTCACCGATTATCCTCTTAACTTAATGCGACCCGTACGTGTCTAATAACGAGGTCTTGACACTTTCAATAGAAATACCTATTAGTATTCGTGTGACGTCGCCGCGCAGTCCTACCATTAGTCCATCCTGGAAACCACTAAAGTTTCTAAACAAATGATACTTCTCCTTGAAATTATTAGAACGTAGCCATTAGAACGTAGATTCCAATCGTAAGTCTGAAAATTGACGATGATAACTAAGATTACGATATTAGAAGAACTTTCTAAAGAAGAAATTGCGAGTGAACGGTGTGCTTGGGTCGATTGTAAATAGACGTAAGCGACGATTGTAATAGACGCTTGATCGATCATTTTTCGAAGGATTAAGAATTAAAGTAATGTTTATTATTATTATTTTCCTTTAATCGCGAGATGGTCGTAGGGTCGTAGGGTCCTCTCACGGATGAGGCAAATAATACAGGGTGTCCCAAAAATGTTGGAGGTCATTGAAAGGGGTGGTTCGGGAGGTGATTTGAAACAACTTTTTCTTTAGCGAAAATGTTGTCCGAGGCTCCGTTGAGGAGATGTCAACGGAAAACCCCGACCAATCAGAGCGCGAGTATGCCGGTGGAGCGGTAGCGGTAGCGTAGACTATGCGCTAGGCGGCCGACCAATTAGAGCGCGGTCACCTAGCGCGTAGCGTACGCTACTGCGGGCGCTCCACCGACATACTCGCACTCTGATTGGTCGGCCGCCTACTGCGTAGCGTACGCTACTGCGAGCGCTCCACCGGCATCCTCGCGCTCTGATTGGTCGGGGTTTTCCGTTAATATCTCCGCAACGGAGCCTCGGACAACATTTTCGCTAAGGAAAAAGTTGTTTCAAATCACCTCCCGAATCACCCCTTTCAAGGACCTCCAATATTTTTGAGACACCCTGTATAATAAAGGTGGTAATAAAAGTATACAAAATGAAATTGTTATAACAATATCATACATATTGTAAAATATTACGTTTGTGTTGTGAGTATGTTTGATAGATTGCATCGTGAACAACGATTAATTACATTAGTTCATATCATAAATGCACAAAATCCCCGGTCTATACATAAATATCTTCCTTTCTTTAATTTACAGTTTATTTCCAAATATACTGTCTCGTAAATAAGTTTTAATCAACGAAAAATCACCAATTTTTCGATTATCACCTGTTTCCATTTAGCAAGTGAAAAATTGTTGACCAGCAAGGGATGCTCATCGCCTGCAAATTATTTATGAATTAACCCAATATATTACCAATGAATTATTCCATCTCCATTTGTCATGTTTCTTGATATTTCCAGACTGTGATATCGTTACGGTCCGCGCTGGACTCATCACGTGAAGAGCTTCGTCGTCTTAAGGAGAGCGTCGGTGATTTTTCTGGCGAGAGTTACGTCGACGTCGTTGAGAGGCTCGCTCTCGAGAATCACGTTCTTAGGCGAAAGATCCTAAGCAGGAACAGCGAGTTTTCTAGTGATGCTGCCACAAGCCCGCCGCCCCAGGCTCGTCTTTTTCCACTCGCAGTAGAGGACATCAAAGAGTGAGTCTTGAAACGTGTTCTCGCCAGCAATTAAATAGTTCACTTCTGAATCTTACATTTTTTCGTGATGCACGATCCTCTTGACACTCGACTTCGTGCCTAAAGCCTCGAGTAACGTTGAAGTCAGTGTCAAAATTAAAAATTAAAAATTAAAAATTTCTAGTTCAAATTCGTGCCAATAGGTGGTGAGGCTTAAATAGGGTAATTTTAAAAAAAAATTTTATTTTGAAGAAAGCATGGTATCCTGGGTTTTTTGGGGGATGGATAACGCGAATCTGAAGTCGGTTTTAAGGCAAAAAATTTCTATGACTGAAAACACTTTATTACGATTGTAATCGTAATCACAACTCGAAAACACTGAGACGGACGGTAGAGCAGTGCGTAGAGTAGCCGACTACCACGCCGAGAGCCTGGGTTCGAATCCCGGGCGGTCCGACTCGGTTTTTCATTCTTGGTTTAGGGTCGGCTAACAAAAATTACGAACTATGGAAAAAGCCTAGAGCGAGAAATAATAAATAAACATAAGTGCAATAACAAATATAAACGGGAGCAAATAGAGTTCAGAGTAGAATAAGTAGTCTCTCAATATCTCCCCAAGTTAACCACACTACTATAAATTCTCAATACAAACTCCGAAAACACTCGAAAAACACTTTAAAGTACAATCGCGACCACGATTCCATCTAGTTTATCACAGCTCTCCGCGCCTCAATGGCTAGGCCTCTTTCCAGTATTAATTAAAAGCGACGCGCACTGTTCGCGATGCACCTCTATTAATAACCGTGCGTATACGCGGCTGGATTCTCGCTGTCATTCTCACCATGTAAACGGTATCAGTCTGTCAGGGCAAGCAGGCGCACTCATGGACGGGACGAGGGACAAGGCCGTCGCGGACGACGTGTCCGAGGCACCTAGGCAGCCGACTAAAGGACAGAACGGGAGCAAGAGCAGCAGCAACGAGAGCCTCGATTCGCAGTCGCACACGGTCGAAAAAACAGCCAAAGGAGCTTCCTCCATGGAAGAAAAACTGAAACGGTCGATATCAAAGGACAACTCGACCGATCCCGTAGACCCTACACGAACAGCAACTATGGAATCGGACGAAATCGTCAAGAGCGCGTCAAGCGAGGCTGCGCCGACCTCGATCGACAAACAATCCAAGGACCCGGAAGCGGAGGACGCGAACGAGTCGCAAGGCGATCGTTTGGACGTGCCTGATAAGGATTTGGAGGACCTGAGCTTGAAATCCGTATCGGATGGAGACAATTCCGTGTTCAGCGACAATCCGGAGACCCAGGCGAACCAGCAGCTTCAACGTCAGAGTCAGTCGGTGGACCAGCCCAAGGTCAACGATCAATCCGAGAACGAGTCCGAAGAATTGGACGATATCGAGCTGATATTCACTACTGATGAGACGTGTCGCGATCTGGGTCTCCAGGAGGATCTCGTGTCGATCACGGAAACGGAATCGTGGCAGCAACCACCGGCTGCCAATCAACCGGTGCTGCTCAAGTATACAAAGTCTGGCGAGGGAGAGTCTCTGGTTTGCAACGGAGAGAAGACCAGCTCCGTAGAGGAGGCGGTGTCCTCGCAGAGCTCCAGCATCGATCGCGAGGAAAGCGTTGACAGATTCGACGAGAGCTCCAGCACCAGGTTGAACAAGATGTGGTCGCAGTGCTCGGTGCTGGTAGAGACTGACATCAGCAAGTGCGGTGTCGTCGAGGAGCCCGAATACCCCACCAGACACGCGGTCAGGAGGAACACTTTGGCTGCGCCACCCACCGCTTACAGGTAATTGTGCTATCCATTTATTAATTCGTTATTAATGTTGGTATTTTATGTGATAATAATATTGGTATTTATCCTGACTTAGGCACCTGGATTGGGACACTTTTTAAGAAATTTTATTCGGGATGTTGTTTTAAGTATATGTTGGGCTATTTTCTTTTTTGAAGGAAGAGGGTTTGTCTGGCAGCATTGTTTGGAATTTCTCTGCAGGTATAATGGAAATATATATTAGCTTCTTTTTTGAAACGAGAGGTTCCATCTATTAGTATTCTTGAGGAACCTCCTTCCTCAGGTATAATACAAGTACATACTATTTTCTTTCTTTAAATAAGAGATTTTATCTATTAGTGCTATCCAGGAACAGTTACCTCTCTTCAGATAGAATACAAGTGCCATACTATTTTCTTTCTTAAAATAAGAGATTTCATCTATTAGTATTCTTGAGGAACCTCCTTCTTCAGGTATAATACAAGTACATAGTATTTTCTTTCTTAAAATAAGAGATTTTATCTATTAGTATTCTTTAGGAACCTCCTTCTTCAGGTATAATACAAGTAGATTAGAGCATTCCATTTTAGGAAAGTTATTAGAGAGCAAATTATTATTTTCGTAAACAACTCATTAAATTTCAATTTTGAATTTAAAACGTAATTACAACTCAGATCATTTATGAAAGTAAATTACGAATTTTTTGTTCCATCTTGTAATTATATTTATTCGAAATTTATATAAAATTAATAGAGAGCAAATTAGATTTTCGCAAATAACTCATTAAATTTCAATTTTGAATTGAAAGATGGTGCAGGTGTTGTTATTGTTTGAACTATTTTGTGTAGAAATTTGATTTAATTTAACCTTTCCGAGGAATTATATATTAACAAAATTATACATTTCACAGTGTTCCTTATTCTACATATACTCGGGAAAAGACTCTCACGGCAATATATTCACGTATTCGCTGAAAGTACTTTAATTAGCTACAAAGTGCTCAGCAGCTATAAAACAGCTTCACTTATTTCCAGACCATTTTTTTTTTACCATATTCCAACTCGCCAGATGCAGACCTTCCTAATTACTGATACATACGTAAAATGAAACGACACTTTAATCGCGTTTCCTGTCCATTAGTATACACACGCTCGCAGTCCTATACTATCGTGCTATTAAAATCATTTGTCACCTTTTCAGTAAAAAGGAAATTCTGCGAAAATGTAATCGTCTGTTTATTTGTATTTCGCGTGTTTTTATATAACATTGAAAATGATTACTTTCAAAATTCAAAAGTTTAAATTGAAACGTGTGGTTCGTTCTCGCGAACGTAATTACAAGGAGAAAAGTAGATTATTGTTGGACACCATCGTATGTCTGTAACAAGACCACTCGCAATTTCTTCCAGTACTGTTTCTCTTTTGCTGTGAAACTTTCAGGGTTGAATATAATATTTGTTTACCATTTCACTCGCTTAAGTATGCATATAAGTGTTTATATAATTATTATTCGTCATAATTATGACAGAAAATGTCGTACGGGAAATTGTCACGTGTAATCGTGTGCTTGATAAGGTTACGAGCCTGAAATTAAATCAAGTGCGGGAAACCGCTATTAGTGGTGTTGGCACCTAATTACGTTTGAGAATCTATCGCGAGCTATTAATGGTCCGAAGTTGCATGAAACTTGATTTGAAATTCTGTTATTGCTAATTTGCCATCTCCCAACGCCCGTCCGACAGGACAATGCGAGGTGCTACACCAATCGTATCATTTCCCACACTCTGTGTAATTAGTTTACTTCGTGAAGCTTCGGAAATCGAGTTGTGAGATATTTACATTCTTAAAGTACTATACAGGGTGTCCCAAAAATGTTGGAGGTCCTTGAAAAGGGTGGTTCGGGAGGCGATTTGAAACAACTTTTTCCTTAGCGAAAATGTCCGAGGCTACGTTGGGAGATATTAACGGAAAACACTGACCAATCAGAGCGCGTGTATCACAGTGGAGCGCCCGCGGTAGCTAGGCGGCCGACCAATCAGAGCGCGAGGATGCCGGTGGAGCGCCCGCGGTAGCGTATGCTACGCGCTAGGCAGCTGCGCTCATACGCTACCGCGAGCGCTCCATCGGGATACTCGCGCTCTGATTGGTCAATGTTTTCCGTTAATATCTCCTCAACGAAGCCTCGTAGAATATTTTTGCTAAGGAAAAAGTTGTTTCAAATTACCTCCCGAACCACCTCTTTCAATGTGTTACAACATTTTTGGGACACGCTGTATATATACATGTCGAATTGACCAAACTATCCTTCTTCTCCTTTTTTGGTTAAAAAGGATCTACTATCGTCTTTTGCAGGCCGATCATCCACCGAGAAGCCCTGGCGGGCAGTCGTCGGAAGAGCTCAGCACCGCTGAGGCCAGTGATGGACAGAATCAGTGGAGCGAGACGAGAATCCGGTGCTCAAACGGACATCTCAGCGCTACCGGCTCATTGGCGTTCCGAGAGCTACCTCGCGCACAAAGTAGCCCATACGTTCACCACGTTGCCCAGCAAATTCGCCCTGCCGACCGGGGTGCCCGGAAGACTTCGGCTCTCCGACAAGACACGGGAAGCCAGGAGAGTGATGCTCTCGGACATCAGTTTCACCAGCATGGTGCCGGAGCTGTCCAGAAGCGCCGATCATCTCTGCCACGATCCACACGCCCAGGTAGGAATCGATTTTTGATCGGGATACTTGTAGATTTGTCACGGGCACGATACAGAGAAAAATACCGTGCTACCGAGTTAAGCTGCCGTCCTATACTAATAGCCAGTGTAAGAAGTATTCATAAAGCAACCCATTTAAAATAAATGGTTCCTGTGCGAATACTTATTACACTGACTGTATATACTGTACATTATATGTATTATATGTTTGTATTACTTAGAACACATATTTGTGTAGCTAGAATAAAATTCGAAGTACAGTAAAGACCGGATCAGTGAAAGATAATCGGCACCCAAACAATGGAGTTATCCAGTCCGAGTTTCTATTCTGTGTTTACATTTGGCTCGGGTCGAGCGTCGAACGTAGAAAAGGACAGAGAAAGAGAAAGAGGTCTCCGAGGAAAAACAGACGTGACTCATACCTAGCAGTCATAGCGTAACGCTTTTTCGTTACAATTTTAGAGTCAAACTTCTCACCAATACCCCACCGTTCTGTAAAACACTATCGCGTTGAAAACCGAATTTTTTTTGACAAGAATAAAAAGAGTAAGAGATCTCCGAACTGTGAATTTTGTTCCCGCATAGTCATCGTTCAAATTCTATGGGGAGCCAGTAGACATTTAAAATGTAGGGGTGAGGCACTTATAAATAACCACTCGGGGTAGCTCGTTAAAGAATGGTTAAAAAAAAAAATAATGCATAGTTCGGTAAGATATAGCTGTGCAGTAACCTTTCGCATCGACAATTTACGAGCTATAAGGCTAGATAGTGTAAAGCTTCGATTCCCCAGACACGATAATATCGATCTTCGACTGCTGAAGTCTAACACCAACGACCCAGAAACCGGGAGATCCAACATTTACAACTCCGCCAGACTTGTTACGACTTGATATCGAGGACTTGGAATCATGGGATCCTGCATAAATAGCGTCCGATTAGCGAGGATCGATGTAAGTGTACGACGTACACTGTACGTCGGATATTCAGGACCTCCAGAGACCTCTGGGACTGGCGATGCCAACTCCATCAAGTATGACAAGGGACATTCTTTTATTTTATATTTAAATATTCCATCTTTGATGGATATTATACGCTCGAGAGCCGTAGCAGTATCAACTGTGGCGGGAGTTCAATGTTCGTTTATTTTTTAGAAATAACAAATATGGGAAATGATAGGCGTAATCTCTTGCGAGGAAATTAATAATATTGGAGGAAATTGATAGCTAGTATACTGTAAAGATAGTATCTGTAAACCATAATTTACTTGTCTATTACGACAAGTGTAATACGTATAAGGACGTATATATAAATGCATGAATATATCAATCATAAAAAATGAAATACACGAGACTTCGTTCGGGAGATATTACCGAAAAACCCCGACCAATCAGAACGCGTGTATCACAGTGGAGCGCCCGCGGTAGCTAGGTGGCCGACCAATCAGAACGCGAGGATCACGGTAGAGCGGCCGCGGTAGCGTAGACTCCGCGCTAGGCGGCCGACCAATCAGAGCGCGAGTATGCCGGTGGAGCGCCCGCAGTAGCGTATGAGCCAAGACGCCTTGGCTCATACGCTACCGCGGGCGCTACTCGGGCGCTGTGATTGTTCCGTGGTTTTTCGTTAATAATTCAAAAACGGAGCACCATCCGACATTTTTGCAAAGGAAATCGTTGTTCGGAATCGTGTCAGCTCTCCCTTATTTCCGGTTCGTACACTAATTCTGAGACATACAAAGTTTGATCATCCTCAAACAAAACATACTTTCTTTCTCCACTTTACATACTCTACATAACCTCTTTTCCTGATCTAACCAGAATTTATTCGCCTCTTCCTCATTTTCGCACCTGAGTCTACCAATCATCCTTACCAATCACTAAGCAATTATTCTCTTTATTTTCTTCAAGTAGAATTACAAACGATTAAATACAAAATAAAAGAATTCATTTTGTCCTGTCTCCATTTTTGTTCCAGACTTGCTTCAGTTCGCGAGGCTGCGGTCTCCGTACACCCGACGTGCACCGACGCGAATCCCTGGGTTCCCCTGCGGGATTCTGGCCCCGTTGCAATCCCAGCACGGGACTTCCCAGTCCCTGCGACTGTCGCCTCTCCACAGATCTCTATTCCTCGCGGTACCGTGGCTCCCTGACCTCGA